TACTACTACTACTACTACTACTACTACTACTACTACTACTACTACTACTACTACTACTACTACTACTACTACTACTACTACTACTACCAACCACCACACTCTACACTATCTCCATCTACACTTGTCCGGTATTCAATTCAATTCAGTGCTTGCCTTAACGCCATGTCCAAGCGCACCCTCGACGCTTTCTTCTTCTCCACCTCCACTGGCACTGGCACAGGCACAACTCGGACGCCCAAAAAGGCCCGCTTCGAGACCTCAACCACAACCACAACCCCAGACTCAGCTTCAGCCTCAGCCTTAGCCTCAGCATCAGCCTCGTTGCCACTCTCGTCCTCCGCAACCACATCCAAATCTACATCCACACCCGTGTGTACACAAGTCTGTACACACGTCCAAACATCCAACCACCCCAGCTATCCATGGCCGATTCCCCATCTCCCGGCCCACGTCGCTTCTGAGATGGAACTCCTGGTGACGGCACAAGGGAAAGAGATGCGCGACCAGCCGCACCTCGACCTCTTGTACTTCGAGCCATTCATCCCTCGACCCACCGCACGCGACCTGTTCGAGTTCCTGCGCGACGAACTGTTCTTCTACCGCGTCAAGTATACCATCAAGCGTTTTGGTAAGGAGACCGTCATCAACACGCCGCGATTCACTACTGTGTTTGGAGTTGATGAGACCAGTTGGTTTCGCATTCCCATGGCCACAGACAATGGCAATGGCACCGGCAATGGCAACAAGAACAGCAACACCAACACCAACACCAACACCAACACCAACACCAACACCAACACCAACACCAACACCAACACCAACACCAACACCAACACCAACACCAGCACCAGCACCAATGGCAACGGCAACGGCAACGACAACAACGACAACGATGCAGACACATCGGAGATACCTGGCGTCGGCGTCGGCGTTGGCACTGCTGTCCTCGAAGCATCCAGCACAGTTAACCCCATCCGTGACAGACAGAGATACAGATACCGTTGTACGCCGCGACCGATCCCGCAGTGTCTAGATCTACTACGACGAGTGACCGAGGCGAGCACGGACACGCGCTACAACTTCTGCCTGGTCAACTACTACGCCTCGGGCGACGACAGTATCTCGTACCACAGTGACGATGAGCACTTTCTCGGGCCGGACCCGGCCATTGCGTCGTTTACCCTGGGGGCGAGGCGAGATTTCCTCATGAGGCACAAACCACCGAATGCTAAACTAGACAACACGAGCACGAACACGAACATGGACCCGAACACAAACACGAACACGGACCCGAACAGCAAAGCCCAGGGTATCAAAGCCAAGGATATCAAGGCCCAGAATATCAAAGCCCAGGATAAAGCCCAAGATTCCAAAATCAAGTTATCCCTAGGCAGTGGCGACATGGTCCTCATGCGCGGCCCCACCCAGGCCCATTGGCAGCACAGCATTCCCAAGCGCAAGGGCAAAGGCAAGGACTCGAACTCAGGCCGCATCAACATCACCTTCCGCCGCGCCATGGTCCCCGCAGGCACGGAGAACTACTACCGCTACAACGTGGGAGATGGCGGCGTGTTTAGATGGGACAAGTCGGCGAGAGAGATGAAGCCTTGGTCTAGATAGTGTTTGGAGGATGCTGTGCTAATATGTACTGTACTATACTACTATACTGTGCTATGCTGTGCTATGCTGTGCTATACTATGCTGTCCGGTCCTATGCTGTCCGGTCCGCGGAATCAATCAATCTCCATCTCGGACCAAAGTAAAGCAAAGTAAAGCAAAGCAAGCACCTCACCGGTGCCGTTCACGAGTCCAAGTAACGTAAAGTAACGTAAAATAAAGTCGAGTCAAGTCTAGTCTAGCCTATCGACGAAGATAGATTCAACTATAGATGATAGATTCAAGTTTAATTAATTGAAACTACCTAAGGAAGCCATCTATATCCAACCAAGTCTTGCTTTTCCTCTCTATTCTCTCCTTACTCTCCTTCCTCTCCTTCCTCCCCTTTCTGTGAGTCAAACTTAGGCACTAAACTAAGTATTCTCAGCCTTGTCCTTTAGCTAGAAGGCTGGTATACATACTATAGGCACAATAGGCACACCTATAGTCTGGGCTTCCTTATGTTGCTATCCGCACCGGCGTCTAGGCCTGCAAGGCACCATCTGCCCATCTCGTATCACAACTAACCATTGACTCTATGCCCCTTTGATAGCGAGCATGGAATATGGAACATTCCAACCTTTGACACTTTCCTCTCCTCTCCTTCCTTTTTCCAGCACTAGCTTTCTCAATTCGGTTCATTCACAGCTCTTTGGTTTCCTCTTCTTCCTTTTTCCCAGTACTAGCTTTCTCAATTCGGTTCATTCACAGCTCTTTGCTTCCGCCGACTCGGACTCTGTCAAACTTAGGCACTAACTTAGGCATCCCTAGCCTTGTGCTTTGACCAGAAGACTGGTTCAGGCATACTACACATCCTATATAGCCTGCGCTCCCCCTGCGATCTTTTGATACCTCTAGAGGATATGGAACATTTCAATCTTTGACAGACTCTAACTCTGACTGTGTCGTTGTCGCTGTCGCTCTCTCTTACTCTTACTCTTTCCCTTGTCCCACAGCATCCGCGTGACCGATCTATAAATGGTCTTGCCCTCGACCGTGTGCGTGGTGACGCCGAAGACCAGCAAGAAAGCCATAGACAGCACGGCCACGACCAGGAACGTCAACCAGTACGTCCGGAGCGAGTATAGCTCGGCGATGGCCGGGAGCTGGATGGAGAAATAGGCCGTCATGAGACTGACGGGGAGGAAGAGGATGGTTGCTTTGGCTAGAAGGATGGTGGTTCGCGTTAGTCGTTCGACCGCTTGGGATTCTTTGAGAGCTACTAGATTGAAGTTCTGGGTCAATTAGAAAATGGACATAACATGACATAGACGTAGACATGATATAGACAGAAATTGACAGACACAGACACAATATAGATATAGAGATAAAACAGACTTAGATGTAGATATAGACAGGCATAGACACAATATAGATATAGAGATAAAACAGACATAGATGTAGATATAGACAGACATAGACACAACATAGACAAAGACAAGGTATAGACATAGACAAGGCATAGACATAGACACAACACAGACATAGCATAGACATAGACACAGACACAACACAGGAGTGAGATATGGTATTTCAAACAGACATGAGATGCGGGAATAAGGAACAGCAAATAGGTACAGCCATGCGATACACCGTGATGGGGAGCAGAAGCAGAAGCAGAAGCAGAAGCAGAACCAGGCACAGAACCAGAACAGGAGCAGAAACAGGCACAGAAGCGGAAGAGAAACAGAAGCGGAACAGGAGCAGGACAAGATCAGGACAAGAGCAGACCAACTCACCATTAGCACAAGCGACTCCTTCTCCTTCAAACACTCCTCGATCTCAGTCAACGCATACAACCGGATACGGTCGAGCAGTCTCTCGAAGCGGACGATGGCCGACAAGCTCAAGGTGACGGTCGAATGGGGACGGGAATGGGATCCTTGATCAGTAGGAAACAGTACATCGTCCGCCGAGGTCATTCCCATTTCCGATCCCATTCCCGTTCCCGTTCCCGGCAACATAGCACCGGCAATAAACCTGGCACTAGGACTGGGACTGGACGTGGACGTCAATGTCGACCGATGCCGATAAAGTAGTCGCGACACAATCAGTTCATAGCTCTGATACATGAGTCTCAGGACGGTGAGTTGCCTGCCCACATCGTGTACCTGCTTGATCAGCGTGACGTCGGCCGCGTCGAACATGAGACGGCGTAGATCTTCCAGCTTGCGACGATACGGGTGCTCGACCCGGGCGATCAAGGCGTATGTCGACAGCCAGTCGTCGAAGAGATAGTAGAATAAAAGACTGGCGCCTTCGGTGGGGGAATGATTGCCATCACTACCACCACCGTTAGTGTCAGTGTTAGTGTCACCACCACCACCATCACCGTCACCGTCACCGTCACCCTCACCATTTCTGCCTCTGTCTTTACCTCTACCACCCCCCAGTTTGCTCGAGTGCTCGTGCCACCGTACCCGGACCTTCATCAATGTGTCCATGGCGCCGTCCGTGTCGTGTAGCTTGGACAGATGGCGGAAGATGTTGAGCACGTTCCGTCGGGTCACGGCCGTGGCTGTGGCCGTGGTGTCGGCATCGACGGGCCTCTCAAATACCGAGACCACGGTGCCGTCGTCACACAGCAGCAACGACGTCCAAATACGTTGACCGGATGGCTTGTCGCTGTCCCCCTCCCTCTCGCTCTCACTCTCACTCTCGTTCTCGCTCTCGGGGCCGGACGTGCCAGGCAAGGAAAACAGGGCGTTGAATCCCACGTAGATGTAGTGCCGGCCGAAATCGACAGAACAGAAATGCCACAGGTTGTTGACGACGTCGGCGAAACTGAGCCCTTCCAGGCTTGGTGAAGCCGTCGGTTGGAGTCCTCCCAGGCCCGGTGAAGCCGTCGGTTGGTGGTTGACGAGTAATGTTTGAGCCGGCGAAGCTTGAAGTGCAGCCCCTTTTTCCACGTCGGTCGTATGATGAGCGTGTTTGCCTTCTGCTGGCACCAGGACTGGGACGCCATCGCTGCAGGTCGAGGAAGTATTTCTCGGTTTGGTGTTGTTTGCACCAACACGGGTTGTCGAAGGACTTCTCGGCGTGATATTGTTTGCTCCGACACGGGTCGTCTTGGTCTTGGTCTTGGTCTTGGTTTGCGGCGGGCTGGACAAGAGGGCAGTGAGTCGCGGTGAGAGATCGTACTTCTTGGCCACGGCGGCAATGATGGCCTTTGCCCGCTGCGAGTCCGAGGCCCAGAGGTTGAACCAGACTGTTTGGGCTGGGGACTTTTGAGTTTGAGCCTTGGTTTGAGTTTGAATCTGAGGTTGAGTTTGTGCCTTGGTTTGGGTCTGAGTCTGGGTCTGAGTCTTAGTCTGCGTGGGGATTCCCGGTCCAGATCGTGTCGCAGATGAAGATGGAGATGGAGATGATTGTGTCGGATACAACCAGTCCATCATCAGCTGGTCGACGTCGACGTCCACCGCACATATCGCCTGCTCGTCGTTGAAGCGAACCACAAAGTTCTCCGTGCCCGACTGATTCAGCCTCGCCGTACAGCTGGTATATGCCGCCTCAGCATCCAGGTCGTAGTATCCGTCGTTCCGCCTCCCATCGCCAGCGGTAGTGGCAGCAACTGCGGCTGCCGCTGCTGTTGTGGGATGTGGTGCCGATGCTGGTGCTGGTGGCATGTCGTCGTCTGAGCCGCCTTCACAGTACGGAGTACGCTTTCATGTACCGATACGTACGTCCCACCGTCGCCGGCTGTCAAGACCAGTCAACCTTCGAAGATGGTCGAGACGAGAGAGGCGAGAGGTGAGAGGTGATTTCGCAACAGATTCCGACTCTGGGAAACGCCAAACTACCAATATACGGTGTGTAGTGTACTCGGCGCGCTCCCCTGGTCGAGGGGGCTGATGATTGATGCCTGCCCCTGGTAAGTACATAGGCGCCTGGTACGGTATTTATGGCAACCATGCAACCATGCAACCATGCAACCCTGCCATGGTGCCGCGCCATGACTGGGATCTTGCATGCTGGCGTTTCAGCCACCAATTATAAATGGATGCATGTGATGTCTTGTGATTTCCGACGCCGCTACTAACTAGAGCCTCGTGTACGGAGTATCGTGTACTCCGTACGGAGTGTAGGTATCCTGTATCCTGTATCGTGTACTCCGTACCCTACATCGTATCCTATATCCCATATCCCTCCCATTTCCCACATTGCGGGGTGAGACGGACAGTAAGTACGTATACCCTAAGGGCTGGCGCTTCTTTCTTCCGGTAAATGTTATTAATTGTATAATAGCTGCTAATGACGTTGATTCTGATCATGTTTCGCCTGTCTCCCTAGTTGTGATTGGGGTATACTGCCCTCAATCCATCTCCATCCCAGCTGTCCGTAGTTGCATGTCACTCGTGTTCCCCTCCCCCTCCCCTTCCCTTACCTCCAGCTTTATACGTCCCTAGGCGCCACCTAGTCGCAAGAATGAACAATGCACTGTGACGGCTCACTCTCTCGAGGCTGAATATGAATAGTCGGTGTAACCCTTCTTAAGCAGCATTGTGGGCCATTGATGGCCTTGCAACTCATCCTCTCAGCATCCATCTCCAACACCTTGGGCGATGGTTTCCAATTCCCAGGTCCGGCCGGGACCCTATCGAATGTGGTGGTATGTTCTGTCGAATATGGCCATGTTCTAGGCTGTCGCCATGCCTAAAACACTCTTGGCCGTGACCACCTTCATTCTCCGACTGGTTCCCGAGTTGGGCTTTGAGATCCACTGATTCTTTCTGGCATGAGCCGTTCTTCAGTGCACCAGTCGCGAAGGCCACCCGCCCCCCTCCCCAGCAACGATACTTCCACGCTTCTCTTGATAGAGCTTCAGAGTATCTGTCCCACCCACCGTCTCCTGAACCGTAATGTCGTCAAAGACATCGACTTTGGTGCTCGCGAATTTCCTCGCACTCACACCACGTTCAAAGAGAAGGTCCAACTCTGCAAAGCTGCGACCGGCCGGTTCGGGGACGCGGAAGTAGGTGTAAATGATGCAGAAGAAGCAGATGCCGCCCCAGAAGAACCCGGCGTAGTTGCGCCAATTCCATTCTCCCGGGTTGAGCATGTATGGAGTCAGAACCGAGCAAATAATCCCCACGATGTTGTACAGATTGCGGCCCAACACGACGGTCTTGATTTGTAGACGACGAGTTGAAAGCTCAGCAACGAGCGAGTAGCAAACGGTGCCGACAGTAAGTTGGTAGCAAAGAGCCCAGACCAACATCATCGAGCCCGTCGCCAACGACGCCTGTTTCCTGTGCGCCTCGGGAACCAGGCCCAGAAAGCCCATGACAAACAACATGATGCACAATCCACACAGACCATAGAGGTACAGAGATCGTCGACCAATGCCACGACTCATGAGAAACCAAGCGCCAAAGACACCGGCCATGTTGATTCCATACTGGCCGAGCGCAAAGTCATATGCTTTACTGTCTTCGAGACCGGCTTGTTCGAGAAAATACGTCGAATATCCGGAAAAGGAGTTGCCCGACAGGTTTTGAATGGCCCACACCATACATACAATCTCCGTCCGGCGCAGATCGATGCCCTTGAAGCAGTCTAGGTATGACGCTCCGGCAGTGATCTTCTCTTCCAAGGCAGTCGTGTGAACCATCATGGCCACTGTTTCATCCGCGTCGAAATCCGTTTCGCGGTTAGGAGAGGTCAGGCGCAACAAGGATTTTTTCGCTTCCGCCAGCCGGCCCTTCCGGACAAGCCACCATGGCGACTCTGGCGCAAGCAGGACCCCGATCAGCAGGGGGACAGGGAACATCCACTGTAGAGAATAGGGTATTCTGTACGACCACTGGTCATCTCGAGGGAGCATGGCTTTGATGACGCCGATGCCAACAACCTGACCGAGGCCCCAGCAGAAGTTGACATAGGTCGTGAGATATCCTCGTAGAGCGACAGGGCAAACTTCACTTGCATAAGTGATGGTCAAGGTCTGGAAGACTCCCCAGGGGATGCCACACAGGATTTCGGCAACCTCCAGCGCGACGACGGTTTGGGCCGTGAAGAAGACGGCAGTATAAATGATGATCAAGACCAGACATGTCATGACCGTGTAGCGGTAGCCGAACCGCTCAGAGACATAACCGTTGATAAATAGCCCAATAATCTCTCCCACATTGGCACCGTTGCTAAGACCGGCCTGCCATGGTGCGGTGATCTGGTAACTTCCGTCCGGGAGCTGTTCGCCGTACTTCTTGCGGAATTGAGGAAAAGCATCTAGCACAACCCGGTCAGCAAAAGACTCCGAGTTTGCCAGGCGTGACGAGTGATGAGAACGAAAAGGAAGTTGGAGCGCACGTACAGAAGTTGCTCAATAAGCAAACATCGTAACCCTCCATGCAAATACACGTAGAAATCAGGATACTCCAGCCGACAGCTTTCGGATACAGCTTGATGCCTTGCCACAAGCTCATCTTGTGCTCCTTGTCAGTGGCCCTTTGTGCACTGTGGACGACATCGTCCACATCCTTGGAGGAAGTGTCTAGGTGGTCCTTTGGGGGAAAATGGAGAGGGTGTTCAGGTGTGCCATTAGAGACCTGGGGCTCGATGGCATTGTCGTTGCCGTCGGCCGGTTTTTCCGACATGATCGCAAGGGTCCTCACTGTTGCGGTTTTAAGTCTGATCGTGCAAAAGCCAATGCTCGCAATGAATCGTCAGTCTTGCGGGCCCAAAAGATGAAACGACTGGCTGAGAATGTCGGTGGCAACTGTGGTCACCGGGGTAGTTGTAGTTACGGACGGCCGAGTATCTCACATGCCAGACCGGATTGACCTGATTGCGACACGACCTCAAGAGCCGAGAGACGGAGCTGGAGCTGGAGCTGGAGATGGTCCAACGCAAAAAGACAATCCACACCCAGCCCCGATCGCCTGATCAGCTAGCTGATCTTTATATGCTTTTCTCTTCTCGTGATCAGCGCTGAGGAGAACACAGACGGGAGATTCGCGCGAACGACAAGGTATGGAACGATTCAGAATGTTCTGTGCCCCACGACTCCGGGGCCAGTCGTCTCTGATCTGGGGTCAAAGCAGGTCTGGCGTGTGAGCGAGGGGATTCCCAGCTTTGTGAAAAGAGAGAGGTCGCCATCGGATCGATCAGTCAAGGTCGAGTGTCACGCGGGCTTCGATTGACCGAGTTGGCAGATCCACAACAGGGGGTTCAGTAAAGACGAGTGCAACCATTGAGGAGCGAATCTCCCATCCAGCGCCGACGAGAGGACCAATGGTTTTCGGCCGCAGTCTCCATAGTCGAATGAGATGATCCGCTTGTTCTGGATCTTGCGGAGATGAAGAATAAGTTGCGGTGGCAGCAGTGGAAGCTTTAGCAACGGTAACTGGTTAACCAGTGAGGGGCATCGGGAAGAAGGATTTTTTTTTCGGGTTCGCGGGTATGAGAAAGTGGCAGTGGGCGACCGCCAAAGAATAACGCGTCAAGATTGCCCTGTCGCGTGATTGGGCCGTAGCCCCTAACCCTAACCCTAACCCTAACCCTGACCCTAACTCCGTACTTCGAACAGTACCTCCATTCCGCCTGCGGCTTCTCAGGCTCAAGGCCTGTCTGCTACCTCGATAGTATTACAGTATCCGCACCATCACCATCCGTATGCCAGTGTGAGTTGTATACATGGTGAGGGGGCGAGGGCGGACATGCACATGGCGGTGATCATTCGGAGTGCTCAGAGTCGTACGCCGGCTTGACTGGGACACGGTCGTAGATTCGGCGCTGGTCAACGATCTAGCACTACCAGTGTCGGATCCATGAACTCCAACCTCCAACCTCCGCGCTCCGCAGACCTCACCCGGCGAGAACGTCCAGCTCTGCGACGAAGTCTTGTCAAGCGAGACGCACTTTGACGCCCCGGAGTGCGACAGAAGGATATGGTTATAGTAGAAAAGAGCACCTGGGCGAACATCTTCCGGTGCTCAAGCAATTGCTATGCTGTTTAGGCCGTTGCTTCTCATGCAGCGTTGGCGCCAGCAGGACAAGTTTCCGTTCATCCTTGCCGAGGTATGCCGATGCCTCCGTACACAGCATGTTGTACTACCAAGTTGTGCGACGATGTTGTGGCTATGTGGCTATACTCCTTAGTCTCAGGCTGTAAGTATATGAAGTATATGATATTCTCAACTGGCTGAGTATGAGAGAGAGAGAGAGAGAGAGAGAGAGAGAGAGAGAGAGAGAGAGAGAGAGAGACCGCTGTGCATCCTGTTCATTTGTATCTGTCCTGTTCATTTTTCCTTTTTATATTCCAGCGTGCGGAACGTGTCGCCGTCGCGTCAATCGGTAACGCTCAGTCACTTGAATAAATCCTGCGCTGCCCAGCAAGACCCAATGAAGCATAAGCCTTTCTCTGACGCCTATAAGGCGTATCCTATACCTGCATGCTCATCTGACATTAAATCCGTCATACGTAAATCCCACAAAAGACAGAGTCAGGACTGGCCCATGACCTCAATGCCGGCCACTTGAACAACAGGTCTGCCGGACAGAGTACTACTCGCCTTCCTCTTCTCCACGCCCCTGGCCTTTCTGTCGCCATCTTCGGGTAGGCGCATGTCTATCGGACTAAGCGGACTCTCCGGCATGACAGACTGGAATCGATTGTGGCGGCACAGATTCTCAGCCTCGCGTTGCAACATGGCAGCATCGACTTTTAGATTGAAGTCTGCCAGGTAGCAGAATGTGATTTCGAGCCTGCCGAGCTCGGCCTCGGAGACTCCACCGACTTTGCTGATACGGCCGTGCGGCCACGACAGATCCTCGAGCGCCTTCATGGCCACTCGCAGGCAGGCTAGAAGCAGGCGATGCACATTGCGGGGTGTGACGGGGAGGATCTTCTCCCGGACTGCCAATCGAGTGATATATAGCGACGACGCGAGATAGACTGCCGTTGATGTAGGACAGTATTTGTGCATGCGCATGAGATACTCTTCGATCGAGATGGGTGGCGGCCGCTTCGAGTAGAACTTCCTCGCCAGCGCCCCGTGCTGGATGTAGATTGGCTGCGCGTGGGCTCCAACGATCTGATCGGCCGAAGTAGGTTCCCGGGCATTGGCTTCTGGAGAGCCGATGTGCGTGTCTACAAAAGAGACCCCGTCGATGTGCTCCTGCTGAATCCCTGACCCTGGCGCTGGAGCGCGTAGCACGAGGTTTTCTTTCTTCGGCGTAGTCGTGTCCAGTGTGGTTGAGTCGCGCAGTTTAGATACGCCGCGAACTGGAGACGCCCCTCGACTGTGTGCTGGGGGAGTCGGAGGTACGTCGCCCGTCATCTGGACCAGACTGTCGATGCTCCGGCACAGCAATTTGATAGCTGCCACAGCGTCCAAGTTGAAGATGTCCACATTTTCGGGTGTAAGACCTTCCAAGTCTTCCACAAGAGGGCTCTTGATCGACGGAGGGAAAATCCCCTTGTCGTTCTGGGGCTCGGGCGGCGCAGGTAACTCGGGCGTGCTTGTGCCTTGCTCTTGCCGGTCCGCTTGACCCTCAATGGTTCCCATGATGTGATGCAATGTTGTGTGTAGTGTAGGTACTCTTGTTGTCAACCTTGCTCAAATGGCGAAGGTTCAGCGAGGGCAGATTTCGGTCGGGTGTGTAGCTGGCCGGTCGGCAGCCACATGGTCAAGCCTGTGTCGAACCCAGGATTGTGCTCCTTGGGGAGCTCTTGAAGGGCTGCAAGAGTATTTTCGAAACGTGAATTGAGCAGCAGAGGTGTTTATAGCTGACTCCTTCGTAATCTGGCCCAAGTGGCCAGCTACTCGGAAGATATGGTACGGAGCTCTCTTGGACGGGTGGGTGTGACGTCGAGCCGAGCGGGAAAACAATCAGCTTCGGCTGGAGGGCTGGAGGGCGGGAGGACGACAGGGTTGACTTCGACTACGAGCACGACAAGGTAGTCTGGAACAGGGATCGAAGACGAACGGGTTCGGAGGCCTGTAGGATGGAAGCGGCGCCATTCACTGGCTTTTTGACTATCTGTGTACGGACAGGTTTTGGTCTTTGGCCGTCGAGAGGACAGTGCACGCAGCGGGAGTCCAGACTTGCGATAGGGCAGGGTCAGCAGGGTCAGGCAGAAGAGCTGACAACCGGCAGGGCAATGCAGGGCAGGGCCATTAATATTGCCGGATGGTCGAGGGATGAAACGTGTACACGAGTCGTAGTGGGTGTGTTGTATGTGCTGGATGTGCTGGATGTCCTGTATGTACTGACTGTGTGTGTGTGCCTGAAGCCGTCTGCGCCCTCGCCCGCGCCCGCGGGGCTCAGGCTTATATTGATGTCCGCCTCCGCCACGAAAAAAAGGTCGACGTGGTCACGCGCCGGGTTTGTGTGTGGTTGTACATCCACTTTGAGGCCTGGACTCGCCCCCTCCACCATTCCTCTTGCTTAATTAGACGGATGCTCATTTCACTGTACTAGGTAACTAGGCCTGATTACTGGATGCCGTGATGGGGAGAAGCCGAGGCTTAGGGGCCTAAGGCTAGAGCATCTGAGGGAGGCTCTGGTGGCCACCGTCTGGTGCCGTCTGTCTCACTGATCGTCGACCAGACCCCGATCGCAGAGCTGCACAACATACCTGACTAGCAGCTTGTCCCCCGGCCCAGCAGCAAATGAGATGGCCACCATGGAGTTCAGAGCAGACTGGCTGCATGTCTATTTCTATCTGTATGTGCCGACTATCTACATCTAGGTGACACGACAGATCTCAGATCTTAGTCGACAGATCGCCGCGCACCTTCCCTTGACACCACCGTCAATACTGCCACCGTTAGGAAGTTGAAGTCCCCAACCAGAGCTGTCCCTAGATCCCCGTATAACCTTAACCCCCGAACGCCTGATTCTTTCCTTGCTTTGCAGCGTTGACCCGATATATCGAGGCTGTTCTTGTCCTGTCTAGCCTTCCGACTTCTTACTTCCTTCCTTTCATGGCTCAGGAAATGGACCCGACCTTGCGTCGACCGAGGTCTATCGATGTCTACGCCCTCGGTCGCGGTCGCGGTCGCGGTCACGATCTCTGTCTCTGTCTCCATCATCGTCGATGATGATGACGCTGTGCCGACGGGGACGTCTCTCAGCTGTTCCCAGCTGTAGATCGTCACGGGATTGATGGTTCTCCGGGTGCGTGCGTCGATAGTCATCCCGGGCCCGATCCAAGGCGGAGCGATTGCGGTCATGAATCGGTAGGGCTGGCGAAGGGTTGTGGACGACAACAACATCCTGGCGGTCGCGAGGCCGCCGGGTCTCAAGTCTATGTTGTTCTTCGCTGAGTCGTCTCTCGCGGTCCCTGATGGCTCGTTCGCGCCGTTCGAGTGACCTCTGGCGCTTTTCCCGGGCCAGGTCGGCCTTGAGTCTCTGGGCTTTCTCTTCGGCTGCGGCGGCTGCCTTTTCTGCCTCGCGTCGTTCTCGTCTCTCCCTTTCGAGGTCGTCAACCAGTCTCTGAACCTGGGGATCCGGTCGTCGACGGTCATATTCTCGCGGAACCCCGCTGGCTCCTGCAGGCTCGGCAACATAATATTTGCCGCTATCGCGCTTTCTCCTGGGCGGGGGACTCTCTACCTGGGGATAGGCTTCTTCATCGTCGGGATGACGATAGACGATCTTGACCTTATGGGATCGAGGAGATACCTCTTCCTCAGCGTGACCCTTGGGATTATCACCACGGCGTGGCGACTTTGGGGGTAGTTTTGGCGGCAACGGAGCATAAATTCCATCCTCAACATTTGGAGACATGGTGTAATACGGGCCCCTTGGAGGCGGCGGCGGCGGCGGCGGAGGAGGAGGAGGAGGAGATGGCGACGGTGTCCGGATACGACGCTCCTGGCGTCGACTCCGAACCGGAGTTTCTTCGATGATATGAACTCTCTTCCTCCGGCTTCGGAACAGATTGTAAAGCTTCGACCCAAATGTCAATGACCTTCTTTCTGACGCTTCTGATGGACGGGTGCGGTAGGTACGCACCTGCGGATGTCTTTCGATCACGATAGGCTCTGATGAGTGGTTGTCGAGAGTGTGGCGACGTCGATCTGACATCCGAAGAAGGGGGAATGAGCTCACGTTGGGTGGACTATGGCAACCGTGACACTCGAGACGACGCTTTACTCCCCAACCTGGCGACAATACAGCGATATGATGCGAACCTTGGGGCCTGTGGTTGTTTCGCTGTGGGATGGCAGCAGCAGCAAACTCGAATTGAATAGTGTATTGGACCAAGAGAAACGGACGAAGGACGGCTCTTGTTGAAAAGTGGTTTGATGGATGCCTAGAGCCCTATATGACGGAGCGCTTTCGTCACATTGGGGCATCTTCGAGATATATCTCACTCAAGACATGGTCCAGGAAGTGCTCGTGTGATGGACGGTCGCAAACATGGTGGTGATCCGGTCGGTGAAAACGACGGTATCGGGTCGACTGAATTCCCCTGTTGTCTCCCAAGGCTGTGGACCTGGTCTGGTGATTCGTCGGCAAGTCGCCTCAATCTACACACGCTCTGAACAACGGTGTGATGGGTTGCCAGCGGGTCGGTTCAAGGAAGTGGTAGAAGTGTTGATTGGGGAGTTTTGCACCGCATGTAAGGGGCATAGATCTTTTTCTGGACCCAATGCACGGCTGGGAGAAGGGTAAGCAGCTTAATGGCTCGCGGCCAGACCACATCTTGGGCAATCGTTTGTACTGGTCCGCATGATGGAATCAGGCAGCAGGGGGGAGATTTGGGCTGTCGGGTTGCAGCCGGAACCACCGACGCAAGGCTGGCAGGGTTGTTGAGCTGTGCAGGGGAGAGAGAAGTGACAAAACCCCTCGCAAGGTCCCTTCCCACATGGCACACAGACAAAGATACTCTCTCTTACTGTATCCGTATCCGTACACATACCGTGACTCCCACATTCTCCATATCCATCGCCATGCGGGCTGCCTTTTCGCGGGCTCCGTCAGCGGCATGCCAATGTTTCGTTTGCCTGACAGTAGGCCAATCCCAGTCGCGGTCCGTCAGGGGTCGCATGCCTGTGGCGGCCAATTATGTCATCGATCCGGCTGTGTCGAGAGCACAGGACAGAGGCATCACGGCCCTTTGACTCACTCTGTGTCGTCGTCCGAAACCATCAAAGGGGGCCAGATGAAGGCACAGAAGGTGAGGTTGAAATTAGTCACCGGAGAGAAAATGCTCCAGGGGCCTGCCAACACGGAGCGTAGACACTACTGACAGCTTGAAGCTCCCCTGCCAGTGTCTGGCATCTGGCAGCTACGAGATACAGTGCAGGGGATCCATACATTGTCCAGCCGCTGTGGCTGTGCATGCAGCCCTAAGCCTAAGCCTCAACCTGGCCCCTAAACCCTCGAATCGTCATTGACTGCAGCTCTGCCCTTACAAGGTCTGGCATGGATCTGAACCTGTTATCTTGCCGACTATGGAGTAATTTTCCGTAGACGGAATCTTCTTTTCCTCTGGGCTATGCCAAAGGTCCCGTGGTCTATGACTACTTACTATTACTGTGAATGTGACCGTGTCGGTGACCGAGCACCGATCAGAAGTAACCTAAGAATCGTCCGTCATTATTTGGCCGGCGCCTTCACGAGGGTCCTGTCCCATCTCCAGGCTTTGCTAACAACTCGCCAGACCTAGCCATCTCTGTAGGCTACCGCTCGCTGGTGTGTTTTCCTGTCCTGCTGAGAGACAAGGCTTTAGCAGCTTCGTGGTCAGAGTGGCTGAGCCAGAATACTGCTTCTTGGCAAGGCTAAGGCTGGCGGCCTGATCTATTTCCCATCACTGGCATCACCCGTGCAGCAAGGCAAGGTCCAAGGCGAGGGAAGCAGTCGGAACCAGCGACTCCGTACATGTGGGTAGGGTAGTGACAACTTTGGATATTATAACCATTATATACCTATGTACCTATACGAAGTCCCAGTAGCCTGTGTTTTTTTTTAGTTTTGGAAAACGAGCATCCCTAATCCTGCCTCAAGCACCGCGCTGTCGAAAGATCTCGCGGATAAGATATCCCATGCACCACTGATCTTCAAGGGTCGATATGCCATGAACGGGCTACCTGTGTGTTCATTGCAGCGTTTGGACAGCTTCCGAATTATACCACATCAAAGCAACAACAAGGATAGTGTGAGCATCAGAATGAGTGCTGGCACGTTCAATGCATTGGCATCAGCAGCACCAGTTGAAACTGAGGCAATGCTCGGAGAAGTGCTAGAGCTAGGCGAAGCTGTCGAGCTGCTCGTGACCGCGGCTGACGGCGTTGTAGATGATGAGCTTGGAGAGGTCGACGGGGGTAGCGAAGTAGACGATGGGGGAGACGCAGATGTAGTCGGGGTCGTTGGTGACGACGGAGGCGTTGTGGTCGATGTCGAAGTCGAAGGGGTGCTAGTGGTTTCTATTGGACTAGTGGTGGTCGAAGGGGTTGTAGTGGTGGTCGAAGGGGCTGTAGTAGTGGTCGAAGGGGTTGTGGTGGTAGTCGAAGGGGTTGTGGTGGTGGTCGAAGGGGTTGTAGTAGTGGTCGAAGTGGTAGTAACAGGCCTGGTGCTTGTCGTTGATGTGGCAGTAGTAGTGGTCTGTTCTGCAGCTGGGGTTGACTGTGAGCAAAAGTCGATGAAGGTTCTCAAAGACGTGGCGAGAGCCACAGCAGGGCTGTTCACGGCGACAGTCTTCCAGCTTGTAATACAACTGCCGCAGTTTCTGTAGCTCTTCTGGAATGGCACGCTGGACGGGCACAATTGGTTATATTGGAGCTGACAGGACTGAGCCTCAAGTCCTGCATTATTGCATTTATCGTAACATTCGGGAGGTATACTCAGATCCTGCTGCTGTCGTGCAACCAGCATTGCTCTGGCTGAGATCTCTGGACCAGGCGCAGCGCCAGTGCTAGGTCGATAAGGCTTCCCGGAGTAACTCGACCAGTCATTCCAGCTCTGCCCATAGGACTTTGTTCCCAACGATGGTGATGGTGCCCATACGGTGAATGGGGGTGGTAGAGATGGACTTGGAGTCGTCCAATCCGCCCATGTACTGGTTGGTGGAGGTGCAGGCGATGTTGGTGTAGTCCAATTAACCCATGTAGAAGATGGGGAAGATATCGGTACGGTGGATGGACAGCTAGGCCCGGGTTGGCCGTTGAATTCGAAAATATTGTAGTTCAGACCGAATGGGCGAGGGTCGAGGTCAAAGTACCCTTCGATGGGGATGACCGGGGTACAGTTGTGGGGATCCTCGTCGTCAATGAGCGGTGGTAGAGGCGGCGGGACTTTGCAATCGTCAGGACTGCAATAGTATGAGTCCGCAGGCAGGCCTTGCTCGAAATTGCAATCGATTTGCTTTGGAGTGCACAAAGTTCCTGGTGGACAGCCCCACAAGTAATCAGTAGGAAGAGCAGTGGAGGTCGTATACGTCGGATTGATGGTTCTGGAAGGACAGAGGACCAGGCCGACGAGGGGCGTAGTTGTAAAAGTGCAAGATTGAGTAATCGTCCTATACTCGACACTCACCACCACACTCGCGCTGGTGATAGTAGCAGTAGCCGTGATGGTCTCTTGGGAGACCTGTGTCTCAGTCGCCGCGTCAGTAAAGTAGTTGTTCAATGTGCTGTAGACAATTTCGGTTGCGGTGACTGTATCCGTGGCGGTCTCGGTCTCTTGAGAGACCTGTGTCTCGATCGCTGTGTTGGTATAGTAGTTGTTCAATGTGCTGTAGATGAACTCAGTGGTGGTAACTGTATCCGTGGCGGTCTCGACCTCTTGAGAGACTTGTGTCTCGGTTGCTGTGTCGGTATAGTAGTTGTTCAATGTGCTGTAGATGAACTCAGTGGTGGTAATTGTATCTGTGGCAGTCTCGGTCTCTTGGGACCATTGTGTCTCGGTCGCAGTATCGGTGTAATAGTTGTTGAATGTGCTGTAGAGGAACTCGGTCGTGGTGAGGACAGACGTGTCAACCAATACGTATGTCGTCGTTTCCACGGAAATATAAGTCGTTGGCTGCACAGAGGTTGACCAAACCGTGGTCCAAACTGTTTCAGGGGGAGCAGTCGACCATTGTGTTTCCCAACAGGTGGAAGTACTCCAGTAGGTGATGGCTTCCTTTGGCGGTGTCGCCCATTGAGTTTCTGTACAAGTTTCGGTGAACCAATGAGTGACGTCCCCTGCGATGGTACCGATAGACCACAGACCACAAAGGATCAAGACATGTAACGACAGCATCTTCCTCAAGAGACAGTTGCAAGAAATGCTAGTGTCAGCAGAACGATGATCAGGCTTTACCGAGTGACAAAAGCCAAGCGATAGACAATCCGCCAAAGAGGGTTGCGAAAGAAGCGAGAGTGTCGCACCTGCAACGAAGCCTCGAGTGCGTATGAATTCTGCACAACTACTATAAGAACTTCCGCGAGAGCGACCTGACGAGAAACAGGGAGGAAAAGAGGGAGTCAGGCTGTACTTGAAAGCGGTCCATGAAGAGGGGCTTCACAGATACACGGTACCCCATCATACCTGAAGATTCCCGCCTGGATGGTCCCAAGCCATCCAGTGGTGCTGTATCGTAACGGACATGCAGGTCGGGCCCAAGGTGAACACAACCACGACGGTTCTAGCTGCGCAAGTCCGGCATTAGCAGGGACAGCTTATGGTGTGGACAAAAATGGTAACTATCACCGATGCTTGCACCCCAGACCACAGCTTTGAGGGGACCTAAGAAGGAATCCTGGGGGGCCGTTCAATGCCTGCATGACCAGATGCCCAAAGAGGGGTAGTGAAGTAGCATTGAAGCAAGCCACAGTAGGCACGCTGACGCGGGAGGCCCTGAGGAGACAGCCACGAGAGCCATTGCCCGACCCCGACGGATGGGCTGAACGAGAGCATGTGGCGAGCACGCAGAGCATGAGGCTCAACTGGAGTGCTTTGGGAGAGCAGAGAAGAGCGGGGAGAAAAAGGGCCAAGGCCAGGCCGCAACTTTAACCTACGCTAATACAACACTAAACACGGCTAGCCGGCTATTTCCACCAATCCAGTCACGATACCGCCGATTTGGGCTTAGCTTGATCCGACCTCCCTGCGGCCGGCAGTGCCTCTCTTGTTTTTCCGCCTCTGGGCACCATTGCCTTCTGAACACGTTCTCTTACCAGCCAGCTCAAAGCTGCAGAGACCGGGCTTCGTCGCTTGTTTTTCACTGAACCGGGATCCTGATAGGATTGATCGAGCTTGACCTTCTCCGCTAGCCTTCTCTACCTGCGCCCGATTTCGCTGGGCTGTTAGCGGTCCCCGACGGCGGACGAGTCTTCGCTGACAACCTAGTAAACCGCTGTTGTTAGCCTCCAAATATCCGAGCTCACACCACCTTTCCCACGTTGAGATCAATGGAGTCAAGAACCATTCCTCTCAGCCTAACGGAGGAATCCTGTCCCTCCCTTACCGATGAACTCGTGTCGGCCGCACCTTGTGATCCTGTTGACAACTAGTTGGCTTGCGTGATGCTATGTTCGAGCAAAAATCTACAATAGTGCCAGCCCAAACGCAGACTGCAGTGAGAAAGGAAAGCATTCCAGGAAGTGATCCTCGAGCCGAGAGAATCGCTAACGGTCCGACCTACCATATCCGCTCTCCAATGGGTCCAGACACGGGAAGGTCTGCAAGGATACGCATCCCTGTCGTCTACTTTGTCCAGCGCAGCAGTACGTGACTTACGATACACGTCCCTGCTTCGTTCCGGACGTCGACATGTCTTTGTGGATGGGCATCCTTATTTTCTGGTAGGCTTTGAGCTAACTTCACAGGCCTAGAAAATGCTTGAAGAACACCCGTGCATTTTTACGAGTAGCTGAAGAAAGACTCGGATACAGTTGCTTTATGACAGCCAGAGGAACTATGTCTATTGGGCGTAGCAAAGTTATCAACCATATTCCTAATTTGGTTGGATTCAACACCCCTTCGAGCTGGGGGCTACCAACTAGCAATATGTTCTATCCAGTCAGAACGGATGTTACTCGAGAGGGATTGGGTGATAGACAAGGTTCGGGCCATTTTCACACAACCCTGCATTTGCGCACCTTTTACTGTTGAGTTTTGACAGTGCCACCTCAGGCCTCCCACTATGCATGCACCTATATCGCTGGTCACCTCGGCGTACACTTCTGCTACACCCCTACAAAGCAAGACGGCGAATAGGTCCTCCCGCAGCATCCGACCAATCTGGCCCATACAAGGGTAAGCTGGCGGTGGCGGTATCACAAGGCATAATCAGCCTCTCTATTATCTCGAATGATGCACAGCTGAGGCTGCTCGTAGGACTTCCTTTATCAAATCCCGCTGGCTCGAAGAGGCTTGAAGTGTGGCTGTGTTCTCGAGCGGTTTCCTCGTTCTGTCGACACTATGGCAATGTTAAGGCTGATCGCCGTGGGTTCATTTATGAGCCTCGTAGCAGCTGCGAATGTCTGGAGGCTAAGTAGCTGGAGACAACCGCGCGCAGCCATCGTCAGAGACACGCTATACATCGATGGGGGTGACATGTACAATGCTACATGGGATGGCTCTGCTTGGGTACCAGGCGTGACCCCTCAAGGCGCTCCACAAGACCAAGGTTTGATGTACACCTTGTTCTTCAACAAGAGCTTCCACATCGACACCGACTTCTGGGACCTTTTTGAGCCGCTGAGCACCGGTGGAGCATCGAACAATCCGCTATTCCGGAATGGATTCATGTTTGCGGACGATTACGAGTTCTATACTTACGGGTAAGATGCTCTGCTTCCTCTTGATAAAAGCTTGAGCTAAAGGTTCATCCCAGGGGAATATCAGTGACCTCCGGAGGGATAGACGCTGATCTCATCAACGATCAGATCTTCAAGCCGGACGGGAATGAGCCGACCACAATCGTCGATTGGCATCCCCGTTTCGACACACATTATAATTTCTCCTCCGAGTCAGACGCCAGAAGATATGTCACCCACGGGGCTGGTGCCAACATCCCAAGCGAGTATCTGGGATACTATTTCTCCGGGATGCAAACAGTGTCAGGTGAATACATTGGGGAATTCGATTCCAGTGACTTGAGCACGGCGGCCAATGTGACGTTGAATCAAATGCTCGAGGTGAATATGGATGCGGTGGGTAATGCCGAATGGACCAGTCTCCAACTTCCATCTTGGGTGTCAGGACGTGGGAGCGGACAACTGCCTTGGGTGCCTTTTGGGCCGAAGGGTCTTTTGGTCGCCATCGGGGGCGTTCTGAACCCGATTGACGTTTACGACGGCAGCGACTATCCAGATGGTGAATCTGATTTGAAGACCGAAAGCGATGAAATCAGTCCCAGCTTCATGCAAGATCTCAAGATCTTCAACGTCGACAATGGCTCCTGGTACAACCAAACCACGACTGGAAAGGGACCTCCACAATTGGCCGAGTTCTGCGCGGTTGTTGCGCACGAGCATGGCACCAGATCGGCGCAAATCTACATCTACGGCGGTATTGTCGGCACCGATGTCACCGCCAAACCAATCAACAAGGTTTTCATACTGTCAGTTCCTTCCTTTCACTGGACAGAAGTCACTCCTCTTGGCACGACGTCGGGACGCCGGGGCCATATATGCGTGATGCCTTACCCTGACCAGATGTTTGTCATTGGAGGAACAAACTTCGAGCATCTACTTCCTGAGGGCCAGTGGATTCAGATTCTGAATGTGTCGAGCCTTGGATGGCAGGATTCATACGATCCTTCAAAGTGGTCCAAATATGCCATTCCGGACAAGATCAAAGTCCAGGGTGACCAGGATCAGAAGGCCGCCAACATGGACCCAAATCTAGCCGCACTATTCGACACGGTCTATCCGGAAGATAAGTTGCCACCGCAGTACAGCTATACGAATCATTCTGGAAGCAAAAACAAATGGCTGGCGCCTGTGCTTGGAAGTGTTCTGGGGACCACGGTCCTGGTCATAGCTGCGGTCGCTATTTTCTACTATTGCCGCCGCAGAAGGAACGTCGACAAGAAAACGACAGGCTCTTCGAGTTCTGGTCAATCCGAGACCCTACGTGGATCCGGAGGGATCAATGAATGGCGCCAGCAAGTCAAATCAGTTGCTTCAGAGACAATGGAGATTGACGGCAGCGACCGAAATACCTTACGTGGCTCCCAGAACATGTACGGTGACCCTCAAGAAGTGGTAGAGATATCTGGTCGCCCGAAGCTTTTCGCCGCCCGTTCGCCACGATCACTCGGCGTCGCTGGAAGCCCGCATACTCCCCTGTCCGGCTCTGTTGAGGTCAGTGGGGATCCAGCGGCCAGGCAAGAGCTGCAAGACACCTCCCAACACCAGGCACCTCTCAACCAGGCTGCATTGGCAACCGAGAGGCCGGACTATCATTTCCGTCGACACCCTCTCTACCCGCACAATGTCGACGAAACAATGAGCATGTCCCAGAGCGGCATCACCACTGGCCAGGCTGTCTCTTCTGTCGGCGCGGACGGCCAAGTTTCACTGCCCAAGTCAGATTCTGTCGGAGACAACCTGGGCTATGTCCTGTACGGAGAAGTTCCTGTACCTGCGACCAACACGGACCGCGTTTCTCGGATCGGGACCGCAACAGGAATAGCCAGCTCAGAGCAAGTCCACCATCAAGGGTCTACCGGCCAGGAGAACGTATTGCCCAGCGAAGCTCTTCCATCACCGATCAACGACCGACCCAGCGGACCGCGCCACGACTCCAACGCCAGCAGCGACTTGCAACTCACGCCTTTGGACAGTGAGGAGTCGAGCGTCAACCCTATTCCCGGCATGGTCGGGATCTCACTGCACAGCCCGACGGACCAGAGCTCGGCACTGCCCAGACCAAGCACGCCTACCAACCAGATGCGGCCGACACACCAGCGCAATTCGAGCAGCATGAGCAGTGGTATGTTGATCGGGACACCGCCCAACTCGCTCCCATCGCCTGACCCAGAAGAGAATAAACGTCGGTCCATCATGATCGACCGGCTCCCCGAAGGCCCGACACAGACCTCGTCCGGGGTGCCGGGCGTCCCGCCCACGCGTGTACAGATACCGCGCCGAAAGGAGGTTGGAACCGCCGTGCGCAGCGCGTACGAAGAGAACCGGATGCGATTTTCCGACCCTGAGCGCCGAGATCCGGCATTAAGAGATGGGCAGTATAGCGCGAAGGGCAGTGGCCAGCCGGAGACGTGAGTTGAGTTTAGGCCAAGCTGGAAAGGTCGGGACAGGGAGAGAAGTGAGGGTGTGTGACCACAACCAGGGCGCTGGGGACAAGTCAGAGATCCGATCCAACAGGAGAACGATGACAAGAACAGGAGGAACAAGGAATAATGAACGATGACAATGACAATGACAATGAACCGAGATACCGTATGGATGGAATGAACTGAATTGAAGTGAACTCAGCTGAACCGTAAAGCTAGGTAATTAGTTAGGTAGTTATTAGTAATACTGAGCACGTAAGAGCCATTGGCGCATGAAGCAAGTCACTTGGAATCAATCGATCGTAACTTTGGACCTTTTACCGGCGCACGGTATTGCAACTTATATAGTACGGAGTACAGAGCCATAGGGCATAGAGTCCAGAGTAGGTGTACAGAGTAGGAGTAGTAATACGGAGTAGGAGTAGGAGTACAGAATACAGAGGACAGAGGACCAGAGGACAGAGGACCAGAGGACCGAGGACAGAGGACAGAGGACAGAGGACAGAGGACAGAGGACCATAGATAGGTAGTTGTCAACTATAGAGTACTCCGTAGGTGCTCCGTACTTATAGTAAGGTAAGTAAGTAGGTAATCAACAGGTAGGCACCTAGTAGTAGGTACTCTGTACTCCGTAGATTGCGTTGATCGTTGATCCGGTCAACAGCCTCATCATGTGATCCCAATCTCAATCTAAGCCTCAATCTCAGCCTCGTCTCTCGTCTCTCGTCTCTCGTCTCGTCTCGTCTCGTGCTCCACTAAAGCCCCCGAATGTCGATTGCCAGACTCTGATTCCGATTCCGACTCCACGTCTATAGGGGATGAAATGATCGCTCATTGTCTGTCTGCATACACATATGTTTTGGTCGGTATGGTATGGTGTACAGATACATTAAATATCTACCTGCTTGCCTGTCTATCTACCTACCTGTCTACCTACCTACCTACCTACCTACCTACCTACCTAGGCAGTCAGTCTCTGGGTTGCCTCGCTTCGGCTAAGTTCTGTCAAAAGGTAAAAGGTAAAAAATCTAGATCGGGGATCTTCCTGTCCTCCATCCCTGACTCGGGGCCACGACGCCCACGCCGACGCCGACGCCTTTTGAATCTGCCTGCCCAGATGGCTGGTACTGTAATCTTGTTCCCGGCTTTGGCCTTCATCACAAGAACGAGAATGTAGGTTCCATATTCTTTCTGTACAAATGCCTGGCGGCCTGGCCAGTGCGTATCGGCACTGCAAGGTTTGCCTAATGATTAGGACACATACGCCTCCGTTGGACGATGACGGTGACATGTCGCAGGCCTAAAACATGACGAGGAATATAATAGCCTTGTCCCGATACTTTGTCGCGGTGTTAGACAAAAAAAGACTTTAGAATCCCCAACTACCTTTCCTGGCTCGGGCTCCCCAATCATCGTTCGCACTCACCACCACCGGCCCCATTGATTCGTGTAAGAAGTTCGGACTCTGTCGAGCCCACTCCCGAACGTATAGTCGCAAGGCTTCCCACCGCTTACATTTGCCGACAACCTCACTCTCGTCAGATCCGTCGCCTTCGGGTGCGCCGACGTAGCCCCTGGCGTCGACGAGGTTGTCGTCCTTCCTGAGCTCCTCCATCGGGATCCTACTTATCTTGCTCAGTTCGTCATCGAACATATGTGCAAGGCTGGGGTATCCAAGGCTCAAATAATTGTATATCTGCGTAATGACGCGCGCTGGGAACTCTTCATCGATCTGATGCTCCAGTTGGAGCTTTTTGTCGACGGTGCTCGTAAACCCGTCATCGCCGTCGTTGCTTCGTGGAGGCGTCAGCGGGAGGAAATTCATGCCTGAATAAGGCCGTTGCCTTCCAGGAGTTTGCCGGCCGCGACCGGCCGTCATGGAATCAAAGGGGTTGTTTCTTTCCACCATGGGACTGAGGGGAGCTGGCGTTTGGATGCCGGTGTTCAACCCATTCATTTGATGGTTGACAGGTTGCCACGTCCCTACTTGGCACATTCCCATCCACAGCCCGCCATCAGCATTGTTCTCGGGTTGTTTGTTCGAGATCCACAGTTTCGGGCTTTCCTCGTCCATGGCCTCGTCGCGGCTGCCAGTGTTCCGCGGTCGTGGGGGTTGATCGGGATCACACCGCGTCATCTTGGGTGAGATAGTATATGGGAAAACAAGGCTGCCACCTAGCATGGGAGGGGATGCCGCTGCCATCATGCGAGCGAGCTCCGAGTCCTCATCCGCGGCTCTGGCTTTCTTGGATTTATTCGGGCCTTTGGCCTCTACGGCCTGACGGCTGGCCAAAGCAGCAGCGCTGAAACGACTGTGACTGGCAGGATCGGGGTTCAGCCCTCGCCTGGTCGATTCCAGTAGCTCGTGGTGCTTCTGCATACTCTGCAATTCTAAATGCAGCTCTGCGGCGGATGATCGTCGGAAGGTCCGCGCATCGACGCCTTTCTCCCCTTGAAACATGGGGACAGGAAGGGGCCCGTCTTCTTCGTCGGCATCAATGGCAAAATGGTCCACAGGTTCGTGCGGTCGCTCATTGATATAGGCAGCCATGGCCTGTTCCTGTAACTCTTTTTCGGTCACCGTGTCCGCGGCCAGCCGGAGGACATAGTCTGTGTAGCTGCTCTGTATAGGAGGTCGACTGGGCTCTTTCCTGTTCTCTGTGTCCACGGACGAGGGAGACTCGCTTAGTGACGGTGCTTCAGATGTATCATCTTCAGTGGTCGATTCGATCATCGGTAAGTCAGGAACAACAAATGAATGTTGGCGGGATGCTTCGGGCCGTCTGCGAGCGAGAGCAGCTGCTGAGAATCGTGACTCCTCAAGCCCACTGGCTCCGTCCACTCGGAATTCCTGATCCGGACGTGGTGACGCTGGACGTCGAGGAAGAGCATGCCCTTGGAACTCAGATGTAGGCAGATGTACGCGTCGGTACGAGCCTTTTGCGGTTTCCAACAGCTCCGGCGAGAACTTGCGTGGCCCACTGGACCTCCTGCTAGAAGCCGATGAGTCTGCGGATCTGGAAAGCTCCTGTTCAGTGTTTTGAAAATCTGTATTCCGCCTCCTTCTGGTGGTGGTCTCAATTGGTTCAGGGAGGAATTTGCGGCGAGGACGTGCTGTCGAAGTATCTTCAGTCTCTTGCAACGTCTTGTCTTTGCTGCTTCTCGTCGACGTCTCGACAGGTTCGGGAGCGAACTTCCGACGAGGCTTGGATGGATGATCGTCCGGCGGAGGGTCCCTATTCTTGCTGCTTTTTATGCTCGTCTCGATTGGCTCAGGGGCAAACCTCCTCCTCGAAGAATGGGAACTGGTCTCTATTGGATCTGGTGCAAAGCGTCTTGGGGTTGTCGAGGGCCTGCTCTCAGAAACACCAGAGGGGGGAGGACCGTGTGTAGATAAATGCAAGTTGACCCCAGTCAACTCTCCTTGGGCTGTAGACTCTTCGGTATGCTTGACGTCCTTCTTCCTCGAACTCCGGGTACTCTCCTCCACCGGTTGAGGCAGAAACCTCCGAGGCTTGGCCTGAGGAGGCACAGGGTCGGGATTTAAGGCACGTGGATTGACTGAGCCATGACTGGATGAGGGGTCCGAAGATGGGCTATATGCAGATCTTGAACTTCTCACCGTGGTCTCGACTGGGTCAGGGATGAACCGCCGGCGCGGAGGCGGGGAAGTCGACATGATTGCGGTCGGCGGTACGGACTGTTCAGGCCATAGTTCAGGCCTGGCTGGCTGGCTGGCTAAGGACACGCGAGCATCGATGCAATGCAACACGTGAGGATGCCGAATGCGGGGAGGTAAGATGCTCTTGCAAGGTGCAAGGAGCGGTCGGGAGGAGACCGAGGACGTAAGAGGCGAGGAGGAGAGTAGGGGGAGGATGTGGATGAGGATTAGGGTTCGAGGATGGGAGAGAAGGCAAGGTCAAAGTCGCAGGTTGAGATGGAGAGAAACCGACACCGAGAGAGGCTTTCACACGCTCGACTTGACGGACGCACGGGACATGAGCGACGTGGGATTTGATGTGTGACAGGAACGAGCTCAGAGAAATAGCGATAATAATGACGAGCGGCAAGCGAATGAGATAGAAATGTGGGATGATATGTACATACACCATGCATCCGTCACCGTACGCCCGGGCATATGATGAGGTATGCCACGCCACGGCCGAGACACGGAGTCAGCCACTGGCGGTCAGTCAAGGCTAGCTGGGCGGTCAGTTGAGGGCGGGCCCTGGGCCAGCTAGGCCTCCTTAGCCATCGACCATGAGCGATAGGAGTGGTCCGGGGCAATCCGGAGCTCCCAGGTCGCCCTCCTGGGGGGCGGCTTAGGCAGTAGATCTCGTGAAGGCCAGGCTAAGGCTTACGCTTAGGGGCTTCTTGGGCAGATCCAGCGGGCTCTGGCGGTCTGGCCGTCTAATAGTGGGTAGGTATATGTACCTATGTACTCCGTACCTAGGTGCTATGGTGCTATGGGCAGGCAAGACACCTTGGGGCAATTCTGGGCGATGGACACTAACTACATAGAGGTGCATACTGTTAGGTCACTGGGGGTCTGGTGCCTGGTTGCAGGCTGCCCGTACAGAAGCAAGCTTTCAATCTTCACCACTTCACCTCAAATACAGATCCGTAGCACCTTAGGTTGAGATATCAACTGCGTTTCCTCGCCTTGATCGAGCAGCTGCCTGCCTACCATCTCACCCGTCGACAGAACATACCTAGCAGTCCTCTCCTCCCTTGCCGCATGAAACCATTGGTCCAAGGCTCTTCAACATCTGATTCTCAAGGAGACCTGCAGTTCAACATATTTAGATCCTGACTCCGCGCTTGTAAGACCATCCAACAAAACCTTCCTTGATTGGCACCGACCCAAAGTACGGTACGCACAACGCAGTCTCAGAACTCCCACAAGCATGTGCGATGTCACACTTCAGGTTGCCTCGGGGTCAAAAGCCTAAAGAGCTCGAGCACGTTGGTTCGCCATGCCAGAACGATACTCCGTGCAACACCACTATAGTACTACCTAGGTAGTAAGCAAGGTGTTTTCCCCAGATCTGGTCCGCCCTCCGTCTGGGTGGCTGCTTATATCTTGTTTCTTAGTGGTCTGAATCTTGCGTTGTGGTGTCACACCGTGACTCAGCTCTCCTGGCTGCATCCCAAAGCACCGGCACTCCGACTTCTCCCGATATCCAACCTGCATCGCTCCCTTCAACCATGCTCGTGCATCCATCCTCCCGCGTGCGCGTGTGAGAACGAAGGCAGCGAAAACAACAAATGCAACAGGCAGAAAGAAGTTCACGCCCTATGCGTCAGAGGGACCAAATCTCGCCAACCCAAGACCAACTGTAGTAGTCACACTTATAACCTGTAGGATGATCCTTTCAATCCGATCGTTCCATCTGAGCTGTCAACTCCGAATCTTCCCTGACCCTCATCTTCGCCAACGCCGGTTCCAACTGCTGACTCGAACTTATACTCATACTCATCGACTCCGGCCCTGCCATGTCTGAGGTGCTCGAGCTGAACCGCCGACTTCGTCTCCTCTCGCGCTGATGGACGATTCCTGGAAACGCGCGCGGCTCTTGACCTGAGATATGCGAGTCGGGATATGATGGCGCGGCATAAAACGCACTGGACATGGTCCGCGGCCGTGTGGGTGAAGTATGAGCGGTGCTGCGATCAATGGTCGCGCTCGATCTCGACCGAGACCATCTTGCGTTTTGGCCCGTCGGGTTGGAATTGCCCACGCTAGCATAATATTGTTTCGGGGACCCCAGGCCCTCGTATACCTCCTCCAGCGGTGTGAGAGGGTCGGAGGGCTCGAGGAAATCAGGGGTGCAGCGGTTGTAGTGGGTGTAGTCCCGGGTGTATTTGGCAATAAAGGCATGTTCGGCCTTCAACGTTTCGTGCCGGAATTCCTCCCTGACGTCGGGCACGTTGCACTTGGCTACGTCGTTACCCAAGACGCCTGGGAGGTAGCAGTAATTTCCGAGCCAGCGTTGCTTCAAAGTCAACTCGAAGCCGCATTGATCCACAGAATGCTTTGCCAGTTCGCACATCTCGACGTTGCTCAACTTATAGATCTGCGCCGCCACCGAATACTCTTCGATCAACGGCTCTTTGGTGAAGGCGAATTGGAGCGGATCGTCCGTTGACAAGGACACGTTCAATCCCTTCTTGAAGTAACTGATGAACGGGTTGCGGTCGTAGGTGAGAAAGAGCGCATTGTTGCTCAAAGGTGACATGGCGATCCCGATCTGCTCCAGATAAAAGACGTACTGGATCAGAGGCACCTTCCGAAGCGTGATGCCATGGCTGATACTGTGGCAGCACAAAAATGCCGCAGCAAGATGGTCGGTATCACCAGCCTCGCCGCAATGTGGTCGCAGCAAGAAGGTGTTGAACCCTCTCTTCTTCCGCCATGCATTGAGAGAGGTCAAGTTCGCGAACAGGCAATAGATCCAGTATCCGTACGGTGGGTTCTGTTTGGTGTTCCATTCCTTCGGTGCAGGGAACTTGCGATAGAGACGCCGTTCGACCTTGCTCTCGTCATCAACACTGTCGAATCCGATCACTCTTTGCAAAAACACGTGCAATTTGGGATGGCTAGACGGATCCTGAGTCACTTCAAACAAAGGCTGGAAGATATTCTTCAAGAGGTCCTCGAAGTTGTCCATCGTCTTCATGGCTTTATACAAGGCATACAGCCGTGGGATCTGGATGAGCCATCGAACGTTGTGCGAGAAGAGCTTGTTGTCGACCACCCAAGCCGCAAGCTTGTCCCATTCGTCGATATTGCGGCCATATATACTGATCCGCCACTCAACCTGCACTCAAAGTCAGCCGCTGCTCCGAGGGGGCCATCGGTACCACCCTACCATTTGATACTTGCTTGATTCCAGATCCGAGATCACCTCACGGGTAATCTCCGCAAGGTATCGTCCTTTGATGAAATTATCCGTCTTGAGAAAGATCTCTCTGAGCCGAGACTGGCCGATTGGGTTGTATTTCAGGTTGAACTTGTCGAAACGATGGAACGAGTCGGTATGAGCGTGCATGTCCAACGTGTCGATGCTTAAATCGTACGCGGTGAGGTTGATGCTGTCAAACACTTCTCTCAGGGTCAATTGCTTCCCATCTCGGTCGATGACCACTTCCTCAGGGCACTTCTTCATCTTGTACTTGATGAATCGCAACAGATGCTTCTGGTTCATGCACGCGGAATGGTGCACGTGCGTGTCGACCTTTCGCACGTTGTAGAAATCGCGGTGAGGGACTTTCTTGGTGTCTGCCACTTCTTGATATTCGTTCAGTAAGGTATACAGATTATACCGACCTTCCAGATACTGCAGACGGCGATATGCAAAGCTTTTCGCCGGTCCGTCAGAGGCGATATCAAGAATTGTGTCCAGTGCGACGTAATAATCTCGCAACGTGGGCACTTCCACCAGAGGCTGGCCATGTTCGTTGTACACCTGAAAGACACTGCCCGCGTCCATCTCATATCGCACCTTCAGATCTTTGGGCGGGATATAGCACTGGCTGAGATCGAAATCTTCCCCAATCGCCTCTCCGGGCTTTCGAGTCTTCTTGGAACTGGTAGGTGATGGTGGCCCCCACTCTGGCTCTGCCTGGTTGGTGTTCGGTGCCCCTCTCGTCCCATCCCCGACGCTCTGTGCCCTCGCATCGGCCATATACAGACTGCTCGAAGTACTGTTGGGAGGGAAAGAGTCCTCCACTGGTTCTCGGGCCTTTTGCTCGTTCCAGACAGGGTTCGGCGGAGGCGGGTAGACCTCCCAAGTGTCATCGTCTTTAGGATTCGCTCCAGGGCACTGAGAAGAAATGTTCATGTACTTTTGCCGCAGATCCAGCAGTGTTTTGAGCTTGTCACAGATGGCCTGCACCTCAACTACAATGCTGTCGTCGCTGGCCGCCATTCCTCCAGGGCCGCTGCCGAGGCCTATACCCGCCCCTGCACCATGAACACCCTCGTGGGCCAGTAGGGGATCCTTGAACTCCTGGGGCAAGCGTGGGAGACGTCGGTGGTTGCGAGCAGCGGCATCGGCAATCAGGCTTGGATCTGGACGTCCATCCTGAGCGCCAATGCCTTGGGTTTGCAGACGAGGGAAGGATTCTTTGGCGGAGTCCAATTGCTGCCCGCTCGGACCAAACCCTCGTTGGCTCAGACGCGACTGTCTCGAGGTGATACTAGGGGTACGATGCAACGCGGTATCGCCGTCTAGTGAGGGGGGCATGGTAAAGGATCTGGCTGGTAACATGGGACTGCCCAGATCTTTATCGGACTTGGTGTCCATTCGATGCCGCTGGTAAATTAGTTTTGCATCCGCATACGTGTCGCGTTTCTCGGCAGCATAATGGTAGAATGGATGAGGGAGCTGGTCGTCCTCCTGGAGCTCGTCAGAAGAATGCGTGTGACCCGTGGCGGGGGGGTTTGCATCTGGCTTGTCGCCATCCTCTGGGTGTTGAATGGACGCTTTCCCCGCGACCGTCTTCTCAGCTTGAGGGTCGTCCTGCATGCCTGAGATGCGCGACTTCCAGTCATAGACATCATCCTCTTCGTCCGACTCTGCCGTCATACCGTTTTGCGCCATAGGTAGTGCAGGATTGCGGCTATCCATGGCCCGCCTTAGACCAGTGGTAGTGGCTGGATGGCTAGAACGGCTTCAAGCAACCTCTGTAGCAATGCCCAGCCGCAACCAGCGAGCACGGCAGGCAACAGGAAGAGATCCGAGCTCCGTTGCCTTATCAACCGCGACGCTTCGGTTTGGTTCAAAGGGGTTGTCCTTGGAGCATGCGGTGACGTTCAAGTTGACGTTGTCGGTGTGGTGCGGTGAGAGACTCGAGTGGACGTCGACTTCGAAATTCTCTTGGCGCGATCCACGACGTATGTAAGGAGAGTATCCGTATACTCCGTACAGATAGATGATAAGGTCCTAACTCTGTGAGAGCATTGGGAGCCAGGGGCGCTCCTTATCAAGATGCACGCCTTCAATCTCAGTCCTGGCTTGACTCACTCATCCACAAGCACGACCGGCCAACCTCTGCCCATTTCTGGACAGAATTCAGAATTGCACTCGTTACACATGGGCTCGTGTCGGCAGGCGCCGGATCATTGGTCAATGCACTAATCAAGCATGTCGGTTGCCTATTCGAGACAAGGCCATATATATACTCCAACCTCTGTATACATACATCATGTCTATGCATGCAATGCATGTGCTCCACCAACCCCTGCAATGCTCGCTGGCTAAGTACAGAAAATACCTCCACTGGTGTGATGCTCAACTCCTACAAGCGCGCTGGAATCATTTTAGTTCAGCATTGACTGCGTTCAACACTGATCCGAGTGGTCTCCCATCAAGCTTCCATCCTTCAAGTACAGCTTTCGCATTTGGCGGAGGCTGCTGAGGCCCAAAAGTGCCGGGTTTCCAGCCTCCAGATAGACTGGTGGGATGCCCGGTGCTGTTGGTCACGCAGTATTTTGAATTGAACTGTGTTCCCCTTCGTTCTTTGAAAGCCATGCGGGCAACGCGCGCCCAAAGGAATGCGCCATCATACAACATTTCACGAGTCCACCACAACCGACAGTCGGCAGCTTCGTAAGTGAACTGGAGCGGGGTTTGAGTCTTGTCGCCTATGCGAAAGTTGTTGCGTCCGTTGACTCCGACGCTTCCGTAGGACGCTCGTAAGATGGGTACGTCGGTGAAGTTTTCCCAAATCGTGCCATTCGCTTCGTCCAGGAGCGGGTTCTGTTCTCGACTTCGAAAGAGATCAACCCAAATCGCGATCTTGTCCTGCGGGAATATTTGCGCTCCCTTAGTGTCCCCGACGGCTTGCATCGGGCCTGGCTGAGGCCGGCCCCCGATGGATATGAATTGGACGCCTCCATGGTTCTTGAGTTGCTCAGAGAGCACTGCACAAGTACTCCCACAGAGGCCATCGGTGAGCACCACAATGTCTTGCGGTGCGAACGGTTGTCGAAATCCTGTCCGGTTGTTGGTCCCGGTGATAATGATGCCCTGTCCTTGGTAATCTGACGACACTGGATCCGTGTAGTTGTTCTGGAAAAAAGCCGTAAATTGGCCACCATTTAATTGCTGCGGGCCGTAGAATGATTGAAAGTCTGCAAAATTGCGGGACTCCGGATCGACCACGGTTTGAAAGGCCAACGGGACATACCGGTTTTCCTCCTCTGCGCCATGGTCTCCGTTAGATGTCATCTCCGCCGTGGCGACAATGGACGAGGCGACATTCCCCAAGATCTGAAGACCTAGATGAGCCCGCATATTCGATTTGGAATTTGGAGGAATGGTTGGAAAGAGCTGCGCAAATAGATCGGTACCAAGATCAATAAAACCCCCTATACATGCAAAGTCAGACCCAATTGCAGACCACCTACCCTTACGTAGCATACCTGTGTTGCTCTGAAGATCGATGATCAACTTGCGCTTTCCTGTACGCAAAGCTGCATCAAGGAATTTCTGTACTACCATCTGGAACTCCCCCTCGTAGTTTGCCGGAACTGTAGTCGAAGGCTTGAAATTCGAAACTTTCAGGATGGCAACATCAGTCAGCCCGGGCTCACTGAGGTAATACCCTGCGACTGAATCAGCGCTGTGCTTGATAACCAGTCGAGCGTGGTCCGAAATGATTGGTGAGTTAGATTGAGCTGGGGTCGACATAGAAGGGACTGTGCTGCTAGCAGCAGTAGACATCGTCGCTACAACGTTAGCTTCTGGACAGAAGACGGCGTACGCATCCTCGCCACTAGCCACGCCATGCATAGCAACATTGACAATTGCGATATTCCGATATTCGCGCGTGGTGCCATTGGCAAGAGTCACGTTTGTGAAGGCTCCCGGGTAGTGCGTGGGATACGTGAATTTACCCGGGCCCGCAAGTGACAGGAGAAGTTCATTCCAAAGTGCATCGGGGTCAGGACACGACGACTCCCAAGATCGAGCCAACAAAAAGGAGACAACATCCAGACCGTTGATGCTCTCAACCGGCGATGGTGTATATCCAGTGACAGGAACGAAAGATCCTCGGTTGTCCGCGAAGACAAGATCACCTGGCACCTGTCAATCCAAACCCTGAAAACGTCTCCGTGCGAGACTTACTGGAGATGTACACTTGTGGTGTCTGTTCTCCGTCTGAGGAGACGGCTACCAGGCTTGCAGGTCTTTTGAATGTGAATGTCCCCATCAGGTCACCGAACCATAATAAATGGCGGTCACGAGCAGCTGTCAACAGCGCGAAGATATCGGCTTGCATATCATACTCGCTATCGTATCCCTCTTGCTGTACCTTCGCCAGAACATTATCCAATCCTGCATCAAGATCCACCGCGGAAAAGAGGTACCCCGAAGGAGGGTCAGGTAAATAATCTTTGGTGCTTTGAAACTCTAGGTATGTGCGTAGGGAGTTTAGCAAACGAATGGCCGGTCCCTGGTGATTGGGAACAGATTTGAGGCACGCGTAGGCCAGGTCGGCATCGATCGCAACGCTCGTCGCTGTGACCATTAGCTTAGCTCCATACCCTCGAGAATGCGCACTTGCCTTGCGGATGAGCGGATACATAGGATTTCGAAGAGCTCGAGGCCCTTGCGCAGGCGGTATTCGTCAACGATATAGTGCCGGTAACTCGAGGCTCGAGGGCGTCGTGCAAACTTGTGGCAGCAAAGCCGGCCACGACCTGAGCAAGGTAGAGGCCTGCAAAGATACAACTATGCTGCCAGCCCATGGCCATGATTATAGCCGCATGCAATCAAGCAGTTCCCGGACCTGTGACTGTTGCGAGTCGAGTTGACTGCGTCCGGGCCAGGCGAGTACTTGTTACACAGTGAATAAAGCACACATTGGGTCACAGAGATACTAGGACACTGATGGGAGCGACCTACAAGGAACATACAAGCCATGACAGAGGCGGCAGAGTTGCTCTCTGTGCCTCTCTCCGTCTTGGGCGGTTATGAAACGGAGCCAGCTTCTGGTGAGTGTGGCGGCCTCTTAGCCCCCACGGCATATGCTGGGGGCTGAGGACGAGGCGGAGGCGGGAGGCTTACTGTAGGCTTGGAATCTCAAACATGAATAGGAACGATTTGAACGATTATTCGCCAATTAGAAGAATAAGAGCGTTTGCACCAACCCTGTGACACTGCTGCTCAACCATCCTTCCCAATCTACGGAAAGGAACGATGGAAGGGCTGTGCACGCATCAAGGTGAGATTTTAGTTGATATACAAGCAAGTGCCGATCCCATTCCTCAACTGTTGACGGACTTCCTATCTCCCCATGGATGGTCCCAATGGCTTCCATCGCGGCGTACACGTCAAGCAGCTTGAACCCAGGCTTTGGCCCAGAAAGGCCCCCAGAATATAGAATGTCCGCTTTCTGAACATAATATTGCCAATCCCATTCACTGCCAGTGTGTGGCGATACTGTACAAGACTTGACATTCTCCCAAATACATGGTTGCTTTTCGATCCCATACAGTGCCTGCAATGAAGCAGATAATAAAACAAAAGCCCGGGGTTGCAAACTTACTAAAGGCTCAATCATCCACTCCTCGGCGAAGTCGCCTGCGGGATCGTTGGCTTGCTCTGATAGCCTCTTCTGTGAGAACGTCGTGTGGCAGCTCGAACTCCTGCTCTGTAAACTCCGGCACAGGTCGACCAAAGGCTGAGATTGTGCGTCCCCTCTGGCGGCCGGCGACAGCGGCATCTCGAAGATGCTTTTTCTCGAAGAACGAAACAAAAGGCTTGGAGGCAGGTAGTTCTGTGACCTCTGTGACCTCCAGGGCAGACTTCTTCCGTGTGTTGGCATTCTTCGCTTCCTCAATGAGTTGTTGGGAAGCAAGCGCATCGAGCTCGCTAGAGTTGGGAGCCAGAGATGACTCGCTATCAGCGCTCTCCAACTCGTCCGACAACCAACTTGTAGCATCCTCCTCATCTTCCATAGCCTCTTCTAGGAGCGCCTGCTCTCTCTCCAGCTTCCTGCGCTTTTCTTCTTCCTTCCACCGTTTAAATTTATCAATCAACCCCTGAGTTTCTCGTATGAACAGTAATCGCTTAGGTTCATATCGTTTCTTCTCGGTGTCAGTCACGCCACTTATTCCCAGAGTTTTCAGCCAGTCAGGACCACGCAGATCATCCAGCAATTTTTCGAGCTGGTACTTTTCATGTTGTGCTCGCTCTCTGTCACCGTTTTTCATCTGTTTTTCATGCCTCTCGGCTTTTGCGTGTATCTTCGAATATACCTCGTCGTCCAAAGGGTCATGAGAGGCTATACCTGTTGAGATGCCACGACGATTGAGCTGGATAACCTCGGTATTATGAAGCGGTTTGTGTGTGCCGAACGGGTCGGGTCTCGGGGGGGCTGGTTTGAAGTCGGGGGTATCGTCAATCAGAACGATTTTTGATTGTACCGTCAAGACTTCTACTTAGTGTCAGTGATTATATTGTAAGCGGGCCTGTAAAGACTGACCAGGATCAGGAGGCTTCAAGCTGAGCATTTCCTCGAAGTCCGGGAAATATTGTGCGAGCTCTGTCTTAGCACGAGACCCTCCATCTTCAGAGCGCAGCTTTCGTCTTTCAGCCTGAGCCGCAGACAACGACCCCTCTCGAATCGAGGCCTTGGCCTTTTCTTCAATAATCTTGATCTGGTCATATTGTGGTTTGCCGCTGGGCGAGTCCAGGGGCTTCGTGGTCGGTGATGTGTTTATAGGGAGCTTCGGCGGCGACGCATTCGGAGGCGCGCCCGAGGGTGGTGAGACGACCTTAGGTACACCCCCTCGACTTCGTAACGGTATACGTAATTGCGGTACCTCGCTCTTGTGAGTCGATAGACGACGTCTTTTCAGATCCTGTTCCTGTCCGGGAATGGTAGAGGTGCGGGCGCGTTTGGTTCGATGCGCATTCCCACTCTCGCCTGACTGCGGAAGTAGAGGTGGCGTGTCATTGTTGGGCAGACTGCTTGACCTTGTTGACTTGTGACCTCGTAATGTAGGACGCCTCAATGACGACCTAGAGCCGGCCACCATGGTATATGTTGTGTTCGAGGGCTCATGATGCTGCAGTTGCAGTCGTCTTGTTATCATTCATTCGTGGCTAGATCCAGGGAATGGTCGTTGATCGCATTGATCCTGCTGGAGTTGAAGCAAACTGCGCGACTGTTGCTGTCACAGAAACGTGTCATTTGAAATAGGTTTGGAGACCTCTTACAAAGTACCGTACCTGGTATGGACGATTTCCATGAGAGGTACCCTCCCTACGGCGGTAAGATTAGTAGTAGGTATTATTCTCAAGATTCCCGTCTCTGTACCCCGTACGGTAGGTACGTACCACATAGACCATACCATATGCTTCCATCCCAGAGCATGTTGCAATGTGCTTGCATATGCTCCCGCTGTTGAGACTGTATCGTCAACGGGTATGTCAGAGGAAGGAGACCAGGATGCTTAACCCACATCGAGAAAGAGACCCAACCCAGTTGCGTGGTCACATCCAATTTCGGGCCAGAGGCCTGCAGGAGGAAATGGGTACCTAACCGATACTGTATCTGTATCTGTCACAAGAATACCATTATTTTCCTGTACAGCCCCGGGCCTCATGCACGGCCCCTGTGACTGACAGGAGAGTTGCACGGTGCAACCTACAGTACATACAATGCGTCCAGTGCGTTTTACTTTTCCTGACCCTCTAGACTGTCAGATCTGGATCCTGTTCCCGTGTCATTGCTAGGCGTGTCCTGGTATGCTTCGTCGTCGCTGTAGAGATCGTCTTCACTCTCACCGGCAAAGGCATCGTAAAGCTCCCCACCGCGTCGGGCTCTCGCCTTACCGCGTCCACCCCGGGTGTTCAAGCTTTGCTGCTCATCCTCGTCGGCGTCACCGACCATTTCAAACTCGTATGCGTCGCGTGGATTGTTCCTCAATCTCTTTCTTCGCTGAACGAGGAAGTAGACACCCAGACCCGAACAAAAGATGACAATCAGCCCTATAGAGCCATAAATCCAGATCTGTGTTCGTTTGGAAACGCCAAATGTCGGGAAAAAGGAGGGAAGAAAGCTGTCAGAGTACGTGTGAGTAGGCTCTGGTACTAGCGTCGTTGTCGCAGCTGGTACAGAGGTGATGTCGGTCGCTGTAGCGGTCGCGGTCGTGTCTGTAGCATCGCTCGGTTTGGGCTTTGTAGGTCGCTCGATATGACTCGTGGGTATCGCTGGTAGTGAAGTAGGTGAACTTCCTGGGGCGACACTGGTCGTACTTACAATTGCGGTGGCTGTTACATGGTCGTCGTCATGTTCGTCAGGGAGTGGATGAAGGCCTTGAATTTGAGGATCGATACATTCGCCCCAAAGGTTGAGGCGCCAGTCGATGAAGGTGCCATTGAACTCATTTTCCGTGGTATCTTTGACTACCACGGTCCAGTTTCCAATGCCGGACTCTCCCCTGTGTATTGTTAGTCTGAGGATGATACGAGATCTCCAACCAGATGAACTCACCAATGAACCACAGACATGAACGTCCAGTCGTCATATCCCGCTGCAGCACTATCTGGACCACGAGCGGTAGCAATCCGGCTCACCACTCCAGTTGGGCTGATCAAGTCGGCGCTCAGATCACCCCTTCTGCCATGCTCAACATTCATTGTCACCGTAACGTGCTCAAGCCTTTCCAAGTTTGCGTCCCTCAACATTCCTTCTGTGACCTGGAAGCTTGCAGCAAGCCCAAGGTCACCCTCAGGGATCGCGTGCTGAACGCTGATCCATGGCGAGTGGAACCAGGCTTGCGGCTTGACCGATTCGAATGACTTTGCAGCTTCGACAAAACGATACGCGTCAACTTTTCCATAGCCATAGGTGTGACTGAACTTCTTCCCAATCGTGGTATTCTGCCAACCGCCATCATCTAGATGGATGGGGACGGCGGTTTCCACGCACAGATATTGTAGATCTCGCCATGACAAATCTGGCCTCACACTGAGTGCAAGAGCAACAGTTCCAACGACGAGTGGGCCAGCAGCAGATGTGCCTCCATGGCCATTGAAGCACTTATCAGTCCCAACGTCGGTTGTATGGATAGCATCTTGTTCACCTGAGCTGTAGGTCACCACCAGCTGGGCGGAGCAATGCTCTGAGTAATAAGGGTGGTTACCATCTCGGTCAATTCCTCCCACAGTGATGGAATAGATGCTGTTGGTATACCCGTCAAAGTTACAGTTGTCCTCGTTTGATGCGCCGTTGCCAGCAGCAAAGACGAATACAGAGCCCAGACCATTGCGCCCGCTTTGCACACCATTCACTAGTGCTCGCTGTATGAGGATTCCGGGGGCTTCCATGGTCGCGCCGTCATCAGGCGGGCCCCAGGAACAAGAATAGATCTGGTTCTCTTGGAAGTGGTAATTAATTGCAGTGGCTTCATCCTCGTCACTGATAGGTTTTGACAGGATGCGTATCCCAGCGACCTTGCTGTCGTAGGCCATTCCAACTCCACAAACGTTGTTCCTTACTGCCGCAATTTCGCCAGCGCATCGTGTGCCATGGTGGTCGTCGAAGAGGCGAGGTCTGGGCTCGGGTTCCTTCTCATTAAAGTCGTACGAACCTTCAGCAAAGTAGTTGTCCTTGAGATCGTTGCTGTAAAGATCCAAGCCGTCATCGATGACGGCGGAGATACTGCCGTTACCTGTGATGCCATCCAGCCAAACTCCTGTCACGTTCAAATCGTGGCCCAACTGTCTAGTATTGAACAAATGCCATTGCTCTTTGAAAATGGGATCCTTGATGTCCAGTGTTTCTGCGATTGAATCCAACCGTCGGACTGCTTCCTGATCCGCCGCTTGATGAATATCGGAGTCTGCTGCCTTCTGGCCCGCACGGCCGTTGAGGAGAGGTGACGGAGGGATTCGCTTCACATGGCGATGGCGTAGCTGCTGCTTTTCTGACCATAAAATACCATTCAGGTCAAGCGGTATTTCTCTTCTCAAGTTGTGTGGCTCACTGCCGTCCGAGCGCCGCCTCCTTCGCTTTTTTCGCCTCCGCAACTCCTCTAGGGACTCCTCAACGTCCAAACACGAATCCTTCAGACAAGAGAAGGTGTAGTGATGTGATAATTCTCCCACGAGCCCTTCATACTGCATTCCTAGTCGTTGAGCAACCTCTTGAGGAACAACGGCGGAGTCGAGGTGAACGGCAAAGTAATCGTATCGTTCGTAATCGCGTGGACTGGCACTGACAGCCCGGGCTAGAAGCAAGATGGAGAGCCATGAAGGCAACCTCATGTTGTATTAGGTTTAACGAAGGACGGCCAGCATGCCCTCGATCTGAGAGGAGTTGGGGGTGTTTTGTTTTTCCAGACGGTGTAGTAATGAAAAGAGTCTGTCAATCAATGACCGAACGCAGTTGTGTTCTCTAGACCTTGGGACCCTGAACTCTCAGGAATGGCAAGGTGTCATTTGCAGGTTGGATGCAGTGTTTCGTCGTGAGCAGGCCGCACTGCTACTAGTCACAGGAAACCAGAAGCGACAGGTTTAATGAAGGAATGGTAGAGAGAATGCGAGTCGAACCATAGGGAATAATGTAGGTCCAGAAGAGGCACAACAGTCAGAGGCTCTGCAGTGGTTCTACCAAAGCCCGAAGAGAGTGTGGGTTTTCTGTATATTGCGTATGCTGTCCTCTGTAGTTTGCCGTCCGCAGTCCGCAGCCACAGATGCAGTGAGGTACGTAGGCCTAAGGCCTCTTCTCCTGGGCGACGGGGGCTGCAAACCAGCTTTGCCGTGCTGATCCCCTTATTGGCCAGCAGGGCCCTTAGGCTTGGGCTACTGGGCATCTCCAGTCGACCAGAGACGCACTAGGGCTCTCCTAAGTCTTCTATCCTGCGGGCCGCGCCCCTTCCAGTCGCCTACAAGCTCCAAGCCGATGTGCAACTCCTCGAACCTTGTTTGGTGCTAGATTTCGTGTCTTCAACGTGGTCGACGACGCACCTCATTACCAGCCACACAGAAAACACCCCCGTCCATTCCTTGATGTCCGGTTTGCCTGCTGCGTTTTTGGTTCTTTGAGATTTGCTTACCTTTCGCCTTTTCTTGTATATAATGTCGGTATCTCATAGTTCCTCTACCAATTGACATTGTCTTGCCAGTTGTGTTACATTTCGCATTCGATCTACGTCTTGCAGTCCAATCCGGCCCAGTTTGATACGTATTGTCTTGAGCACCTCGCTCGACCTCCGACCCAGAGTCCTGCCTCCTCCTGACTGCCCGAATGTCCTTCTTCGTGCTCTAGTCGACAGTGGAACTCATAGCACCAACCCTTTGTTCTGTTTAGCTTATCCTCCTGCCCGACCTTTGCGACAAAATGGCAACCTCTATGAACCCTGTTGAACTCTATCACGATCCATCCTTAGACGATCTTATCGTCCCAAGCAGAGCCAGGCCGCCAAACAATGGGACAGCCCGTCGACAAAGCAAGCGCTCAGGCTCAGAGACTTCGGACTCATCTTCTCAGCCCCCTCCTGCACCAGAGGTTCCCCGCGGACCACCAATATCCTATCGAGGTTTAGGTCAAGATGAAGGCAATCTCCAGAGGTCTTTCTCTCAAAGAGCTAAGGGAAAACCATTCCATCGAGAAGTATTTGCGGATTTGGAGGAGGAAGATCTCCAGAACAATATGAAAGCGAAGCCGCGAATGTCAACAGACACAAACCGCAGGGAGGTTTCTGCAACGGTCCCGCGGAAACCCTTGCCGTCAGATGGGTTGCATCTGGACACTGCAAATCTCAGTGCTACCCCAGCTACCAGAGCACCGCAGCGGGTTAGTCAGTCAGCTCGTGAGGCCTTCTTCGATCGAGATAAACTCCCCCAGAAACCTCGGCGCATATCGGACACTCCTCGGCATACTGAAGAACCAGCTTCCGCTATCAGCAGATCCAGCGCTTATCGAGATGAGGCTCATAGACGAGATTGGGCACCTGACCGATCCCCGCTTCAAAAGCTGGAGGTCACTCTAAATGATATAAGCAAGGAGGAAAAACGGGCAAGAGTGCAAGAGGCCGAGATGCTCTTACGCGAGCGTGATGTGAAAGCTAACCGTGGTCTGGTGGAGTCGCCTCGAGAAGCAGCATCGTCGAACAAACGGTCCACATCAAAGCGAGAACGTGGAGTCGAGTCTGGAAGTACCAGCCTTAATGATGCCGGCCTCGTCCGAAACCTGAGCACTGCGCATCGACAACGTCTCCAACATAGTACCACAGTAGACAGCCACCGGCCCGATGTGCGAAGTTTGTCGGGCGAGGGTCCTCCGGGGTTTGAATACACAGTTTCAAATACACTCCAGACTGGAATGACACCCAAATCTCGTCAGTCGAGTGGCAGGCACCGAACGGAAGATGAGGTTGGCCAAAGCATCACAAAAGATTTTCCGATACAGGCAGAAAAGCTTCCGCCGAGGTCGCGCCGCGATGTCACACGTCCTAGCGACGAGGGCGTGCAGTCGGACGACCTTGCGGCACCCCCAGCTCACGCCCCTCAGCCTCAGGGTACATACGCTCCTGTTCGACACGCTCCTGTTCGACGTGATCTCGCTGAGCGTGAAAGGAATGCTTCCCACAAAGCAGCGTTGGAGAAATTGACCGGGATTTCTGCCCCAGTCAACGTTGCCAGGAGTGACTCTCGCAAGCTCCAAAAAAGCCCTGCTGCATCTGTCGATTGCAGAAAAGTCTCTGCTGGCAGTGTACCCAGTCGAATTCCAGTACCGGCTCCAGTAACAACTTCAAGGGATGTTAGACAAGCAGTGTCAGATCATGATGCAACCCATCTGGATTCCGACACATCTCGAACTCAGCAACGGCTCTTCACGCCCCCAGCAGGCCAAGTCCTGCAATCCTCGCCACATCCAAGCAGTCCGCGATCACCACCAGCAAAAGTGACCGATGCAACACATCACAGACAACGAAAATCAAGTGTCTCGTTCAAGGAACCTATCGCCCGGCGCCCCGTGGATGAGTGGAAAGAAGCCGGAACAGCAAGACTCACACTTGCGGACTTCGCTACTGAGCATGCCCCATCCTCTGACAGGAACAAGGCTTGGTGGGACCAGCCTGCCAGTTCGTCTACCCGCCGAAGAAGCAGGTCCGCTAGGACGTCCGACCATGCTCCATTTGATGGTCCAATCGATGATAAAGTTGCGGAGTTCAAGCCTAAGCTGTACTTGCGATGTGGGCCACTTCTTCGATATACCGGCATGAGAAGACAAAAGTCTGAAAAGGGCGACGACCGTGAGTTCTGGCGAGGCAGTGTGTTGCTTGTTACGCAGGACTCGTATTCCTCGTATGATCCTCCACCGACACTGCGACTCTTTCCGCAACCGCAGGAATTATTACCTCCTCCGCCTCATCATGTCACGGGAGGCGATCTCGATCCTGACTACATTGATCCAATTGCTGGTTTAACCAAGCTCTCGAGGGCAGGCAGGGCCTTGTACGTACGTCCAGTCGATCACCTCAGTGAGGGTAAAGATCTGTCTCAAATCGAAAATGATGATGGGCTCTTCGAGAGCTCCCCTAGTCCGTCTGAGCCAACCGCAGCTCAGCAGGGGCCGGAAACGGCAAACAAGAGAGCACTCAATACCGATAGCGAACGATCAGGCAAATATCAAGAGGTGAAAGGGGCGAGGCTATATGCAGATCCGGACCGAGATGTGACCTTCTGGCGATTCAACCTTGAGGTTGAACTTGCTGAGGACCAGCAACGCATCGGCTACAGGATCAACCGTGGCGCTTCGGTCGGCTTCTGGGTTCCTGGTCGTGGGCAAACAATGAACATGATGTTTCACAGTTGCAATGGATTCAGCCTGTCGGTCAACCCGGATAATTTCAGTGGGCCTGATCCTATGTGGAGAGATGTTCTGAACACCCATCAGACACGCCCCTTCCATGTCATGATTGGTGGAGGCGATCAAATCTACAATGATCGAGTTATGCTCGAGACTCAGCACTTTGGCGATTGGACTAGAATGCGAAATCCGAGTCATAAGCATCATGCCCCCTTTACGAATGAAATGAAGGAAGAGCTGGAAAGCTTCTATCTCAACAGATACGCCATGTGGTTCTCCCAGGGGCTCTTCAGCATGGCAGCGAGTCAGATACCAATGGTCAATATCTGGGACGACCACGACATTATCGATGGGTTTGGGTCTTATCCTCATCATTTCATGGAGACACCAGTCTTCTCCGGACTGGGAAACGTTGCGTTCAAATATTACATGCTCTTTCAACATCAGAGTGTTGTGGAAGAAACGACCGCCCATGAACCCAGCTGGGTTTTGGGCCGGGAACCTGGTCCTTACATCCGACAACTCAGCAGAAGCGTCTTCATGCACCTGGGCAGGCAGGTCGCCTTTCTGGGTGTGGATTGCCGCACGGAGCGAATGCGTGATGAAGTTTTGAGCGTGGATACTGTCGATGTTATTCTCGAGCGATGCCGCCGAGAACTGGTGGAAGGGGAAACAAAGCATCTCATCATCCTGCTCGGAGTCCCAATCGCATACCCTCGACTGGTCTGGCTGGAAAACGTCCTGACGAGTCGAATTATGGACCCGGTCAAGGCTCTAGGAAGGGTCGGGGTCTTGAAAGGTGGCTTCCTCAACAAATTTGATGGAGGCGTCGAGATTCTGGACGACCTAGATGATCATTGGACTGCAACCCATCACAAACGCGAACGCAATGACCTAGTTCAAGACTTCCAGGATCTTGCGGCGGAAAAATCTTGCAGAATCACCATCTTGAGCGGAGACGTGCATCTTGCCGCAGTTGGCCAGTTTCATTCCAACCCGAAGCTCAAGATTCCAAAGGACAAAGACCATCGGTACATGCCAAACATAATATCTTCGGCCATTGTGAACACTCCGCCATCAGATATGTTGGCTGACATCCTCAACAAACGCAACAAGACCCATCATCTCGACAAGTACACCGATGAAAACATGATCCCAATGTTTACGCACGATATTGACAACAAGAAACGAAACAACAAACACATGTTACCCAGGCGGAACTGGTGCTCTATTCGAGAGTATATATCGGGTTCAACCCCTCCATCGACGCCACCTGAAAGCCCGGACATGTCAGAAGCTGAGGAAGAGCAACAAGAAGGCTCGGAACCACGTCAGCGTCGCTTCTCCTTCTCTAAAGAAGATATCAATCCACGAGCTCTGTTCCGGCGATTGAGTTCGCGGAATGCACCTCCCTCCTCATACCGCGATATGATGTATGACCAGGGCCGTTCCGCATCCCACGATGGTACAACACAGCCTAGGTCTGGGTCTGGCTTTAACCAGGACAGAAATCCTTCGGGGTCGCGGCTATCCTCGGGTGACTTTCAGACCGCCCCTAATCGGCGTGCCTCTTCGTTTGACCACACTTCCTCGGGCGCTGCAGTTCGACCAGGCGTGTTGCGTCGTCCCACCAATGTGTCAGAGAAAGCGGCCAGAAAGGGAAATGTCCCTGCCATCGACGCGGAAGGCAATGAATTTGATGTCAACGATCAGATCAATCTTGAAGGAGGCCTGGATGTCGTGCTCAACGTTGAAGTGGACCAGAAAGATCCATCTGGGATCACTGTGCCTTATCGACTGCTGATTCCAGCGTTGTGGTATGATGGTAGTTCTGACCGCGAAAAGCTAGATGAAGCTTCGGGTGTACCGAAGAAGGCGACCCTGTTGAACAGGCTTGCCATCGGGAGAACACGGAACCACAAACCTGCACGACAGGGAGATGGGAATTGGGGCCAAGAGCAAAGCGACGAGGAAGCTTACAGTGACGGTGAAGATGGCCAGGGGGCCGCCCGACCAAAGCGGAGATTCAGCCTTTTTGGTGGTCGGATGCAGAAGAAGGTTGAAACTTTCAGTGATTCCGAGTCAGACCAGGACGATATCTTGACCACGGACGCTGGTGGACAAGGAACGCATCAACAACAGCCGCGACAACCGCAACCACAACTGCAATCACAGCGACTGCCCACAGCGACTCGGCCTGTCACGACTAGTCAACCTAGACAGGCCATGAACGGACCACCAAGTCATGACTTACTCTATGATACCGAACGTCGCCCACCCCCAAGCCACAGTCTCGAGCCCACACACCACCCTAGTGTGCGTCGCTCGCTGGTCATCAGATCTACAAGCGGGCCGGCGGCAGCGGTGACGAATCAAGGTATGGGTTCCGAAGCCAGACGGGCCAGCAGCAACAGTTATGCCATTCCGCACGCCGGCCCGAGTCGAACGAGTGAAATGGCGCCACGCCAACTCAGCAAACAAGAACGGATCCTGGGCATCTCGCCTTTCGAGGCTGAGCCTCACGAGCCACCACATCGACTGAGAGGAGACGGGATCCTTGGCAAAGACTATCCACCCTCGGCCTACGAGACTCATCCACAGACACAGGCACAGACGCAGACGCAGACGCAACCACAGCCACAGCCAAAGCCACAGGCGCACCCACAGCATCGCGGGTATTCGGGCATTGAGGCGTACCAAGAACCGAAGCCGCGAAGGACGTTTAGTCTGAGGAAGGCACGGGAGTGGTTGGACGGGCGGAAGGAAGATGAGGTCGAATACGATTGATCCACGCTCTGATGTGCTGTATGTGCATGACAGATGGTTGCGATGAGTTGGAGTTTCTTCTGGCCACATGTAAGCCCAAGCCCATACATGTATTGATTGAATAGACGACAGTGTGGGAATATGCCTGGACATCAACTTCGTGGGCATGGACATCAACTTCAGTGGACATCTGGCTTGATCTTGATCTTGATCTTGATCTTGGCCAGACCTTGGAATACATGAAGGGGCTGTATTTTTGTTTAGTTTGGTTACTCATGGTTTCCCTTTCATTCTCTTCGCTACTAGGAATTAGGAATCTCCTTGATGAATGAATAAATGCAATAATTAATGAATAAACGCCAATCTTGCTATAGTATACGGACTATAGGGAGAGGGAGAGGGAGAGTTGGGGTTGGAGAGTAATAGTGAAATCGTGATAGTGATAATAATAGTGAAGTGATAGTCATAGTGATCCTATCTACCAGTGTCAACTGCTCCGGTCTCTATCGTACGGTATGGGATACTAGTATAGCACAGTGTATAGTACTGCGACCAAGTACTCTATTGTGCGTAGTAACTGCTACCAAGTGTGCTTGACTGCTACCAAGTACTCTGTAGTGTGTGGTGACTGCTACCAAGTATGCTTAACTGCACAATTACTAAGTAGCACTCCCAGGGCATTAGACGCTCTCGTCCAATAAGCCAACCTATCATCGGTGAGAGTAGTTCCCACGCAGGCGGTGACGAAGCAGTTACGAAGTAGGCACTCCTAGAGCATTACACGCCCTCGTCCAATAAGCCAACCTGTCATCAGTGAAAGTAGTTCCCACACAGGCGGTGACGAAGCCATCCTGCCACCCGGCCCTCCCACCCTCTCTGACCTGGGTCTTCTGGTCGGCGGTACAATGGACATTGTAGTACCAAGCGGCGGCAGCGAATGCATATTTATCGGGCATGACTAGAGCCAGGATCTTGTCTGGATCGCTACCAGCCGCGGCCACTTGAGGCTTGAGTTCGGCAATGCTGGCGGCGTACTCTTGCACGAAATTCGGCATGAGCATGGCTCTCGTGCCCTGGCCCGGGCGGCCGGGGGCCGGGAAATGGTTGCGGTTGTACTTGAACTCGCCGGACTCGAAGGCCATCCAGGACAACAGCGCCGCCTGCTCGGGCGCCGTGGTCACGTTGTATTGGGCAAAGCCGTCCACCATGGCCTGTACCACTGAGATGGAGGACACGACGCATTCGCTGGGGAATTGCGCCCCTGTACAGGAGTTGGATGATGGTGCGATCTGGAGTAGTTGGTTGACTGGGTTGGGGGGTGTGCGCCGGAGGAGTTGTTTGACTGGGTTGGTTGGTGTCCGGACGAGTTGGCCATGGCTGTGACTGTGGAAGTCGAAGTGCAGCGAGTTTGTGTTTGTGCTGGTGCTGGTGCTGGTGCTTGTGCTGGCAGTGTTGGTGGTGGTCTCAAGCTGACCCGCAACTGGAACTGCGAACGCAGATGTGCCTGTAGCCAGGACGATGAGCATGAGCGGGAGGAGCGAAGAGAGCGAGAGCGAGAGCATTTTGGATTCGGGTCGAGTTTTTGGATCGAGATCGAGATCGGGCTGGGCCGGCCAGGTAATTAATAAGGCAGGATAAGTAATAGGAAGAGGAAGAGGAAGAGGAAGATGATGTAGGGGTGAGATGGTGTCGCGTTGTGTTTCGTTTGCAGGTTGTTTAGAGCAGGATTCCAAATAGACTGGAGAGAGAGTGAGTGAGTCACGAGAGGAGAATGAGACTGAGACTGAGATACGATGGATTGAAATCAAAGAGAATCGACCCCTGTTACAGTGTATCAAAGGAAGGCGGTGAATGAATGAGTGTAGTCTCTGCAGTGAATGAATAAGTGTAGTATAGTGTAGGTAGGTAGGTAGGTAGGTAGGTAGGTAGGTAGGTAGGTTGGTAGGTTGGTAGGTAGACAGGTAGGTAGCTAGTCACAGCTTTGTTGGTGCAAAGGATGAAGTCAGAATTGTTGCTTCATTCATAGAGTGAAGTAAGAATCGTCGGTTCATTCAAAGGGTGAAGTTAGAATCGTCGGTTTATTCAAAGGGTGTCAGGATCTGCAATCAATGACAATGACAATGACAGCCAGACCCAGACCCAGACCCAGACCCAGACGCGACAAAGAAACGTACTGTAACACAAACAACAGCGAGCGCAAGGCCATAGAGATGAAGAACTAAGGGGATCACTCAGACAAAGACATAGACAAAGACAAGACAAAGACAAAGACAAGACAAAGACAAGACAAAGACAAAGACAAGACAAAGACAAAGACAAGACAAAGACAAAGATTTTACCGGTCAGAAAAGACACGACGGGATCAATACTGAATGCTGAATACCGAATACTCAACACAATGGACCAACGAGAGCAGAGAGCAGAGCAGAGAGCAGAGCATGACTGGAACAGGACAGGACAGAAGTGCAGTCTGAAACAGAACAAACAGAACAAGTAGAACAAGTAGAACAAGTAGAACAAGTAGAACAGAAACTACAGAGTATAGAGTAATTGGTTGGAGAGAAAAGAACACAAGACGTCCACTCATTCCCCGCTCACTCACCGCTCCTCACCACCGCTCACCGCCCACCGCTTGCCGCTCACCACCACCATGGCGCCCGTCTCTTGCTTCTGAAACCACGGGCCAAGCAAGGCTTAGGGGCTCAGGACAGCTAATCAGTGAGATCACGCCCAAGGCCCCCTAAGGCCCCTAAGCTTCCCAGAGCTATAGTCTGTCCTCTGTAACAAGTCCACCGTCCGTACTCCGTCCTCCGTACAGATATAACCCTAACCCTAACCTTAGCTAACCCTAACCCTAAGTATCCGTACACGCCCTGACTCTTAGTATGACTCTTACAGTAATAGGACTCTTCCAGGAGGACTCTTGGTACGACTCTTCCAGGACGTCAAGGTCTTCGAGCATGGCACAGATAGAGTCGAAGCTGTACCGAGTAAAATGCTCATGAGGTCTAACTAACTACCGAGTCCCTGTCCCTGTCCTGTCCCTGTCCACCAAATACCAGCCAAACTACTGTAAACCAAACTACCCGGGTATCATTACGTTCCATCCATTTTGTTCATGCCATCCCATATCCCTTCAATCCTCATGTCCAGTTCCTATGTCCACTTGTGATCCAATTCCCCATACGCCTTGTGTCGTCGCCATCATCGTTGTCAACAAGCGACAATCACCGGCCGTCAGCATCAACATCAACATCAATACCGTCCTCGCCCTCAATCATCCCCCTCCTCATCCTCCTCCTCACTTTCCTCCTTCACCTGCTTCTTCCCCACCAGTCGTCCGCTTCGCCGTTGACCCCGGATCCCTTGCCTGCGCGTGGTTGACCGAGAGCTGACCAGCCGATACTGGCCCTTCCTCGTGGCTTCAATGATCCCTTCGGCAAGACCCCACTCTCGGAGGCTGAGATCGACCCCTTCCTGCTCGACAGTCATCCCGTCTCTCTCCAGATGCCGACCAATGTGTTCCATTCGCTGTTCCCACGCTTTGTGCCTTCCGTCTGCACTGTCGACGAACTCCTTCTGGCAAAACCCACACCGACTGCGTGCCGGCGGCTTGCGGCGGCCCACCCAGCAGCGAATGCGAATGGTCTCGAGTTGTCTTTCATACTTATCTCTTTCTTTCCTGCTGACGTCGCGCTCGGTCAACCCCTCCTGCAACCAAGGCGCATGCATTCTTCGACAGTGCTGGGTGAAAAGGTCTTTGCGGTTGAAGTCGTTGTAGACCCCCCAGTAGGCTTCGGCCGAACAATTCCCCAGGTCACAACGATAGTAGCCCAACTGAAGGTGCTGCGAAGTGACGTGACGTTTCCATTCATTTTTGCTGGCAAACGCCAACTTACAGTCGTAGTGATGAAAAGCGCAGATGAAGGCTTTGGACCCCGACGCCTTCTGCTGCGACGCAATTCTCTTGCGCCTGAGTCGTGCATCGACAGCCGTGCTTTTGTGCGACCCCCTTGCTGCCGGCTGTGGCGGAGAGCGTAACGAATGACGGGACTTGGTGACGGAGTGACACTTTGGTCGGCTCTCCGCCACAATTCCAGAATCGTTGTCGCTCCCGTACACACCGCAATCCTCTTCCTCGCCATGCATCTCCTCAAAGATGGATTGCCCAAGGCCAGAATCGGCTGGACTGTCTGCCTCTTCGGTCAATTCAAGCTCCTCCGGAAGGGGGATTCGGTTGTAGAGGGTATCCCTGTCATCCATGACCTCGTCGTCATCCCCTTCAGGATCGGGGGTGACTTGAAGGTCCCTCATGCTCAAAGATCCCTGATACCAAGAGCCCGTGGTGGAAGAAAGAGGCGGCACGAGGGATGGTGCCGGACTCCAACCATGACCATCCGCCTCGGCCGACTCGTACAATGGCACATCATACTCGGAATCCATATGGAATGAAGAATCTCGTGAACTCCCTCCCACGTCCGGACTGAGGGCATAGTCGCTGACACAGCATTCGTGGCCGGACAGCTCCATCCTGGGCGACAGGTAGAGCAGGTGGAGATCCCAGTTCAGCTCGTCAGTGCAGAATTTGCTGGCTTCATTGGGACAGAGGGTGCTCGGTGGTTGAGAGGAGGGATGGCTGAACCCATGAGCCATGGGATCATAGGCGCAGTTGTAGCTATGTCGAGGGTCACTCGTGCCGTCTCGAAGGATATCCCTGTACATGTAGTACTGAGGGAGGGGTCGAAGTTCGGGGTCGATGCAGGACAGGTCTATCTCGTTTTCCCAGCAGGCACCGTCAATCGTGTACGAGTACCCGTCCGCAGACTCTCCCATGGAATGCTGGCGGCCCTCACTTCCGAGGGGCTCCTGGTGCTGTGGATACATCATGTCCACATCCGAAGTCGAATGAACCCGGAGGGGCTAATGGGGACAGAATAGAAAGAAAAGGCCGACGAACGAAATCGGCAGTAGTTAGGATGACATTGACAACAGGACGAGGGCGGATGAAGGAGGGCGGCATGGACTTTTAAGCCATGAATTGGTAGGAGTCTACCATGACCCAGGTGTCCCCCAAGTACGGATACATAGATGCATGGGACAGTTTCACCCACCAGCGACCGATATTTCAGTAGCGCAACAAACTCCCTCCAGGCCGCGAGAAAGAACAGGGGGGCCAAAGACCCTAGCACGAAAGGCGCCGATTGTGCAGTGCATGGACATTGGACGCGCACTATCCTGACTGGGATCCCCTCTGCTGGCATGGGATGGAAGGGCAGCCACATCAGCGGCGTACGGAGTATAGGCAGCAGAGCCGCAGTGACCGTAGTGACTGCCTCCCAACGAAGGGGCGTCTTCGCTTTAGCCAACCTGGCTCATACAGTAGCGCAGCCACCTGAGCAGGCCACTGAAGGCGGACAGGTGGAACTGGCTCCCCAGAGCCTGGGTGCGATCTTAGACTGGTGACATGGCTGTAATCACTCATGGTGGTTGGTGGTTAGGCCACACACAAACCGGTGTATGTGTGTGCTTTGGGGGGCTGAGGTGATGCGCCTTGCGGAGTGGCTGCCTTTCCACGCTCTTTCCAGCGCACTGCCCAATCCCTCTACTACGTACTCCGTACTTCCACTTGGCACCTTGTCGAGATACAAAGCGCTTGCACACGGTGGGTCTCTGGGCATAGCGAGGTTTGCCATATGCTCATCGTCTACCCTAACCGGCCCCTGCATGGTCTCAGCATGACCACAAGTGGGCAAATCGCGATTGTTTCCTCAACCTGATTCGTACTCGCCGACCTTGCATAACCATTGACGGTGCTCGGTAGATTCCGAGCTAGACAATCTCTTTGACCGAAGGCCATCCTCTTTCGGCCATGGGGATCAGGTGGAGGTCGAAGATGTGGATAAATCGTAACGAAATCAGGCTAGGTGCACAACTGAAATGCATCGCTGAGCAGGGAGGATCATTTTTTAGCTCGTTGAGATGGAGCGTGTGCCGGTGTGTGTGGGAGGGGGAAAACATCAGGACTCCGTACAGACTACTGTGCTGGCTCGTACCAGCAGCAAAAGTCCATCGACTCTGTACGGATAGATTGGCTTCAACAAGTTGTGGTGGACCCATGAGCGTCGGCCGAGGCCCCGGTCCGCTGCTAATTAGCAGTACCGGAGGGGCGATCGACCGACGAAGAATGTTTAGCGGAAACCATTGCAGGTCAAAGCTTATTGTAACGAGATCTAATAACATGCCCATGTTCGAGACTCTCGAGACCGAAAGCCAGCCGAAAATCCATTTGTTGCTGCAAGGGCGTGTATCGGAGCCGTGTGAAATCACGCAGAGGCGGCCATAGAGGCAGGCTGGCCTTTGCGATCGGTTCTTAGCGCGACGGTGGCTGAAATGCACAGTGCAATGTGGTGTCGGTCACATCGAGATGCAACTCTAGTCTTGACCGGGGGAGGTGTGCTGTGTGCTGTGTGCCTGCCAGTTTCCCCCCTCAACTCTCCCGCTGCGCCCCTTAGGCAAAATCGCAACCATACGGGAGAAACTATTGGTCGAAACGGGGTTTTGGCGCAAGTGAGAGAAAAGAGAAAAGGCCACCAAACTCAAACTTCGGATGCCAATATTGAGGGCTAGCGGATGGAGGTGAGATAGGACATACCGTAGCAGAGCTGGGGTCCGGCATCACTGACGATGGATGACCGGGGTATGAGGGGAGGATCAGCATTACTGGGAGCAACTAGTGAAGACCCTGGTTGGCTCTGAGGGGTTGATCGCTGGGACGGGACAGAGGTCTGCTTGCTTGTTGCGGGACGGTGGACACTGGCCAGGACGAGGAAACGGTGCTGATGGTTCTCGAGGTGGTGTGAGGTATGCATAGGGTGGCTGATGTCTGACAGCTGAGAGCTGAGGGCTGAGAGCTGATGATTGACGGTTGATGGGCGGAAACGTCGCAGTTTGGGTTTCATGGTCGCAGGCAGGGGAAAAGAATCTGTCATTGACTCATGGAGGCCACAGGCGGATACCAGCATGCGAAAAGGCAGAGAAGCAGACATTTCCCGCCCGTGCTCTTCAAGCAACCTGCCAGAATTCCTAATGCCTGCTACTAGTTCTCGTATGGATACAGAGAATGCTTCTTGCCCACCTTCCAGCCCGGACCCTTGACTGTGGACTGTGGACTGCAGACTCGTCTAACTATAGCAACTACCTGCCAGCTGCAGATTTTGTTCCAGGATCAAACTCACCCTTCCTTGTCAAGACATTCGACTATCGAAAGGCCTCTCGTTCTCGTTGGATTGTTGAGACTGACTCCCACCTAACTCCCACCCTGTTCCCTGTCCGCGGCCTCTTCTGGCCTTCGCCCGGTCCGGTCGCCTCGATCCACATCAGGAGCAAAGTGACAAGATGGACGCAGCTCGCTCCCAGTTGGCCTCTGCTCGCTTACCACCTCGATATTGGGTCGTAGCACCTGGTCAAGCAACCGGGGATCCTGGCAATCTCTGTCCTGTGTCTCATTGTAGCCCTGTCGCGTTGATGTCTGGGCGTGCATCCGCTTCGTCCATGCCCCTGTCTAGGTGCCTGCAATCCAAAAACCAACAATACAATTGGTGGCGGTCGGCTCAGGTCTCTCCTTTCCACGTGGCTTCCTTGCCAGCGCCGATAAAGGGCACCCAATCTGGGGCCATCTCGCACCTCCCCAACCCCCCGGTGAGCTTCTCTCTGGGTCCTTAGGATCCCTCAGCCCGGGGTATTGAACGCTAGAGACTTGGAGGCGCCGCCCAAACCAGTGTCCCCCCCCTTATCGTTTTACGTGATTGATGTCGCTATTCCAGAATGGATCGCGAGGCCTTCCATCACTTCATCGTTGGCTTCATCCCAGCTGCGTCTTCTTTTAGCCCCTCCATCTGAAGCAATCTCGATCCAAGCCCGGCTTGTCTGTCTGGTTGGCTATCATCCATGCGAATGCCACTTTCGGGTTTGTACCTGACATCCCCACCATCTGTTCAGCAACAAGCACCACCCCCATCAGCATATTCTCATGGGTGGTTTTCACGCCATGGGACCAGGAGTCCCCGGTCCAGACGGGCTGGCTGGCTTTTCGCTCCTCCCGCCTACTGGGTCTCGTGCCACAGATGGAACGCTGGCCCAAAAAGCGCATGCCGTTTTTGGCATCGACTGGGATGGTCACCGGTAGCTGAGTACTATCAGATTTCGCGCACTCTCACCCTGATCCCCTCATTGTCATACCAATCGTAATCCTGACTGGGTCTGGGCACATGTCTTTCGATAACTGTCAATTCATCCCCCGGTCTCAGCACACTCGAACCCGTTGGTTCCGCTTCCAGGGGTCGAGACCTCGGTCGACAGTGCTGGGTCTCCTCAAAACGAGCTTGATGGTGTTCGCTTTCATCCATTCCAGGTCCTGCCATGTAGCCTAGGGACGAGGAACGAGCTGGAGGTGGGCTAGGGGCATACACTAGCCGGCGCCCGCGTCTATCCTGACTGGCAGCTGTGACTTCTCCGTTAGTATCGAGGTCCCTGTGTTGCAGGTTGCTAGCATTTGGGAGAGCCATCATACCATCATGGTCGAGGTTTGTCTCCCTGCTTCTGAGCCGGCCCCGTCGAATAGATCTCGATCGCGGCCGTCTGTCTCCTTCCTCACTATCTCTCTCATAGTGCTCTAGTGCTTGATGGTGCTTGGAGCGGCTCGAAGCTCGATTGTGCACAGGTCGTGAGATGGCTCTCACACTTGGGAGCGGTGCTGGGCCCTGTTGGGGAGCGTATCGCTGCTGCTGTGGTCTGAAAGGAGGCTGCGCGATGTATTCGTACCGTTCCACATGTTGCTCTGCTGCTTGCGGGCTTCCCACATAGACATTCGAATAATGTCGTCGGATGGTTCTTCGCCCTCGCGACGACGCCCTTGCAGGGACATGGACACTGCCACTGTCATTGTCTTTGTCAATTAGACCGATAATCATTTGGCCTTACCTTCGAGAAGTTTCATACTCATATTCCTCTCCGTCAAACCGTCTAGAGTCATCCAAACCACTCCTCCTCCAAGGGTCTTCGTCGTAGAAAACTCTGTCTTCACGTGGCGAGAGCCGTAGTCTCTGCATCTGTGGTACTGAGGGTCCACGACTGCGTCGACGCTCTCTGTCGTGGATTCGGTCTCGTTCTGCATGTGACGAATCCGAGTTTGAATCTGGTGAGTCTCCATATCGGGAATGGCCTTCATCAGACGATCTGCCACGCCGCATTGAGTGAGCACGCCTTCGAGAGTGGTGCGCTTGTCTTCTATGCGCCGATCTACTTCTTCGTCTAGAGCCCCGTGAACGGTGTTTTTGTGACCTGCCTGATCGATAACTGTCTGAACTACTGCACTCTTCACTGTCCGTAGCTTCTTCCCGGCATTTCCGGCAGATTGTTTTGGCAGGAAGTTGTCCAGGCGGAATTGGGTGCTTGTAGTGGTATCTCGTCGATCTGAACCTTCCACAGACGTCGCATCTGTATCTCATATCGGATGGAGTAGTAGCAGAGGGTAGTGGCGGTGCGTGAGGTCCTTGGGGCTGACTTCTCAAAGGTATCGCACCTGGGGGAGCGGCGGGAAAAGGTGGAGGCTGATTCGAGAATGGAATCGGCTGTGGAAAGAAAGGCTGCGGCTGTGACTGCGGCTGCGCTGCCATGGGATGAGGCGGCATTGGATACATAGAAGGATGCGGAGCGAATGGCAAGAATTGTGGTAGTGGGTTGGCGAAACTCCCTGGCTTGTCATGGCCTTTTAGCTGTGGAGGTTCTGGGTTTTGCTGAGGAGGGAGGAGATACATGGTAACGGGCTGGGGTTGACCCTGCGAGGTAGGATCCATGGGAGACGGGTTGTTTGTTTGTGGAAAGGGCGAATTCGGTGAGTTGGGCGCAGGCAACGCGGGTAGCTTGTCATTGTTCGCCGCAGACATGCCCTGAACGTGGTGATTAAGGCGGGGGTCCCTAAAAGACCAGAGTGAGCGCGCAGTTCGAGGAAACAGGGCTTCACATATACGTCTCCTGACCGAGGGGAGTGTCGGCTTCTTTCTGACAAAGTAGGCACGGCCGTCGCTACCTCGTTCAATCCAGACCGAAGCGGACTCCCTCATCTTGGGTGCTGAGGCCAAGGGATTCTCAAGGGGACGACGGAAGGAACGCTGAACGCAGCGACGTAGGTGATGGCAGGGTGCACTGTAGACTGACCTAGAAGTAGAGGCGTTATCGTCCTGCCACCCGAAGTAAGCGTCATATGAAGGATAGTATACACGTGCATTTGCTGGATCGTGGTGGTGTCCGTTGCTTGGTGCCTGCCACATGATGATACGGCAGGAAGTTTGCTTTAGAGAGGGAAAACGAGTGCACTGGAAGGGAGAAAAGACAGCACAGGCACAGCCCACGAGATCTATGAGGCCGCAATACAACTCTCGAGAACGCGCCCTAATCTTACTTCTGGCGGACCAGAGAACCTTTGTACCTGCAAGTGAAATCTTGGCCGGGTGAAGATACTGTAGTAGTGTGGGACCATAAAGGATACGAGAGCTTCTCTCCAGGCTCCTGTCCCATTTCACCACTTTGAAGACACCACAGATTTGATATTCAAAGCGTCGCCCCGCCCATCACCGAAAAAGCAAAAACTGTTCCACAAACCCTTTGGATATGAGAGTTGTGGGAAGCGAACCCCAGAGTTGATGATAGGAGTTTTCCGTGGTTGCTATGTCACCAGGCTGGTGCAGTCTGTGAATATGTGCCGGTCCCAGATCGAGTCGAATTCGTCTGTGTCGAAAAGTCGACCGTCAGGGTCGTGACTCGAACAAGAGGTATTCCCGCCTAGGAACACGGCTTCCACATAGCTGTCGACTTCCCAACTCTTCACAACCTGACAGTCGAACTGATTATCCCTCCACTCAGTGGCCCGCTTCGAACTCCTCGGGGTCTTTGTGTTATATGGTTGTTTTCCGCGACGCAAAATATAGACCTTCATTTTCTAACGGTCACTGTAGTCAGTGAAGCTCTCAGGGCATTCGGCTGGTAGGCGCCACGTGTCTCAACAATTGTACTCCTCAGAGACCGTCTCTGCATTTGCTGGTGGAGTCCCTTTCTCGAGGGTCGTCAGTTTCGTACAGCAACTTCGGCAGCAACATAACTTCGGTGTCTTGGGGTATCTCTGCCGCTTCGCTTCCTTCTCTTGGTTTCTGCAGTGATGAGCCTTGGAATTGACAGCCCAATTAGTATAGAGAATCGGTTTGTTGCCCCTTGGCAATTTCTAAAAGTGTGGTAAGTACATCTGCTGGGTGAGCATCAAATTAGCATCTGCTATGTCTGCAAGACTCCCACCCTGGCGAGTGGGACAGTTCTCGAATCCGAGATAGACATAAGGCTGGACCATAGGAGGACACGGGACGCGGATCAGGGGATGGAGAGGATCTCTCACAGTCAACACGTGATCTATTAGGGCTCGACGAAGATCGCCTCAGTATCCACGGAAGACTCGTGTATGTGTACGTGGTAATGAAAAAGGGAGCAAGAGGCGAGTAAAGAATAGGATTATTCCAATAGCTTTTAGGCCTGGGCCCGCGCGTCAAGCGCATGGCAGACCATGCACAATCACTGATGTAGGCTGTAGTCACACAAGAGGAGCAACCGGATTGGACTACTCCCGATCTCTCATGTTCTGTCATCCTGTTCGACCATTCAAGCTTAGTACTCATAAGGACTGTCTTGTACTGGCTCGTACACGTATAGTGTCGAGTTGTGCTGATCAGGCAAGAAGTACAAGCGCATGGTGCCGTTGACCAGAGCCACGTCGAAAGGATTCACGGTGATAGGCATCCCGAGATCACTGACCATGGGCAAGGGTAATTCCGATAACGGGACCATGGTTTCCGTGTCGACAATACCAACACCGCCGACGGTGACGTTGTTCGGGTAGGTGGCTAAGCCGCTGCACATCATCACCGCACGATAGTCATAGACTCTGGAATGGCCAAGGAATTTGCAATCCTGGTAGTCGATGAAGAAGGTCGGGTTGCGCACCACGGCCAGGGGCTGGCTGAACCCGGAGGAGGGATGTCTCAGGGCACCGGAATTCAAATTCCAGGTCGTGGCGTTGCGCGCACCCCAGTTGAGGGTGCTGAGTTGGTTGGTCTGCTTGTCATGAACAATGCCCCCCAGGTGGTCATTGTAGCTGGTGATGTTCTGATAGTTCAAGGTGAACGGATCAACGGAGATGATGGTCGCGGTAGTGTTGGGTCGGTACTGGGCGATAGTTGCCCAGATCCTCTCGCCATCGTAGTCGATGCCCCCGATGTGGTATTGGATGGCCCCTGGAGCGGTCAGAGTCGCGTCGGCGATCCGCTTCCCTTGGGCATCGTATACGGCCAGATGAGCGTACCCGGCGCCCGGGGTGCGATCGGTGCCGTTGATGATGACATTCTTGCCGTATGAGGCGGTGACATTTGTGTAGTGGTTTTCGCCGACGATGTACCGCTCCTCGCCCAGATTGACCATGCCCTCGGGCTCTCCGGAGTCGCCTTCAAAGCGGATTTTCTTGACCAGGTTCCACACGGTCGAGCGACCCAGACGGTTGAACTGCTCGATGATGGCTTCAAAGTCCTTGGCTGGTCCAGGCGCCGGTGGCGGCGACGGCAACAACGCAACGTTCGGCTGGTATACGGTGATGTTGGCGGCCAGGGCCGAGGGCATCAGCCAACAGCTCGCCGAGAGTAAGGCCAGGCCTGTGCGTCTGGAAAACAGCATGGTGCGCAGCTTGACTGAGGCGATCTGCGTGTCGTGGTCTTGGTCTTGATTTCTGCAAGATGCGGATGTGGATTCGTGGCGCAACGACCTGGTCGCTCCTCTGAGGAGCAGGGAGACGACGCATATTTATACATGCGAAGCCGGTGGCTACAACTTACCATTCAGCAGAGTGGTTGCGAATCGGCCACAGTCCCATCGCGAGCGAGCGAACCCGCCCACTCCTTTGGGACGTGTGTGGTAGAAACAAGCATCGGCTCGTGTCTCGTATACACGTTCGGATTGGGCCAGGCGAATAAGGTTACCGCAAGCGATGCGTTCTTGCCCACCAGCTGCATCTTACCATTGAGCCAGATTTAGATACATATGAGGATTAGAAGAAGCCTTAGGCCAGCCGCCCCGCCAAATCCCCGTTATCTATCAGCGACGCCAATTCTTTTTCTCTTCAGTAGTGGCACTGGTGTGTGGAGGTTTCATGGCAGTTCACGAACTGACACCATGTCAAACGCGCACGTGCGGATGCATCACCGCTTGTGCTGGTGCCTTGCAGCCGCTTAGCTGCCGTCTTGCCTTGAAATTCTCACACCACGCTCTCTAGGGACAGCTCAAGGTATGTAGGTATCTTGGGCCCGGAACGGCGACAGCGACACTCGAAGGTGGGTCTACAAAATGCTCGACTGTTCCCAGCGAAACGACCATGCTGTCATCTCAGTCAACAATGTACAGATAGAATGAAGGCATTCAAGACCCGCTCGCGGAGCATATTTAATCACCGCAAGGCCAAGGGTAAGGGTAGCCACTACAGCAATTAGTGGGGTCTGAACCTTCAAAAAGTATTTTGAACCGATGCTGCTGCTAGGTATCTCTTTCCGACAGTACCCAGATCTCCGGCATGCCCTAGACAGTAGTGGCCTGAATGCTTCTTTCCACCATGGCGTCTTTCATGAAGGGACTCCGAGCTCGGATCTGCCTGCCCCAAATAATGATACACACGGGAGCGAAAGCTAACACCAAGGCCAAGAATGCAAGCAATGTACTCGCCCAACGAAAGCCCAGATTGGTGTACATGCTCTGAGCGGCCAGGGGCAGAAAGGCGGCAAACGTGTTTTCTCCCAAGACCACGGCGGCGATAGCACTGCCAGCATATTTGCTGTAGGCATCGACCACGTAGTCGGCAATGGCAATCACGACAACGTTGATTCCCGCGCCAACCATGAAGAGGCCAATTGTCGGAGCGATCCAGGGCAGAAAGGGATAGGAGGTCCATCCATACACGAACATGCCTCCAGATACACCCACAAACCCACCCACCAAGCTCATGTACAGTCGGGCTTCCGGCACCGGTGTGCCAGGGGCTTCCAGATTTCGCGAGGCCGAGGCAAAGTACAATCTTGCCGAAACGAGGGCGCCTGTCCAACCCACACATTCACCGATGGCGATGGCGGCCTGCACGTACCCAGCTTGAGAAGGAGTCCATCCGTATAGGCCCGCAAAGACCTGTTCGACCGACTGGGTGAATACATAGACAGTGCCTATCATGAAGGAGGACCAGAGCGTAAAGACGAAAAGAACGGGTTCCGTGAACAACATTCTCAAGGGGCGCTTGATGCTGTGACCGAGCTTCTGTAGCAACGTCGTATGATTGACCTCCGATGCCGTGAACACTTGCTTGCCGGCCTTTCGTAGCATCTCCGCACGGTTCTGGAGGATCTTGGTGCCCCGACTCTCCTGAAACCAGATCCAGTAAACAGGAAAAAGAGCGCCGTACCAAATGAGCTGCATGTACGAAATCCAGCGCCAGGATAGGTATTCATAGATGACGCCACCAATGACTGGTCCAGCACTGCTTCCGGCAAGGAAAACCGTTACAAAAAGACTGAGCGGAACGGTGCGAGCACGGTCGCCTTCCCAGACGTTGCTAACCAAGCTAGCTGCTGTGTTGGCGAGCACTGAGACACAGCCACCAGAGAAGAATCGAGTAATAATCAATGTTGCGAAATTCTGCGCCAGTGCTTGTGGTATGATGAAGCACATGAAGACGATATACGTGCCTAAGAAGCCTGAGCGGATGCCAAAATCTTCCATGACCGGCAGCACGATCAAGGATGATAGAGCGCCACCGAGTGCCCAGCTGGTCACAGGCCAGTACGAGTTCGGAAATCGGGCGTCGCTGATGTGAAATTCTTCATTGATAGCTTCGTGGGCAACTGTAATCAGAGTGCCATTCATGATCGTCGTGAAGGTGGCCAGATAGCCCACCGCACTGTTGGTCCATTTCTTCCGCAGGGGCCAGTTGTATGGATTCTCGGGGTCATCAAGCCCATGCCAGTCAATTAGGTCTGGCTCAGACGAGTTTTCGGACAGCCCTAGTCTCACGTGAGCCAGGAAAAGACAGAAATAACGACTTCAGGTACCTGCTGGCAAATCGGCCCGGTCGGTGGGCTTGTGCTCATCACCGATGGTTCTCATCGAGATCGACTTGCCTGGCCACCTGGCGACCTTCCTGTGAATAGGCACGGTTGGTCGATTGACAGGGCGAGGAGGTCCGGGGTCGGGAGTCGCTGGGTGTTCTGGGATTTCCCTTGTTGCTGAGCGCCCGCCAGGGTCGACATTGGACAAAACCTTCTAAGTTTTATTCCAACTCATTGCCAATTCCATGCCGGAGTTGCACGGTGCGGAGAAGGGTGGATTTCTTCGCCAAGTGAGCGTCAATAACGAGACGTTACCTAATGGTTTGCTCTGCCTTCGGACCGAACTCGAGGAACTTCCAGAATTCTAGAATACTAGCATTGGTACCTCGGAGTACTAGCAGGTACTAATCGCGGCTTAAGAGGAGGAGAGCACAGGGCGGCATCACCTTGTCCCCAAAGAAGGCAAGCTTGCCGTCACCTGATCTCGGTAGCCAGGCACCTCCAGGCGTCATTACTATTGGCTGATTGATCGCCTCTCCGCGTTGAAGTCACAGCCTTCTCTCCCCCAAAAGTTGGCGTGCCGTGTGTACGGAGTACAGTGCCACTGCCTTTGTGTACAAGTGCTTCAGGAGTGGCATTGGTCTTCGGTTCTGTCAATGGTTTTCGTATCTTCCCAAGCACTATTGACATTTACCTTCAGTGGTGTCATGCTGCTGTACGCTGTTCACTGTTAGCACCTTCATTCACCCACAAGCCATGCCGCCCTTCACCCAGACCGACACTACCCTCTACCGCAAAGATGTGGCCTCCGGAGGTCGTTCGCTTACTGCCGCAGAGCGCGAGAAGCTCCTTCAGCCATATCTCCCTGCTCCGCAGTCAGATTCCACCGCGATGGACTCTAGATGGTCCGCGACCGGCCCCCAGAAAAAGTACAGAGGCCACAGACGAAGAGTGCGGCCACTCCTGAAAGCAAAACTGCACTTCCTTGTTTTCTTCCTCATCCAGCTTGTCTTTGGTATCTACATCCGCCTACGTCAAATTTACAATGCCACGTTCGACCGTTTATTAGCCATTCGACATTATCACCACCGCTCCCCCGAACTCATTCAAAGAGATGTACAAAACCTTGAACGAATACCAGAGCATCTGAGCGTTATCCTCAAATTCAAATCAAAGGAAGATGGTGGACTAGAAGCATTGATGGATGAAGTCGCCGAATTGTGTGCCTGGTCCGCGGCCGCAGAGATCCCGCTGTTGAGCGTATATGAGAAATCGGGCATCCTAAAGTCCTATATTCCATCCTTGAAAGAGTTGGTGGAGCAGAAACTAGCCTCATACTTTGGCCCCCCTCCTACTACACCTGTTCTGAGAGTCTTTGCTCCAAATCATCCATCTATGGCTCCCTCGCCTTCACCGTCGCCGCAAATCGCCGTGCAGACAGGCAATGGACACACACACCCCTCGACGGCTACCAAGCGACAGCCTCTCGATCTTCTCCTGCTGTCGGCAGCCGACGGTAGAGACACCCTAGTTGACCTGACCCGAACTTTGGCCGAGATGTCTCAGGCACAAAAGCTCAGCCCAAAGCATATCACGTCCAAACTGATCGACACCGAAATTAGCGCGACCACATCGATCCTAGGTTTACGGGCGACAGGCGGCCACAGCACTAGACCATTGGATAGGCTATCGGACAAGGGACCTGATCTAGCAGAGCCCGACCTCGTCATTGTTTTCGGCCCGTACGTGAAGCTGGACGGATATCCTCCGTGGCAGGTCAGACTCAGCGAGATCTTCTGCGTGGGTGACTCTGGTGGGGATGTCTCTGGCAGTGGCAGTACCAGGGTCGAATATCAGGCCTTCTTGAGAGGTCTGTGGAAATATGCTGGTGCCGAAATGAAATTTGGTAGATGAGAGCAGGCACAGAGTACTCCGTACATGGCGGCAGATCCTACTCTAGCATAAAAGTCTGTACTATACAAGATTAATCTTGACTATTTGACTTTGAATAAGCCAGGGTGTATAAGTTCACCCAAGTAATTTGAGACAACAACATCCTGCAAGCGCTAAGCCACTTTCTTTTACTTTGACAGCCCTCCATAGACACGTCTATGGCACGCCGTCTATGGTCCACGTTATCATTACCATAGTGACGTGTCCAGGTCCCCTATTCCTTTCGGTGGCCGTGACGGTAGAAATGTTTTTCGAAGGAAGGAGAAGGCAAACAATGCTCTTTTCGCTCAATGAAACGGGAGGCCTAGTTATGAAACAGAGCTAACAGCCTCGACAGAAACAAAAATCTTATAGTAAACGGCCTTCCTTTACGTAGGAAAGTGGGATTGAAGGACAAGTCGTGCGATTCGTCGGTCGGTGCCATCTGTATCCCATCTGGTTGTCGAAAACTCGCGGTCAGCGCTTGGCCTTGGTTGTGCTTTGCCATGTTGTTCGGTTCGGCACATGCTTGATGTAGGCGGGCAGACAGCCCGAGAAGACATGAATGCAAGCTAGAGGGTAATATAAGAAGATCTGCGTATGTCAATACACCAGTACCGTCCTGGTTAGGGATGCGAGGGCACTTACAGGGGCGCGGCTGGCATTCGCTTTCATATCGATTTGTGATCCATAGCCATGTTCGGACACCACGTTGCCTAGCGGTTGCAAATCCCACTCCACTCCACTCCACTCGCTCTGTTGCGGCGAGAAGCTGCGACATACAGCGAGGAGTGTTGCCGTATCTTCACCGTGGAGGCCAGTTGGGATCTTGCGTGAACGCTTCAATAAGATGAATCTGGAGCAATGCCAGCTAGCACCTGTTCAAGACTCAGTCATCATCATCATCATAACCAGTATACATTTCCCACAGCTCATCGTTCTTGTCCGTCGTGATTAACGCGTGAAGGACCTGTTCGTATGTCCACATGGTGACTGCTGATGCCGGAGCCGCCTATGATTCCGTCAGATTCTTGAAGGTCTTTTGAGCGTGGTTCTTGCACTCCTCACCTTCACCAGACTGACCGTCAGGCCACGATACCAACCCCTATAGCCTTCTCTCCTCCAGATCGCCGCCAGACTGCGTATCACACCGTTGTATTCAGGGATATTGGTATGAATATATCTCGTTCGGGTGGGACCTTGGACTTGAAGTCTCTTCCTCACCAGGTCGAGTGGGAATACTGCGGTTTTCGCAAAGACGCTGGCAAAGATCCCGGCGGTAGCGTCGCCTGACCCGAACGGCAAGGTCTTGCCACCGATGTGTTGGTGCAGAAACTCGTAGCTACTGAAGAAGAGGCCCATGTACGGTACAATCTGACCAACGGCGGCGCTAAGACCTCTGAAGAACCCACGAAAACCCTCGATGCGGTTGATGTCCCGCACAGCATACAGCAGGCCAGTGTACACCCGCTGGGGGCCTTGTGCAGCGAACCGGGTCCGGAGAAGATCAAGCGGGTAAGTAACCGTGGTTGCGGCAGCACCAGCGCCGGCACCACTGATGAAAGACTCGATGGACGGTGGAGCGCGTTTTGGTAATAGACTTTGGACCTGGGTAATGGAGCGATAGGCCGTGAACTGCACGCCACCGTAGCAGACATACATGAGTTCGGCGGGGATGTTGCCTTTCCATAAGGCGCGAATGCCTTCTTGCCGGGCTATCGCTCTGAGAGTTGAGAAGACCCCTTTGTAAATTGGACCTTTGATGCCATCGCACGACAGAGGATCCGAAAGCGAGTGCACCTGCAGCTGGAGTCTGATCTTGACCACGTCGAGCGGTGCGATGCAGAACCGGGACACGAGGCCTGCGGCTCCCCCAGCAATTACGACCTGCTGTCTCGTGCCCTAGAATGCGGTATCAGGTATCAGGATACTTGTACACCGGAGACCAGCTGGCCGCCTTCACTCACCTCATCTTTGAGCCGCTCGATATCCGCCGGCATGCGTATCAAGCTGACTGTCCGCGGTCCCGTACAGTGGCGAGGATCTGTACAGACGGATTCGGCCTGTTGTTGAAAAATGTGAGATCAACGAGAAAATGACGTTGGATACGGTTGGTTTATCAAGGTTGCATACATCTACGCGGTAGGTACGCGGTCCTCTGTGATTCGTCAGGACTTCGGAGCACGGAGTTGAGAATACACGTGACCGCGCGTCAAGAGCAATGGGCGCGATCTTCCTTGAGTGCCTATATTATATATTATGCCTAAGGTAAGTGCAAGTACAAGGACGGATCCTCTAGAAAATGTAAAGTGCTAGGTAGTTGGATCATTTTCACGCGACGTGATACAGTATCATAATGTGAGATGGAAACGCACGCCATCAGGGCGGGTCGTCTGCCGGAGCCTGAGTCGAGATGCCTTGATTGCCATTCGACAGCCCTCGGATGTCACCAAAGTCCTCCAAGCAGAAAATGGCAGCCCGTTATTCATTTCCAGAAGACCCTGCCTTCGATAATCTGTGCTACTTGGGCATGAATGGAGAGGGTGGCCCAAAACAAAGAAGTTGGGGAGGCGGTGGTGGCTGTCGAGGGACCAAGCGCAACTCGTCACCGCGTCATGAGTCCACCTCGAATCTTGAAGCCCGTCGTAGTCAGGGTCTTTTTTTAATCTTCAATTGCCAAACTCCATCCCGCCGTTGTATGCACCGTTGTCGTCCCTTGAACTCGGACGATAATGGTGAATATGAGAGTATTGCCGTCATGTTCCGAAATCCTCGCGAGAATGCCGCTGTAGGCCGCCCCAGTGCGCTTTTGCCCTCGACCGGTCGCCCTCCCACTCCGCCGGCCACCGGCGGCAATGACGAGCATCCCAACCGCTCTGCCTATTTCTCCCTTACTCCGATGCCTACAGACAAGCGGGCGGCAATGGCGAATACTCCAGTCCTCGCTCGTCAACTTGGCTCCAGACCTCCCAGTGCAAAGAAACATGGCCTACGCCAGAATACTATTCTCAGCTTTTTCAACAAGTCCGACAAGGACACTGAGGATGGCAAGATTGCCAAACCCTCGACTCCTTTATTTTTCCAGGACGGTCGGAGCAGACTACAGGAGCCAAAAGTGACTGAGACGACGTCCTACCTCACCAACGGCGACGAACAGATACGCTTCAATGAGCAGGAAGGGTCCATCAAGAGGAGGCGAACACTCGAAGAAGACGCAGAACTCATTATTCGGACGCCCTCTCCGGAACTCACCAGTCCTGGTGACGAATCGAGACCCCGCATAGATTCTGAGATCCGGATCACCCACCAGACAAAACCGCAAAAGCAGCGGGCCGGGTTCCTGGAAGATTCGAGCGACGAAGGAGAGGACGGCTGGGATGCTGTATTGCATGAATCCGGTGATCATTCTAATGATGCGGGTGAAGTACTGGCAAGCGACATAAATGGGTTGGCCAACATTGACGTCGGGACAGGGTCTAGAACAACCAGATCTTCATTGACGCCGGCTCCTCTCATAAGTGACAGAATTGCCAGCTATGATAGGCATGAGCGAACGGAAGACCATATCGCCACTGTACCTAAATTGAATCCCGAAGAAACCAGCGTGTTTAATGCTGAGGATTTTGGTGATTTTGATGATTTTGAGAAAGATGAATTCTTCGAGGGGGGAGAGGAATACATGGAACGACGATGGATGGAAGAACAACGAGACCTGGAAATGGGCCTGGACGAAGATTCAAAATCGGAAAGTGGTGCAGAGAGTATCAGAACGCCCCAGAGCTATTTTGAGGGCGACGGTCAGCTGGGGAGTGAAGATGGAAATGGCCTCTCCGTCTGTCCAATTTGTACCGGAAGCATGAAGGGACTTTCCGAAAGCCAGGCATCTTCTCATGTCAATGCCTGCCTTGATGGTCTTACTGAACCGCTTCCAAAGGTTTCTGAGCTCAGCAAAGGGATATCAAATCCCACGACTGATGGTCCTGGTGCCCAAAGTAGCACCCACAACAGTTACGATGGTCCAACCCCGAAAAGATTTCAACGTGCTGCCATAGCACGCCCTGCTCAGTCAAATCCATTCGTGACTAGAAGCGATCTGAAAGGAGTCTCTGCATTTACTCGGTTGATGTCTGGACATGCCGAGGATGCTGCCTGGGCAGAAGCCGCTGCAAACGAAGCTCACTCTCGCGGCAAACCTGCATACCAGCGAACGTGTCCCTTCTATAAGATCATGCCTGGCTTTTTCATCTGCGTTGACGCGTTTCGCTACGGCAAGGTCGAGGGACAGAATGCCTACTTTTTGAGTCACTTCCACAGTGACCACTACATCGGCCTCACCTCGTCATGGTGCCATGGCCCGATCTATGCCAGCAAAGTCACCTGCAACCTGATGCTACAGCAACTCAAGGTTGATCCGAAGTGGGTGGTGCCGCTTGAGTTTGAGAAAAAGGTCGAAGTGCCCAACACAAACGGGGTGTCTGTTACCATGATTCCTGCCAACCACTGCCCTGGCTCATCACTCTACTTATTCGAGAAAGTCGCAGGTAAGAACAAGGATGGATCGGCTAAGACAACTCGAATCCTTCACTGCGGAGATTTTCGGGCTTGCCCTGCACATGTCAGCCATCCTCTTCTGCGACCTGATATCGTCGATAACCTTACCAACCAGACGAAGCAGCAGGTCATCGATACTTGCTATCTAGACACCACATATCTGACACCGAGATATGCATTTCCTAGCCAACAAGATGTGATTGATGCGTGTGCCCAGATGTGCGTTAGTTTGGCGAAAGAGATTGTTGATACAAATGACACCTGGGAAAAGGCAAAGGCCGACCGTGCTGGCAGCACAATGAAAAGATTTTTAGAACAGGGCGAGGGCAATATGGCCAAGGAAGAAGAGCATGAAGACAAGAACTCAAAGCGTCGAGGACGGCTCCTCGTCGTCATTGGCACTTACTCGATCGGCAAAGAAAGAATATGCCTTGGAATTGCCAAAGCGTTGAACTCCAAGATCTATGCGCCACCGGCCAAAATGCGCATATGCGCGTGTCTGGAAGACGAGGAACTCAACTCACGTCTCACAGCGAATCCGCTCGAAGCACAGGTTCATATGCAGACGTTGATGGAAATCCGAGCCGAAACGTTGCATGACTACATGGCATCTTTCAAAGGCCATTTTGCTCGCGTTGTCGGATTCAGGCCGACCGGCTGGTCCTATCGTCCACCTTCTTCGCGCTTCACGGAGAACCCGGCAGTGGCCACTGTGCTTCATTCGGACGGGTGGAAGACTCGATATACGATGCGTGACCTCGCACCCCAGCGAGGAAGCACGCGGGAGTCCAACTGTTTTGGTGTCCCGTATTCCGAGCATAGCTCGTTTCGAGAGCTGACCATGTTCTGCTGTGCGTTACGGATCAATCGAATCGTGCCGACTGTCAACGTTGGCAGTGCGAGGACTCGAGAGAAGATGAAGGCGTGGATTGAAAAGTGGGACGCAGAAAAACGAAAGAACGGGCTTTTCAAGGTTGAAGTTGGAGCTGAAGGCTGGGGCAGCGGAGACGGCCAGCTCCGATACGGAGTGTAGGCAAGGTTCAAGATGTACCATTGGGTGTAGGAAGAGACGAACCATGTTCACATGAACTGTGTTGGACGCCTATGGCCAGAGAGCGATGTAGCGTCTGCATACAGGAAAGCAAAACGAGGATATCCTGTCATCATTTGACCTCGATGCGCCATCTTATGCTGTAACGACGGAGCCTGGCGTAAAGTCACGGCCTTAGCTCTCCTCAGGCGATTTCAATCCAACCATCGACCGGGCGAAGTAAGTTGCAGTTATGGCAATCCACTCCCTCTGATGCGCTAGGCGACTGATCCCTTTCTCCGCCGCGCGCCCTCTTGTTCCCTTCAATGCTCGGGAACTGTAGTGCCAGCAAGGCTCAATTGATCCCACCGTTCGACAAGGAGGCACAGATCTGCACAGCACATGCCCAACGCGTCGATATTCCCGGTGTGTTAAAGCTGGCCTTCATCGGCTCAACCTGGTGGCCTGAGCAAGCTATCAACCGTACCTCGGCACCTTGTTTTCAGGACGTTGTGGATATTTTGACCTTATTGTATATGTCGCATCGCAAGTCCCAGTTTGCTTGCTTTATTCAGTCCATCCCCGCATCCCGGTTCATAAAGTCAGTGGCCGCTCAATGGTGTTCAAGCGGCCTTTCCCTTCTGCGCCATAGCCTCCCTGCGGCAGGCATCCTCGAGGAGCCCACGATCAACCTTGTCCGGCGGCAGGTGGACGTATCGTACGACGGAACCGCGGATGAAGACGTTCTTCACCGAACTCAGGTGGGGATACTTCAACTCGTCGAGAACGACAATGTCGTCGAGTTTGATGTTCAGGTATTGATCCACTGATTTCAAGGTCCCGCGGATGGAGATGTCGTTCTTCAACTCGACCGTTACGGTTTGTTGGGTCAGCGTCTTGAAGAAGCTATGGGTCGGTTGCAGCGTCAGTTTTGTTCTTGGTTTGGGTTTGGGTTTTCCTGGAAGCGGGCAACAAACAGCGCTCGTACCTGAAGAAAAGCATGGTCGTGGTTGTGGTTGTGGTTGGTCGGCCTGTGTAGGCAAAACAGCTGCGAACAAGGTTTTGGGTCACCTAGGCTGCGAGGAGGGTACGGGTCAAAGGGGAAGCACTGATCTTGAACCAGTAACTACAGTGGCACCAAAGAGCCTCGTCTACAGGTGCTTCGAGTTCAAGTTGCGCATGCGCTGCGACGGAGTCGTGAAAATGATGCCAAGAGTGTTCAAGGCGGCAAGGTGATTATCATTATTAGAGCCGGTGCGAGTACACTAGCATGCTAGCGTACAATGAGGTACTACTAGCTGTAGCTAATGACGTCGCCTAAACTCGCATCTGCTCCCATAGTTCAAGTGTCTCACCGTACTCAGCCGCGCCGCTTCAACTGCTGCTTGTCCTCCACTTGGTGGACAACAGACAACTTCAACCCTGACGAAATTGGGAGGTGATAGGTAATGATTGTACGCATTCTACCATGGCTGTAATTAACTGTGGCAGAGGCTCGTAACGGGACAACCCTCTTCTTCCGTCCTTCTCTCCGTCGCCGATTTGATGACAGGAGCAGAATGTCGCTTAGACATACGGAACCAACTCGTCAAAGTCCTCTTCTCCTACACTGTCCTCCAGGGCCTGGCCTAAAATGTCCATCCTCATCTGTGCCGCCTCGAGGGCCAGTTGCGGCCCTTCTGGATCATTCATCTGCCGTAACACCAGAGAAAGCTGGAATTTCGACCGAGCAATGCGTCTGCGGTCGTTGAGGTGTGGTTGCTCTAGGATTTTAATGGCCTCCCGTAGTAGATCCCTATCAAAGCAGTTGACGGTGGTGAGCGGGGATCCTAAATTCACGGTGACACTTGGCTTCTAATCAGACTTACCTCGCATTTATTGGCTCGTCCATCTTCCTGTAGCAGCAAGCGAGCAGATGGAGCGAGTTGGCGGTATCGTAGTGATCGCCCAAGTTCGTCGTTCTCAGTTGGACAGCCTCGGTCAGCAATGTGCAGGCCTCTGGTAACATGCTCTGTTGGAGGCGCAAATGTCCGTAGTTGTGGAAGAGAAGTGCTCTCCTCGGGAAATAATGTTTCTCTTCTGGGATGGCCAGAGCCTTGTCATACCACTCGGCAGCGACATCCCATTTCTCTTGCTGCGCAAGGTTGTTTGCAAAGTTTTGATAAGTGAGGGTGAGCAGATAGTCGAGGTCGACTGTGTGCTTCCAGCGCTCCTTTAGTTGCAGAGAAAAGTCGTTATACATGCCGGCCTTGTCGAAATCCCGGTGGGCGGTGAGAATCCCTGCGAGGTTGTTGTACGCGTTGGCGAGTTTGATCTCATCCCACATTGAAGCGGCCACGTTCTGCCTCTTCAGCTCATGGAGCTGATTTCGTCGAATATTGACCTGCTGGTTGAAGCAGAAGAGTGCCTTGTCGATCTCTCCGGCGTCTGACAGAATGCAGCCATGAAATGAATACACTTCAGCAAGCAGCAATTGATCGGTCGCCCCCGATTCGCAGATGTTTCTCGCGGACAAAATCAGATCTCGTCCCTGCGCAAGGAGACCTCTCTCCCAAAGATAAATCGCACCGTCCACCAAGACTTCGGCCAAACCCTCTGAAACAGGTAGCTTGTTTCGATATGCAACAGCCACTTCATTCAGTGCTATCAGATGAGAAATCCATGACTCGCACTGTGGCCACGACCGACTAAGAGGTTCCGCAAAGGGCGACTGGTGCGGAAACTCTTTCCTCAACTTTTTTACAATCCAGGAAAAGGCTGTACTCAGGTCTGACGAAGTTTGACTGGCGAAGAGGTGTCTTCGCACTTGGCGGTGGACTCGTACCGTCACGGAGGCCGAATCTTCATTTGCAGGGTAAGATCCGATCAAGGAGTACTTTTGCAGCCTGTTGAAGGCAAGGTCATACCTAGACAAACCTGAGCACCTGTTCTATTCGTCAGGATTCACCCAGATCGACTTACTCATCTTTGGTCGGGAAGAAGGGTACGAAAACATCCTCTTGCACAGAAGGATCATACAGATTTGGAAAGATGGTGTCGGGGTCGAGCAACGCCAGCACGCTCAGAAGGAATTTTGATGAAGGGTCGAGTCTATCGAGTGTAACTTTGAATCCGGCGAGCGATCGAGATGCTATTGTTGTGCCGACGCTCCAATTGTCGATGCGTTGGCCTTGGAGGAGATCTCTATATCTTACCAGTAAATCCTCGGCACCCACATTGGTTTCGACCATATAGGATCCAATCGTTTTGATGGTTATCGGAAGGCCTCCGACTTCTTGGACAATGGCCTTAGCCTGAGCTTGGTGGATGCCCCTGTTAAAGCGCTGCAAGATGGTTCGAAGGAGCTCTTCGCCCTCCATCACCGAGAAAGGTTCGACCAGAATACCGGCCCCGACCAAGCCTTCGTGGAGCAAATCGCGTTCCTGGCTGGTGATTATGATCGAGCCCGAGGGCGCTGTGGGCCAGTAACCCTGGAGATGGCGCGGATCGTCTACATTGTCCAGGATGAGCAGCCAGGAATGACCCGGACCTCCCTGTCAGTAGCCATTGTAGCCAACCGCGGGCGGAATACCTACTGGGTTCGGATAGCCAGTCCTGAACGCGCAGGTGCATCTGTGCATCATCTGCCGCCGTGAGGCCTAGCTTGGTAGCAATTGAGGTAAAGCCTTGGGCAATCTTCACGGGAGTGTCTGCTGCAATCCACAAGCATGAGTGATACTCATGCCTGTGACGATGTGCAAACTCGATCGCGGCTTCGCTCTTTCCCGTGCCCCCGAGGCCGTATAACAAGACGGACTTGAGTTCGGTCTCGAAAGAAGAGTCTTCGCAACCCAATGCATTTGCTAGTTGTGACATGAGTCCTTCTCTTGCAACGTAGAGTTTGTTCCGAGTCGGGACGGTGAACAGATGCGGTTGCACAATCGCGGGCGGGGTTTGTTCGGTGGGAGTCTGCTGTAAAGACAGTCCAAGCATCCGTCGTCGAAGTTCCTGATCGTCTTCTCGGTGAAAGGCAGCTGCCTCTGCGATGACCGAGTCTCTGATCTTGATGAGCCGCCGCACCGTGGTGTTGAATGGTTTCAGTTCTTTCTTCCATTTTATTCTCTTGATAATGTCTGGAGAGATGGGTAAGAAACACGGGGTTGAGTGGTAGTTGTTTGGCCACAAAGAAACTCACTGAGTTGTCCTCGACAGAAAACATCGATGACTCGGACGCTGAGATGTAGAAATTCACGATAGTAATCTGGCAGGACCCGTTTGAAGGTGGGATGGTTCGGGACCACATCAGCGTAGGACGAATATCTCGGCACTGTGTTCAGGATGTCCTCGTATATTCCAGCCACCGTCTCGATGTGTGTCAGGTCTCCTGACAGCCCCTGGACGCAGAGTTAGTGGCGCCCCATACAGCCTCAGCCTCAGGCATCGATGGACATGGACGGACTTCCAACGCGAACCCCAGTAACCCCCAGATTTCCTTGCATGTGTCGTATTCTCCAGACGAACAGACCTTGACCGCATCGCTGAGATGGACCGTAAGACTTGTGATGTGCTGCAATCTTGCTCGGACTGGTCTGTTATTTGCTGCGATGGGAAATCGTGCCTGGATCAAGGCTTCCACCTTTGATCGATTGTCAAATCGAGCCCGATTCGCCTTTTCGCTGTCCGAAAGCTGATTAACTTCGCTCGAGGTTATTGACGCCCAGGGGGATGGCATATCGACAGGTCCAAAATTCAGGAGTAGAATCGTGTAGTTGCAACATGGTACAGGACAGTCGAGTACGGTCATCCCATGTTCAAGTAGCTTGTACAGTGACTGGTACACCTGGTAGGTGCCTGGTAGGTGCCAGGCAATCCGAGGTAGTGCTGGTGGCGAGAGGCGGCACTGGAACAACGAGGAGACACACAAGGGTCAGGCCCTAAGGCTTCTAAGGCGTCCAACCCTGTCCGGGGTCTGCTTTATTGGGGTTCAACCCCTCTGAAGAGGTTGCAGTAGGGAGAAATACTGACCGCTAGTCCAGTCCGTTTGCCTACTCCGAACACTAGGCTAAAGGGATCATGCAGGCACGTCTGGCCGCTTCTGCTTTTGCTTCTGCTGTTGCTAGAGCCCATACGTTCTGCCCAACCATCGAGACCCAGTCAACCCGTCACACCTTCGTGAAGCAAACCGGTGTGACCAATTCCTTAAGGTTTGGAGCAGGGCCTTCACACACCCCTCCCTGCAAGTCCCAGCAGAGGGAGGTGACAGCACCCTTCTCATCACGAACAAAAGACATGAGCATTGTGGACAGCCTGATAAAATTCAACATACCCTTCCGAACCGCATCATCCCGCGAATCAGGCAGGAATGTCCATGTATCATAGTGGTAATGGCGTAAGTTTGCAGTCTGTTTCTTCATTCTGTTGATGTTGAAGGTCAGCAGTTCGGGATTGGGCCCGGAGCCAACCTTGTGCGGGGGGATTTGAGTCACGTAGATGGTGAGCTTCAGACCTGTATTCGTATAGGTCCCGGTCAAGTCCTCCAAGGGCGAAGGATGAGTGTTTTGGACTCTGTTTTGTACCCATTCCTCCACCAACGCTCTCCAAATTAGGTTGGCGGTAGAAGCAGCTTGAGCCGCAAAATCCTCTAGCTTTACTCGAGGCCGCATGTTGAAAAGCTCCTGGCACAATGTTTGCGCAATGAGATCCGTAGGGTCGCCCGTCCCGACCGGAGTGTTGGCCAGGACGATGATAGCGCTACAGGTATCGGGGAATGTGTAGAACGAACTGAGGAACCCCCCAAACTCTCCCCAGTGAGCTACGGTAAGCCGCGGAGGTCCATCTCTGTTGATCACCGGAGGTTCGGGAAGGAGAGCAAAGTTGGGACCGATCGATCCTAAAAAGGTGGAGGGTAACATGTGCCGAAACCAGCCTAAGCCGTAGGAGTTCTCGAGTCCAGTCAGTCCGTTCACAATCGGTCTCATGGCTGATCTCGTGACGCTCATCTGGCGCAGAGGATTTGGTTTCTCGGGAGACGAGCCTTGGACTTCGGCCGATTCAGCTTGCATGACCGCTTTGGCCCAGACCAGCATGTCTCGCACACAGCTGCGCACATATCCAGAAGCTCCTTGCAGGCCACAGTCCTGGAGATCGGGCGGCTCCAAAGGAAGCAATTCACCAGAATCCAAGACCGCATAGCCTTTGGCGGCGTTGTTGTCGTCTGAGTACTCATCGTTCCGGGAGAAAGTGCGCGTCATATTCAGCGGCTGGAGGATTCGGTCTCTCAGGACCTCTCCGGATCGTTTGCCTTCCACTGCAGCTATGAGATCTCCCACGACACCGAGCAAGAAGTTGTTGTAGAGCCAATGTGCGCGGAAATCATAAGCCACGGGTAGATGAGAGGCTATGTGCACCCCCTCGTGGCCTGGGTTCAGAAACTGATCATGGAAACCACATCCGGCATTATCCAGAGGGGCAAGTCCACAGCCGTGGGAGCAGAGGTCTCGCAGAGTAGCACGCCGTCCGATCTCGGGATCATGGACGGGGTTGAATCTAGGAAGGATGTTGGAGACTGGTTCATCCCAAGACAGACGGCCCTCATCGACGAGAATGCCGCACAGAGCGGTGATGAAGGCCTTGGTGTTCGAGGCGACGGGGTAGATGGTTAGTGGATCAGGCGCGAGCCCTTTCTCGACGTTGGCCAGTCCATCTCCGTGCGTGAAGATGACCTCGCCGTGATGGAGCACCCCACACGATATGGAGGCGGCGCCGAAACGAGTGCGGATTTGGGTGATTGCATTGAGGACCTGCTCCGAGCTGTAGAGAGTGAGTGACAGTCGCGAATGCATGCTTCAACCGTGGTCCGTACCGCAAGGAGATTTCAACATTCCGCAGCGTCATGTTGACGCGTGGACCTGAGGCGTAGACCTGAGGCGTAGACCTGAGGCGTAGACCTGAGGCGTAGACCTGAGGCGTAGACCTGAGGCGTAGACCTGAGGCGTAGACCTGAGGCGTGAACCTGAGGCGTGAACCTGAGGTGTGAACCTTATAGCCTGTTTAAGTCGAAGCAAGCGCGATCGGAAGTTGAGCGAGGGGTAGGAGAGAGGTGGCCGTGACCGTGACCGTGACCGCGACCGCGACGCGACTGTGACCGTGACCGTGGATGGTGACCTCTGCCTTGGAGGTTGCCTTGTGAAAGCCTTACGCAGGCTAGCGAGCAGCAACTACCTGGTACCAGGTCCCTGACGGTAAAGCAAGTAAGTAGGTACTGTACGGAGTACTGTATCCGTACTGTACTACCAGGGATGCAGGTGCAGTCTCGCAGGTGCGGTTGACAACCTTGATGCATCCTTCCAGCTTGCCACGTCACAAACAACCTGAACCCTGGTGCCAGTGGTGCGAGCCTGCACCCTGCACCTGCACCTGCACCTGCGCCCTGCCCTCCGCTCCTGCGCCCTGCCTACTGTAAGCCTCCTAAGCCTAAAGGCTCAAGGGCTCAAGGGCTTAGGAGGCTCCTTAGGCCCGCCCCCTGCGGCCCCAGCCAGCATCTTGCCTATATACAGTCGCCATGCCTCCTCCTGACAGTCTCTTCTTGTCTCAGTCTGCAGACCTACAGACTTTGAAACCCAAAGGGCATTCATCCTGTACTGAGAGTGAGACTGAGACTGAGAGTCAGAAAGCAACATCCACCCATGGCGGCCCAAGTAGCCTCAATCAACCTCGAGTATATCCCATCGTCCCACTATACTGCTCGGCTTCCTCCCTCCGACGACCCCTTCCGGCATAGTTCTCTGTCCAATTCCCACAATCACCACGAGTTGCATCCTTGGGGTCCTGATGTGCCTGTCGCGTCGCCCGAATTCGATGCTAGGTATGCCGAGGCCAACAACCAGTATATGTACCACTTGTGGTACAATGCTGCGTTGGCACCTTTCATGGCGACGAGAGTCATCAGTATCCGACCCCTCGACGCCGGATTCCTCGCGAAAGCACGTCAAGTCCTGAAGGATACCTTTGCCAGTGGCATTGATTCAGCCATGGCCTCCGTTGAGGCCTGCACTGTGGCAGACGAAATTCAATCTATCCTCGACAGCAGCCATTTGTCGCCCGATGATCGCATTTTCGTCCGGCTTGGTGCCACTTCCTGCAAGGACAGTTTCGCCGTCAACTTGCCGACGACCAAACCGGGTCCTCTGCCTCCCCGGGGCGACATCGTGCTACGGCGCCTCCTCACGAGCGCTCGCTGTGTTGCCCGACTGCTTGCACTGGCCGACAATATTTGGCCTCAGGATCCGGGTGAGGCCCTTATTGTCGAGGAGTGGGCCCCTGACATCGAGTTGAAGCGTGAGTTTCGCGTTTTCTGTTGCAAGGGCCGGGTGACAGCCGTCAGTCAGGATATTTGGTGGCAGAAGATGGGCTGGCGGGGCAGGTATTCCAATGGATTTGTCGAGGCGATTCTGCACCTCTGGGACCAAGTCAAGCCATTGATACCATTTGATACATGTACAATGGATGTGCATATGATGGAGACGGAGAATGAAGACATTCCCTGGAAAGCACGACTCATTGAGTTCAATGGGTTTGGAGCACATCTCAACACAGGAAGCGACCTATTCCACTGGGTGAACGATGCCGAAATACTGGAAGGCAAACGCCCAGGCGTCACTCTACGCTTCGTTGATGACAATGAGGTCATCTTCGAGCCTGGTGGCGGCAGTGCAAGTCAGGAAGTGAAGGAAGTGACCGGTGAAGGTGCTCAGGACCCTGTGCCAGACTGGCTTGCCCTCGAACAGAAGTTGAGAGAGCGCTATGGTAATGACCCGACCGAGGAGAAAATGCTGACACTCGAAAGGAAGACCAAAGTTCCACTCAGGGGAAGATGGTGCAGTGCATATTGATGTGCTAAGGGTGGAGGTGATTTGAGATGGCGCTTTATCAGCTTACGGGGCCCTATATCGATCCCTTATAGCCATGATAGCTTTCATTTAATATTCTTTATATTTCCTCCCTGGGGTGCCTCATGCGGTACTCTTTGCTCTCATGTGGTATTGGTCCAAGGCATCGCGAAATGCAACGATCAAGTCGTCTCCAATCGAGGCAGATTCCGCGCCAATTTTCAAGTTCTGCCGCATATGCTCAACATTGGAGCTTCCATCGACGATGTGGAACATGACAGCTTGACGTTGATTCATGGCCATGATGCATTGGAGAAAGAAATCAAAGTCCGCCCCAGCGACTCTGAAACCTCGGGCATGGATATCGCCCATCACGGCCTTGGCCACCGCTTTGTTCTCTTCAGAAAACACTCCCCAAGCCTGATAGCAGATCTTGTGCTCTTTACAGTAATCCAACACCAACTTATCATACTGGTTTCGGTGGGTGAACCGATTCTGAACGATCGATGGCTTGACCGTAGCTTTCTCATAGATTGAGGCCAGAACAGGCAAGTCGGCTTTGCAGATACCAAGATAGCGGACGCCTCCATGGTGGTAAATATCTTCCATTGCCTGCCACACCATCCTTGTTTCCTCCATGGTTCCCATGGGCTGAAGCAGGAGATAGGCGTCTATGGCGTCGACCTTCAGTGCCGTTCCACTCCGGAGGGCACTCTTGTAAACCTGGGTTTGGAGATCATCGCCCACATCGAAAGCCCAGGGCTCAGCCTGCGTCCAAGCCGGGGCAAACTTTGTCTGGATGAAGAGATCTTCCCGTTTCAGGGCCATCTTTGCATCCTGGAGCGCTGTCGCGATGTCTTCGCCGTCGCTGACTTCATTGTGCACTTTTCTCGTCGACGCGGTGTCTATTGCCCGATACCCTTCTCGCAAAGCATCGATAACGTGTGGCACTGGCCTATTGGGCCCGAAAGCGGTGCCGTAGATGCGAATGGGAAGCGGTGAACCGCTGAGAAGGACGGGATATTGAAACTCAGAGACCATACTAGCCATTGACGCCGCGATGGGCACTTCTTGATAGGACTGTGAACAAGCCGCCTTTGTGCAAGACCAGAGGATGATGAAGATGGCAATCCCGGAGACACAACACACAACCTTGACGTTGCCATTGCATCCCCTCTCCCATCCCCCCTCCCTCCTGGACGAAGTCCGGGGGCTTATGGTCAGGACAGGGGCCCCTTAGCCTTAGGTGAGCCGCTTGGGTTTAGGTTAACCAGCCCCTCCTCTCCCACCAGTTCACTTAATCTCGCTCTCTCGGACCAGGCGTCCTTCTACTCTGATCCTCAAACCAGCAAGAATACAAAAAGAACCGTTTGAAGACAAGACTCATGTCGGCAAGTAATTCAACAACAGACGAGGCTGGCGTAAGAGGTGAGGTTCAATACTTGGACAAGTCACCCCTTTACGAAACCGAGAAGCCTTTCGAGTGTACAATCGAGCCCTGGCACTTCCCCGGCGCGAGGCAAAACAATCTTTCTTGCACAGCATACCAGGTTTTGTTCCACGACATCTCTGCTTCCAAGGAGAAATTTTCCCTTGACGTGCACGGCTTTCAAGTGGAGACACATATCTCTGCTCTCGTGTACGACGATTTCTGGTCTGACGACCTCGTCCAAAACCTCTACTACCCAGAATGCGAAGAGTTCTTCAAGACGCATCTCGGGGCAGACGAGGTTTATATCTTTGATCATGTGGTGGGTGTTTTCGAACTAGATCTGACTGACTCGGAGGGGCCAAGTCAAGCCCAAGCTCACTGCACGTCAGGTTCGCAAAGCCGACGCAGTCGTCGAGATTGCCGGAGTCAATGAGTTTCAGCGACTGCTCAAACCATCCATCAGAGTTCACGTTGGTGTGTTCCCCGTGGGCGTTGGCATCAAGAGGCTGCTCCTACAGAGCCAGTCAAGCTGATCGGGGATCTCGAAACTGAGACTGAGACTGAGACTGAGACTGAGACCTCATAGATCAGACTACCGAATCGGCAATCAGGAGAGTGAAGGATGTTGTTCCTGACCGAGCGGAATCTCTTCTCGCTCGTCGGTTTCGGATAATCAAGTACGTGACCAGGCCGGCCGCGAACCTTGACGCTTTACTGACATGTATGCGTACTTTATTCTGTGGCGGCCTCTATTCTCCCCTCTGCAGGACCGACCGCTTGGTTTGTGCGACTACCGATCCGTCGACCCCGACCAAGATCTTGTAGCCAGCGATCTCGTCTCACAGCACTTTCTGGGCGAGCAATACTACCTTCGATATAGCCCCCGTCACCGCTGGTGGTACCAGAAGGACATGACGCACCAACAGCTACTGGCGATCAAATGTTTCGACTCCAACGCCGTCAAGCCCGACAGTCGTGTTGCAAGATGTAAGCTTCTCCCTGTCATGGCCTCAGACTTGTTGCAGCTTGTTGTTGACTTGTGGATTTCCAAATCGGCCAGTCGCTCCACATGCTTCGTTCATGACGGATGACAATGGCAATGACGATGGAGCACTACCAATCCCAACGAGGCCTCGAGAAAGCATTGAGATCCGAGCTCTGGTATTTTCCGCTGATTGAGCGGCGGTGGAGGACAGGTAACGACAGAATGCGACAGAATTGATGAATTCATTCAGCAGTGGTGGACGACAGTAACGACAGAATTAATTCATTAAATCATTCATGCATTCATAAGCTACAACTAAAGCTCCAGGCTTGTCTGCATCTGCATCTGCGCTTGCGTTTGCTTGTTGCATCCTTGATAGTAGCCAACGAGTGTCCATTCATTCATTCATCCATATCCATATTGTGAAATACAAGACCATGTCATTCTTTGAAGCGAAAGAATCAGTTCGTCCTCGTCCATCGCTAATACCATATCATTGATTGAAGCGAAAGAATCAGTCGTCCTCGTCCATCAGACAATCGAGTTGTGTCCTCCGTTGCCAGTGTCAAGTACTGTCCTTCGTGCACTTTAGGGCCTTTAGACAGGAGGAGCCGCCGTGGCCTTGTAGCCCTACTGCGACCCAGAGCCGTATGAGCCGTGTGAGCAGCGCAAGGCAGTGCAGTGCAGTGGGCGGTTCAGTGGGTGTTCTAGCCAGCCGCATTGCCCGACTCAGTTGCAATCACCATCCTCTGACCCTCCGGGGATTCGAGATAAGCCTTTCGAAGCTTATCTTGATCGTGACGCTGCTCGTCATTCGCTTCTGCTTCCTTGCGCGCGGCGATTTCTTTGTCCAGCCATGCTTTCCAAGGCTGTACGCGGTTCGTATCTTCCGACCGTTCAGGTTGATTAGCTTACTGTAAGGTAGCTGTAGCTGGCCCGGCCTAGTATATGTATGTATGTAGATCTCGGCGACAATGAAAAGAAAAGGTTTGCTCGGTTGGGCAACGAAAAGATTAGGATTGCTCGGTCGGGCAACGAAAAGAAAAGAATAGGATTGGATTGGATTGGATTGTCTGCTTTTCTCACTCACCTGTTAGGCCTACAGCCACGTTGGCCTGCTCGGCCGCCTGGTCTTGAGTCGAGGTGACCATTTTTCCGTTTCGTTTCCGTTTTCTGGTTCTGGCTCTGGTTTTCCAATGGCCCTAGATTTCTGAGAATCTCAGAAAGTGAGATTGGTTTGAGGGGGTGAGAGTGTGTGTGAGTGTGAGTTGTTAGAAGTTAGATATGAGCTACAAGTATAGGATAAGATCCAAGATCCAAGTACAAGGTATAAGGTATGATGTATAATAAAGGATGTCAGTGTGAGTGTATGTCAGTGTGACATGTGAGAGGGTCAAGTGCTCGCAGTAGGGAAAGATCTTTGGGCTGGGGCGTCGTCTGGACCCCGACGAGGGAGGGCGAAGAGGCTCTTGAGGCTGAAAAAGAGGGGTTAGGAGGGTTAGGATGGTCATCCTGGTATCTCCATACTAGGTGCATATAATAGTGTGCCACGACAGAAGTGGGCATTCCGCTAATATTGGAGGGAAACATTTAGTACACCATCCATCATACTCCATGCATACATACACTAGTCTTCCTCCTGGTTGGATATCTTCCGCACTAGCTAGTGGCGAGGCCTCAGGCTCAGGGGCCCCCGGTCGTGTTCTAGGATTCCCATCCCATCCCTCCCCATGCCTTCCCTTCCCATCCCATCCCGTCCCATGGCTCTCGTCAAGGAGAGTGGGTGGCCTTGTTTATGGCTGGGGTGCATACACCGTACTCTCTACAGCACTCCGTAGGTAGGCCGTAGTCCGTCCTCGTCGTCCGTACCTGGATCAATTCCGCGCAGGCGGGATGGGATGTGTGTGGCATGTGATGGATGCTTGGATTTCATGCACATATAGTAAGTACTTACACTGGCATCGGGCACCAACACCAATACCTGCGAAGCGAGTTCCCAATTGCCTTTCCTTGTCCTGCCCGAGGGAGTGTACGGGTATGGATACTGTACATACATACACATACACATACTGTATACGTACAAAAACTGCGTACGAATACGGATCCGTACGGATCCAGGACTCCGTACGGAGTACAGCTACCTGACTGACCGATCAGGCTGACTCGGTTGTGGCTGTTCTGAAACACGACAGTCTTTGAGACCAGAAGTCGCCTCACTTGAACGTGAATGTAAACGACAGACGATGGACGTACATAGCTGTGTGTGGCTGTAGGAGAACATAAATAAGGATCGGATCCTAAGGCCCTTAGGCTTTTCATCCCCCCAAACATGCTCGCCCATCCCGACTGGGTGGCCGCCAATCTCTTACAGTGCACAGCTGGTACAGTACAGAGTGTCACTGTCATTCCTGCTGTGTCGCACCCAACGCCAATGGGGCCAATGATCTGCTCAAGTGGCATTTATGCACACCACCCACCTCCTCCCATCCTCGCTGCATTGGTGCTGGTGCTGCTCGCATGCAAGACGGCTGCAACCACGGCATACCAGCCTGTGACAGTGACAGCGGAAGCAGCAGAGACGGACTGCGGCTTTCAAGGAGACGGTGACACGTATGGGCTGGGGGTGCGACTGGGAGCCTACATCCAATGGCTGACCAGCATCCTTGCATACAATCTTTCCGAGGAAGAGGCCGCTGCCATGCGGGGCGTCAACACTTCGTTCCAAATCGCCATGCTTGCCGGCCTATTGGTCATCACCGTGCAGCGAGGCAGCTCCCTTTACGCAGCTGAGGCATATGTCGTCCTGTTGTTCGCCTTGGGAGGAATCTGCTCGGCCGCCACTTCGCCCTGGAAGCCCAAAAAAAGAGATCGCTTTGGTGGTATGTCACGACTAGCCCCTTCCAACGTCGGGGCCCTGATCCGAATCAGCTTGGGAACCACACTGTGCGCGTATGGGCTGTGGTACAGTTTCCAAGGCCTTGACCACATGCGGCAGAACAGGTGCAGCAGGTTCGCTTTCATCTTTGCCCGCGTCAGCCTGTATGGCTGGACACGTACTTTGCTGAAAGTTGTCTTCACCCTCGGTTCACTGGCCGCTCTGGTCCTCGTGGCCAACAATGTCCTGGTGGTGATCCTGGACTGCTATGAGTGGTTGCAAAATTGGACCAATGCCGATGATGATGACCAGTCGACCGCAGATGCCGAGATCAATCAACCCTCATGGGTCACCGCGTCGATCTCGCTTCTAGGTCTTGGCCTCCTCGTCGTTGCCGTGGAATTGACTTTGGCATGGAACCATGTTCGCGGCGTATACTCATGCGGTTCGACTGGCCAACTGTTCCCACTTGTTGTGGGATGCAGTGGACTCTTGAGACTGGTGTACAAGCTTGTTTCCGACTTCATTCATGGTTCCCTGAAGTTTGGTCACGCTGCTGCCGAGAGTTGACCATCCAAGAGATCGGCAGTTGCGGTGAAAGCATAGCCACGCTGCAACTCACATTGTCCCTGCATGGCTGCAATGGTGGCTTGATCGGTAAATCCGCTTGAACTTGATATTTTGTACAATACAACACCCGCCTGTTAACCTGTACCTTCTATTCGTAAAGAACCACTTTCGGATGCTTCTTCTTATTTCTGCTGCCCGGTGGCATGATCAACCCCTCGAATTGCGGAAATTGCGCATGGAGAATCGAAGGGATCTCCTCCAAAGCCCTATGCAGAGGTGTAAGCAATGAGCCTAGCTCTGTGCTTTTTCTCTCCTGTCCGCGAGCCTAGTCTGAATGAATCGACCTTTCGGAATTTCCTGGGGTTTCGGCTTTCCACATTTCCACACTAGAATTGTTGTCACCATCTATGTGTTCGTCATTTTGACTGAGGTCCTCAACTGTTGCCTTCGAAGCTATGCCTTTTCCATTAGTATCACCTCCGGCATTTCACTTTTCCGATAACCTTACCAGGTATGTTGTATCTATCGAGTCGATGAAGTTTGTTCAAAGACCTTTGCAGTCGTACCAATTTGTCCTGAAGTTGTCGGCGCTCAAGTTGGGTACTCTCGTCTTCAGAAGCGATCAGTCCAACCACGTCATCCGTTAGTCCGTAGAGAACGCTCGGTAAAAATATCATGCTCAGCGGTTCTAGCAGGCATTTTTCAACCCCGAGAACGCTGAAATCATCCACAAATTTCTTTCTTGCAACCTATGCGACAGAACTTCCTGTTAGCTGCGATCCCGGTCAGAAAGAATTAGAGTCTGGAAAGTCTCAGCACCTTGTAATATGCTTGCATGCAATCAACCGCTTCAGAAGCGGCAAAGACTTCCATACTGACTTCGGTTTCACCTGCCAGACTTTCAACCAGGAGGTCTATGCTGAACGTGAACCGCTGGACAGAGGATGAATTCTGCGGGTATTGTCCCCCGAGGAATTCTTTCAGTCTCCGGGCGGTATTTCTGTAAATGTGCCCCACCCGGGCTTCCTGCACACTATCTGTGAAGTAGTGATTGTAAGTAATTGGGTGCCCAAGTTGTTGAGGTTCGAGAAGCTCCCTTGTCTTTTGCCGTAATGACGCCTCGATTGCATCAAAAGCTGGGTTGAGAACGTGTTCTATGAGCCCCGTGAGGCTTTTGTTGTCTAGAATGTGACGCAAGATGGGCAAGGTGGTTTTCTGGACGTCTTCCAGTAAATTGTCAATACAATCCGTCACGATTGATTCCCACGGCTTTGATTGTAGGTAAAACAGGTCACCAATGATGAGGGGATTGAATGTGCCAGGAAGCTCTCGTCCTCTGCTCCTGCGCATACGTTGCTGGACTTCTTGCACGAAGTTGGAACGGAGAATCCTGGGTTCACTAGAATCCATGGAGTTAGCGTCGTCGTCGTAATCGTCGTCATCGTCGTCTATGATCTCTCTTTGCATCCCGTGTTTTTCCAGATTCTCAGAGAAATCAGAGAGACGGTTTTGGACCACAGCCCGTAGTCGCCTTTGGTAGCCATCATCTTCCATCGCATCACCAAAAAAGGGGTCGTTGTAGACTCCATGGATGGCACTGCCTAGAAGACTAGTGAGCCTTTCACTGCTATGCAGGAGATATTGACGTTGATCAGCCAGTGTCTGACGCGCATCCCCCAGCCTGCGTAGACTGGCTGCAGTGTCATGCGCAGACTGTTGAGTTTCGCCAATCAAGTCTGGGAGCTCGGAGAGGATATGATCTTTCAGAACTGCACTCAATCTTGGCTTAAGTGAGTCAATGCCGCCCTGGGATTTTGGCAAGGCCGCCCACACACCACTTGCGAGAAATGCGAGCTCTTTTTCGTTACGCTGGGCGAGTGAGAAATGTCGCTCTTTGTGATCTCGGTTTCTGAGGACATGCCAACCTAGCCTGAACGGTACCCGCTTGTTGTTGGCCAGTTGGAAAAAAGACCGTTCCATGTCAGAGTCCTCCGGGAGAGAATCTGGTTTGGTGATGATGCCCATCGTGCGATTTCCTGTCGGGTCGACTTTGCGGGTGAAAGCGGTAACCTTCTGGAGCGCTATGTCACTCTTGGCGGAGATGACAGCCAGGATGACACTTCTCTCGTTCCGTATGTAGGACAGGACCAAAGACTCCACAAAGTCGACTCCTTCGACACTCTGAAACTCGTCGGGTGCATGGTAGAGACCGGGAAGATCGACCAGAGTCAAATGAGGTTGGGTGGGCCCTGAGACCTCGACTCGAAGAACGTCTTTTGAAAATACATGGCCGTCTTGACCTACGCCAATGTGGTTTTCGGCTTCTTTGACGATGTCTGCAAAGCGACCCAAGTCCACCGTTGAGGACTCGAACTCTCGGATTCTCTCCTGCTCTGAAACAGGACGATCCTCGTCAGGATGAATGGACGCAGTAACGCCGAGGGTTGAGGATCGTCTCAGGATGAGTTCCGTTGCGAAACGAGTGCAAAGATTGTCTTTTATTGGGAAACCGAGCCCCGAAATTGCCTCTAAAACAGAGCTCTTGCCTGAGGACTGGTCGCCGCACACGACCAACTGTGGGAGGTTGACATATCTGCTAATGCCTTCCGATCTCAGTTGATCGATGACATTCAGGATCTCTTCATGGTCCTTGGACTGAAGTTGAATTGCCGGCGTCAAGAACTGGGGATCCCCTGCAGGCTCCATTGACATGGTAGAATGGTAATTCTAGCAGACTTGCAAGCATTTTGCCAGTGTCTCTGTCGTCTCTGATATAGGCTCTGGTCTCCCAAAGGCGTGGATTGAGGGGTGTAAGCACTGCTATGATAATCTAGCCCTTCATTAGTGGGCGGCTGCAGTCCGGACGCATCGCCGTGGACGTGTCTTGCCGCAACTGGCTGCTGTCACGTCACAGTACCTAACGCTGCATGTATCGAAAATAAATCTCGAACGCAGAAACGACACGTCTCCATGCGCCCGAAATGCTTGACGTGATGCATGAAGATGTAGGCGAGAAGGGCCTGGTGTGGCCGGTCACCCCCTCTTCACATGCAACAAACCTGCATCGTAACTTCTAGACTGATGATTGCAGATGTAAGATGATGATTAGGGTCAACAGACCACGTAATCCATGGCCCTGCTTAGCGATAGGCAAAGGAAGATGCCCTGGGGTGGAAAGCTTCACCACACTGCATGCATGCTGGCGGCGTCCAATCTATATTTGCTCTCCATGCAGTGGACAAATAGGTGACGAGCCGAAATAAGAGAGCGGCTACATGTTTGGCGGGGTTGGCCCATCTTGATAATGTTGCCCTTAATTAGAGTGGCCGACAAGGAGATATGATACATCTCGTGATCCTCTGTCGGTGTCGTATCATTGAAATCGCGGTGGCTGCGGTGGTTGTCACCAGCTGTGAGGGATTCGCCGGTGAGATACGGTTCACCGGATCGCTCGCCTGTAGGTGCTAGGTGGGTGCCTCGCTCACGACAGCTGGGTTTGCAAGGGGTAACGCCCCCTTGATTCCGAAATGGGAATGGGATGGGGCGCCAGCAGATATACCAGCCTTGACATTGGGCAGCAAACACAGAGAAACCGACAAGGGGGTCTGGGCCAATGAACTGCTCAAATCTATACGTAGTACTCCGTACTCCGTACTGCTACTCGTATACTGTCTCTACCTGGTAGGCGCCTGGAAGGTATCTAGGCAGGTGAGGTTATGATGAAACTTCGTATCCAAAGTAAATACTCCGCCGTACCAACTACTGTGGCGGAATGACGCAGTCGGCGAGTATGATGTCATTGGGTGTTCAACCTCACACTGCTGTGTTGTTCTCCCATCTCTTCGATCTTTATCAACAGCGCCGACGGCCATCTGCTACGAGCACTACAACTATTCCGTACTCGTACAAGGGCTTGAAAGCGATCTGGCTGTCCTACCTCTGACGCAAGACGAAGATCCTGCTGTGTTCCAACCAGTGTCCCCCTTAGACCGCGCGGCTGGAGACGGTTGCCACCTACGAGTACTACTCCATATCTACTATCTGCTTCTGTACGGAGTACGGCTAACTCTAACGGTCCAAGATCGAGCCATGGCCGTTTGATTCGCGCGCACAATCTAGCTATGATGTCGTCCTTTCTGGCTGGTGCTAGCAACAGAGCAGATCCTGGCCGTTGCCCTGCTAAGTCGAGTTCTGGTTCGCGAGTCTCCAGTCTCCGAGATCGCCAGGTTCCACCCAGCACTGCCGCAACAGCGTCCAGCCAGTGGCAGAGGCGGCGCAAAATTGCCCATCTTCATGTTGCGACATGTGCCTGTTTTTGGTCGGTTTCCCGGCACACTGGATGGATGTCGCATTCTTCCCTTCCATGCTTTAGTCCTCTCCGGTGTCTCGACATATTTGGCTTACTTACAGGCATGCCGTACTCGAACTGCGCATCTACTTGGCTTACTTACAGGCACTCCGTACTTGTACTGCGCACCTGCCGCGTAGGAAACACTCGCTCTGTCCGTCAATCGCATTCACAAATACCCTCGTTCGCCCTTGACCCTAATGCCACCAATTACCAACAAACCCTCTAGACTTACGCCAGCAATCTACTTGTGCGTCAATGTCGGAAACTCAGCTACGCACCCGTGCACTTGCGAGTGTTGAGTATGCCCACCAGTCCGAGAAGTTGTCTCTCGAAACCTCCGGCCAGACGATCGATGGCGCGGACCATGGCGTCGCCGTCCAAGCCAAGTTCATCACCCCCCTAGATCCGGTGATAGAGACGGCAGATGGCAACAGGCTACCCTCAGTCCCAGTCCCGGAGGCCCACAGAATTAATCTGTTGAAGCACCAGGCTGAAGGCCGACCATACCATCCTAGCCCAACGCGACCAAGAGGGCTGAGTAGGTTCGACGTGGTCGAGGCTGCGACGGCCGCACAGGCGGAGCAGAAACAAGAGGCACATGCGGCTCAAGAACAGCAGACACAAGCGGACCATGAAAGTACAAACAGTCGCCTCGACGAAGCTATACCGCCATCGCATACCCACCCTCTCTTTCCCCCGCTACCTTTATACGGGCCACCATCCTTGTTTCGGGAAATACAGTGTGCGACCTTTCGAACCACATCGTTCTTCCTGTCCAACGCTTTCTTGGTAGTCATCGTTCTGGGGGCAGTCTTCACCTCAATCCCCAGGCTGTTGAACAATTTTTGGTTGTGGTTGACATTCCGAAGTGCTGACACTCGAAGACCGTTCTATGAGGAAGAAAAAAGGCGGGCGAATAATCGCAGACTACAAGAGGTGGAATGGACTAGGAAACAAAAACGAGCCACGCCTGTCAAGGCCGGCTTGTCGGCTTTTCCTGATGATACGTACGAACCACTTGAAGGAGGGCCTGACCCGCTGATATGCGATATTGGCTACTATGCACGTAGAGTCGGGTTAGATGTGGAAGAGTTCAAAGTTCAGACCGAAGACGGGTTCGTTCTCAGACTGTGGCATGTCTTCAATCCCCTAGAATATACCCCGGCCGCTCAGTCCGAGCGGGAACCAACCTCTTCCGAAGTTTTCACCAGTGGACGAAGCGGTCGCCAGGGACATGTACGGAAGCAGTACCGGGACGGAAATCGAAGGTACCCAGTGCTTCTGGTTCACGGTCTACTGCAAAGTGCCGGGGCATATTGCACAAATGACGACGACAGCTTGGCGTTCTTCCTCTGCAAGTCTGGCTATGATGTGTGGTTGGGCAACAATCGATGTGGCTTCAACCCTGAGCATAGTCTGCTGCGGTACAGTGATCCCCGGATGTGGGCATGGAATATTCGACAGATGGGTGTGCTGGACCTACCAGCGCTAATGTCCCGGGTGCTGGAAGAGACCGGGTTCCAGAAGCTCGGTCTGGTCTGTCACAGTCAAGGGACCACCCAGACTTTTGTGGCGCTGGCCAAGGAGCAGCGACCCGACTTGGGAGACAAGATTAGTGTGTTCTGCGCCCTGGCGCCAGCGGTGTATGCCGGGCCACTGATTGGGAAGATGTACTTCAAGTTCATGCGGGTGATCTCGCCCGCCATGTTCAGGATGTTCTTCGGGATCCACAGCTTTATCCCGCTCATGATGACGATGCATCGAGTCTTGCCCGGCAAACTGTATGGCGCCATGGGGTATCTTGTTTTCTCCTTCCTCTTCAACTGGACTGACACTCGATGGGATCGTGGACTCCGGGATCGACTGTTCCAGTTCTCGCCGGTATACGTGAGTGCTGAGAGTATGCGTTGGTGGCTCGGGCGTGAGTGTTTCGCCAATCATAGGTGTGTCCTGGCCACACGGGAGGAAGGCCAAATGGAGGATGTGGAAGACGAATCTGAGGAAGAACAGAAGGAAGAGACCATGGCCCACAGACAAGATCGGGGCCGAACGGCATGGTACGATGAACGCGTTCCTCCCATGGCGCTGTGGGTAGCTGGCAGCGACGATCTCGTCGACGGAAGAAGGCTCTTGAGGAGGTTCGCGCGCGGACGCGAACCTTACGTCAATATAGTTCACAGCAAGGTGATTGAAGAGTACGAGCATCTCGATGTGATTTGGGCCCTGGATGCTGTGGAGCAGGTGGGCAAGGAAGTTCGAGATGTGCTGTGGAAGACCATGTCGGAGGAGGCCAAAACCGCGTGCAGGAAAATATCGGGGGTTGTAGGCAGCGATCCAGACGCTGAACCACGAACCCTAAGGTCGGACGAGAAATGAAAAGAGCGTTCTTAGGTGGGTTGGGGGAATGATTTCGGCTGCAAAGAGCAATAGACAGACACTGCCTACAGAATACAAGATGTCAATCAATAGACAGACGCCGCCTACAGAATACAAGACGTCAATTCACTTTGATGCCGCGCGCTCACTTTCTGCCGACACCCAAGGTAACTTCACTGTGTTCAGTCTAACGAGGATGTGCCTCTAGGTACTTCTAGGTACGTACGTACCTGAGATATCTGTACGGAGTATTCTATGTCCAGAGTAAGGTATTGACCTGAGATATCTGAGGCACGGAGTATTCGAGATCAAGTGAGGTTGTTTGCTTACTTCTTTCGGAAGGCCCATGCGAGAAGGTCAGACGTCGCCCCTGGATTTCAGCATTTTGCGAGCGAGTATCTGTAGACTTATGATCGGCAAGCGGATATGAACGACATGGAGATTAAGTACGAAGTATCGATACTGCGACCATCACTAAATAGTATGTTGCAGTTGTAGTTGCAGCAGCTACTGGTCGCACCTATCTCGAAAAGAATAAGAGTCGAGTCTGCGCAGACCGGTGGCAGTCTACGACAACTCCAGCATTACTGATTAGTATAAACAACGATAGGAACACGAGATATCGGAGCTAGTGTGTAGTTCCTCGAGACCTCTTCTCTCTCCGAGATCCGAGACGAAGAATTCCTTATGGCGATGAAAGGTGGCGATAATACAGTTTTGTATATCACGAATTGTGTAAGCGGCTCCACGGCCGAGGTGACTGATAAGGCAGGCCATCCATAGTAATTAGTAGTACATACAACCTACCGTCACCAAAATTGTCTCTCCTCCGTACCCGAGCTTCAGTGTTTCCTTCTCCTCGATATGAATGAGAAAGAGCCAATGAACAATGCCATTGATGACCATCCAGCGATCACCTGTAGTTACATACCAAGGTCGGTAGCTTTAGTAAGGTACACTGGCACGAGGCATCCGTACTCCCTCAGCTACTACACCATATCCGTACGGAGTACACATACAGATAACTGCAGGGTACGTCAGCACGACCAGTCCGGAGAAGGTGCCAGGCACTCAGGGAATTCGGCGACGTCCTCGTGGCAGCGGCCACGACTGAGGTATGGCAGGGATGGTGGGCGATAAAGGATTCTACTGGCTCGACAGGAGACAGCTGAGCAGCTCCACTGGCAGCATGTCGGAGTTTGGAGTTTGGGGGGCGGCGCATGCCCTAGATAAACCCCGAGGCCGAGGGTCCTAAGGGTGTATTTCAGGCACCTCTAGGGCTTGTCTAAGCTTTCTAACACGACCCCGCAGCCTATAGCTGACCACGCCCGTCCTTACTACCGCCTCTAGTGAATCCCCCGCCCAAGCGGCTCCTCTCCTCACTGCTTGTCTCCTCCTGCGCCATCTTCCTTATCTTTGACTTCGCTAGCGACCAACCACTCACCTCTCATCCACCTCTGATCTCTCACTGCCGTGCCCTTCATGTCCTGTGGAAACTGGAGTTGGCCTCCGATAACCAGCGTCAACTTGCCCGATGGAGCCTTAGTCTCGCACATCCCTCAGCCGAATCATGCTCCGTCGCCTAACACGATGTTGCACGAGAGCTCATGCCCATGCTCATCGACTCGTGCTCAAGCAGCTAGCGACGCGGTGCTTTTGATTATCTCTCCTCTTTGATTTCGATCAGGGATATATTATGCATACGGACATGCCACCTTTCCAGACCATTTTCTTCCTCAGTATGCTTCTCTGTCCATCCATATACGCCGTATCTGTTGAGTAGCAATACTGTACCTCAATCGACCCTACACCATCGACGAGGGGAACGACATACGCGAGGGCCGGCCAACCCTGTCCGTCAACAGTCTATGAGCACGAGCGGTCGACCGTGGTGAAGACATACACCGTATACATCCACAGGCCGCAACCATGGCCGCAGAGCGCAACCCAAGTACTGCTTCTGGCATGCACCGCAAGTCAGTCGCCGAGGAACCTGTCACCTCAGTCCTTGATCCTGGGGTGGTTCCCGTGTACGAGCGCGAGTTAACTGCCGATGAGGAGGTCCTGGCAGCGCTGGGTTACAAGTAAGCCACATGCCGTCCTCAACATTGAGAAAGAAGGAACCCATACTCATCTCGTCCCAAGACCCGAATTCAAGCGCGAATTCTCGCTCTGGACCTCTTTCTGTGTGTCTTTCGCCGTCCTGGGCTTACTGCCGTCCTTCGCCTCGACCGTCTGGTATGGGATGGGCTACGCAGGGACCCCCGGTATGGTGTGGGGATGGTTGATTGCAATGGCATTCATCCAATGCGTCGCAATGGGCATGGGTCAGTCAATCGATGTTCGAGTCCTTGTACGCCGGAGCTAACTGACACACAAACAGCTGAACTCTGCTCTTCCATGCCCACCTCCGGAGGTCTTTATTACGCCTCAGCCGTGCTTGCACCTCCAGGGTACGGGCCTCTTGCTGCGTGGATCACTGGCTGGTCCAACTGGCTGGTCCAGGTCACCGGTGCCCCTTCAGTGGACTACTCCCTGGCGTCCATGATTCTGGCTGCTGGATCCATCAACGACCCTTCCTACGTTCCCCAAAACTACCAAATATTTCTCCTTACCACTTTGATCATGATCCTCCACGCCATGATCTCGTCGATGCCCACCCGATGGATCGCTACCTTCAACTCATACGGCAGCACCTTCAACATCATTGCATTGGTGATCACCATCATCGCTATTCCAGCCGGTACCAATCGCACTGACAAAGGCCTGCCGCGGTTCACCAAAAGCAGTACTGTCTGGGGCAACTTTTACGAAGGAACCGACTTCCCCAACGGCGTGGCGATCCTCATGTCTTTTATTGCCGTCATCTGGACCATGTCTGGCTATGATGCGCCTTTCCACCTGGCAGAAGAATGCAGCAACGCCAACATTGCCAGTCCCCGGGCCATTGTCCTGACCTCCGCAGTAGGAGGCGCGTTTGGTTGGTTCCTGCAATTGGTGGTGGCTTATACCGTGATCGATATTGACGATGTCCTCAACTCCCCTATTGGCCAACCTTGGGCTTCTTATCTGATGGAAGTCTTGCCGAAGAAAACCGCACTGACCCTGTTGGCGATGACCATCATATGCGGCTTCTCAATGGGGCAAGGTTGCATGGTTGCTGCGTCACGAGTTACCTATGCCTACGCACGCGATGGGTGCTTCCCCTACTCCAAGCTGTGGAAGCAGGTCCATCCGTGGACCAAGACCCCTGTCAATGCCGTATGGCTCAATGCTGTCGTGGGCATTCTCTTGACCTTGCTCTTGTTTGGAGGCGAGGCCGCCATCGGTGCAATCTTCAGCGTCGGAGCTCTCGGAGCGTTTGTCGCTTTTACCATCCCCATCACGATCCGCACATTTTTTGTCGGTAGCCGTTTCCGACGCGGGCCCTGGCATCTGGGCAAATTCTCCTATCCCATTGGTGTTGCATCTACTTGCTTCACCTTGTTGATGATACCTATCCTTTGCCTACCGAGCGTGACTGGCTCAGACTTGGACGCCTCCCTGATGAACTGGACATGTCTCGTGTGGGGTGGTCCGATGCTGATGGTTCTGATCTGGTGGATTGTTGACGCCCACAAGTGGTTCAAGGGACCAAAAGTCAACGTCGAGCACGCAATGCTTGGGAGAGAGGGCAACATTCTCGATGCCAAAGATGGTGGTTCAGATACAGGCTCTCAAAACTCTCCGATTCCCACCAAGGAGGTTGGTAAAGCGGCCGAGGTGTAGGATGACCTTGTCGATTGTTGTGAATATTCTTACTGGGGCCTGTTTATGAGCGTATTGTATATCCGCGGTGGACCTGAGATGTAATGCTTTTGTTAGGACTCGGCCCGAGTCATATACCAGTTTTGCAGTGGATATCGTCACTGGAAGGGTGACCTCTCAAGCTAGCAGAGGACGACGCTCCATGAATCAATCGTACTATCGAAGGGCATGCAAAGACACAGTACATACCAATTTATCTCAATCCCGTGACTGCGCGCGTCCCACGCGACACGTGTCAAGGCTTAGGCCAAGTTTTCCCCGCCTTTTGAGCGATCCAGAAGGTCAAAAAGACTCCAGTTATCACTTGCTTCGTACACCAACTGCAATGGATCATATGGGCGTGCGATGGCCCTGCAACCCAGGTCTTCATCCATGCATAACCATTTAATGGGATCTAGAATCCGCCATCTTCCCTCGACCAATTTCGACGACACGAACGACTTCCCTGCTCCACCCGCGAAGAGGGCGAAAACCGCAGACCTTCAGGGCCGAACCAGTCTAAAGCGAGGATCGCCCAACAAGTCGACGGGGAAACGAACCATCAAGACCGGAAACCCAGGTCTTCATCCATGCATAACCGATTGATGAGGGGATCTAGAATCCGCCATCTTCCCTCGACCAATTTCGACGACACGGACGACTTCCCTGCTCCACCTCCACCTGCGAAAAGGGCGAAAACCGAAGCCCTTCAGGGCCAAAGCAATCTAAAGCGAGGATCGCCCAACAAGTCGACGGGGAAACGAACTATCAAGATCGAAATCCCAGACTCGGAAGACGAGGATCAAGATACGGAGGATGGAGGGGTTGGGCTCTCCGCTCCCAGAGCAACACAATTGGAAGCCACCCTGCCACCGGTCGGGACGGATGAAGAAGCCATAGAGGCTTATGAGGCGTACAAGGCAGGGGAATACAACTCAGAGAACCAAGAGCTGCACAATGACACTACGGTCCAGTCGCGGCTGGAGTCGCGGTCTTGGATAAGGGGACGCAGCTCCATTTACGTGGATGCCTTCAACCTGGCCCTTGACACCGTGCTTGAGGAGGAAGGTCACCTCTTCAATGCAGCCGAGCTACGCCTCTTCCAGATATGGAGAGAGTTGGCATATGAAGCGCAGTATCTCTACGTCCGGTTGTTTCTGAGGAAGACCAGCAAATGGTTTCGAGTCAAAGACTTGCAATATTATGGCGATGTGGCCGACATCGACACTGCAGTAATGGAGTTGCAAAAAGAGAGGACCCTACCGCCCGTCGAGCCCGAAACCAGCCTTCATCCGGGAGAGTTGGAACCTCCTGAAGGATCAGTGCTTGGTGAGAAATTCGCTTTCGCCGAGTGTTCCTCCGAGCATATCACGACCCTGGATGAGGCGAGCAGCCTCTTACTTCTTGATGAGTTGAAAAGCCTGGCAAAACAAGCCAAAGTACAGGGAAAGAATAAGCATGAGCTGTTACGAAACTTCCGTCGCACAAGTTACAAGCAGACAGGGCTCGCGTTCAAAGGGCTCAGACGGACGGAAACCGAAGAGTCGCGGGCAAATTCGATTTCCGAGGATGGCCGGTCTGACTGTGTAGATGAAGAGGATGCAAGTAGTGGATCTCGGACTCCCACACATGCTATCAACAACCGTGATGCCCATTTCACCAAGAAGATTCTCGACCAGACCGGACGGTGTATCCGTCTGTCCATGACGCCGCTGAAACTGTTCGAACGCGTACATCTCGTCTTTTACCGCAGCACGGAGTGGACGGAGAAGAGTCTGACGACTCTGATTCTGGCCAAGATCTCGCGACGGAACTTCCCAGAATACTTGGTCAGCAGATCGAGCACGATCTTCGAGTCGAGGTCTCTTCTGCTCGAGTTTGAAGCGAGCCTACGTACGCAATTCCGGGTCGACAACATCCTGGAGTTTAACGGCACTCCCGGGCGCAAGGCGCTCGAGGAAGTCAAGGAGATCTTCGAAGCCGTCTATCCCCGATGGAAAGCTCTACTGCTCGATGAGCAACGGAAGGAGGACCGCGTGTACGAAAGTGGGGAGGGAGCGTATCTTCGGCGGTTCAGCCCGGCGTGGGTGTATACGCGCATCGTGCACAAAGCACTACATGCCCTAGCCAGGTTCAAGGAACATGTCCGCGAGCACGAACTTCTGACCGAGCTCTTGGATCAGCGGCTGTTTCACGCTTCGAGACGGGGGTCGTGGTATCAGCGCAAAGCGCTTCTGGAAGAACACTACATGCACGCGCTCACACCAAATGAGAATCGAAGTGTCGAGGCGAACAAGAAACACTGGAAACGGATAGCACTGCGTACATGCGAGCAGGGGCTCCAAGACAAGGAATGCCATGTCATCTACCATTATGATCTACAGAAGCGGATCAAGAAACTAGAGAAACAGCTGCACCTGCCGTTGAGAGAACAACACGAGTTCGGCCACGTGAGGCTCCGCAAGGCCGTGGAGCGAGACGTGGTGGGGATCAAGATCGAAAAGGACTATCAGATTCAAGGTGAAGATACTCCCACAAGAAGCGATGGCTTGAGCAGCAAGAACAGCGTCAAGACGTCTAATCTGACCTCGAATGAGAAGGACGAAAGTGTCAGCAAACCCCCGACTCTGCTCCACCAACCCAGCACATCAGGGGAACTAGGAGCCAAGACAGTCTGGCTGGATTCTCTCGACACCCATCTTCCCGTGAGCGTAGAGGCCATGTGTCTATCTCACTACCGCCACGTGCTAGGCTACAAAGGGTACCACAGCGAAGGCGGGATCCTGCGCACGCTATTCGGGCTGTTGTTCCACGACATTCTGTTCTTCGATCCTTACATCCCCAATGTGTTCCAGACAGCGTACCAGACGTGCCCGTTGGACCTGCACACCGACAGCTTCTTTTCGTCGCGCGTGCCCGAGATTGTGGGCCGCATCAATCAGCTCTCGAACGGGGAAGGCCGGTCCATCGCCCGTCGAGTCTGGGACGAACACTACAAAAGACGGACGTGCATCGTTGGCGTGCAGTGGGACGGCTTTGACCGCGACGACTTGCTTGAATTGATCGACTGCTGGGACGGCCAGGCCTTGGGCACAGTCATGCTGATCATGGCCCAGGAATATCAGAGTCGTGGCGGCGGTGTCCCTGATCTGGTGTTGTGGAAGAGATGGAGCGAGGAGGAGGTTGACGACAAGGAGGACGAGGACGAGGACGAGGACGAGGACGAGGACGAGGACGAGGACGAGGACGAGGACGACCTGGCCAAGGCAGATGCGAAATCCAATCCTAGTAACACTAGCAGTACTCGGAGAGCTGGGGAGGACAAGGCAGTCTCATCCGCCTCACTACAACCAGAGCGCGAACCAGGCAGAAAAGGCGAGATCTTGTTCGTCGAAGTCAAATCGGCCAACGACCGCCTCAGCGACACCCAGCGCCTCTGGATCTCGGCCTTGCTCGCCGCCGGCGTCCCAGTCGAACTGTGCCACGCTGTTGCCGGCGAGGTGAGGAGAGAGTAGTCTACTGTGTGTACCTACCGTAGGTAGGTCTGTAGGTATGTAGGTCTGTAGGTACCTTAGCTAGGTATTAGGTACCTTGGCTAGGTCTGGATAGATCCCAGATACCTTGTGCTAGTACGAGAACGAGAACGAGAACGCGATTGATGTTGAGAACCATATTAAGAACCATGTTCTACCACGTCCAAGTATAGAGTATACTGTATACACCTCCTTAGCAGTACTATTAACTACTGGCCAATTACATCACACTCAAGCCTCGCTTTAAATCCATATCTATATCTGAGATATCAGTAGCTGGTGGTAGCAGACAAATTTTATTATATTTATCTTCATCTTCACCTTCACCTTCACCTTCACTAGTTTGTCACTTACCCACTCGTTGCTCGTCACTCGTCATTCGTGTGGGTAAATTACATATGACCTCCCTATATATGTATGTATGCTTACTTCATCTTCTGCTGTCTATACACTTACTTGATTACTTGACTTGCTGACTTGCTGACGGTATTCAGACTCGTGGTAAGCTTGTATATATATAAATACATAGACCTTGCAAGATTTTTGTTGAACCCCCACACGGCATGGCACTGGACACACCACACCACACCACACCACACCACAGGGATGTTGATCATGATACGGGCATGAGAACAGAACACGTTTATTTCTATGCAAGGCTTCGCTATGCAAGTCTCAAGAGACCGGCCCGTTGCCAGTACCGGTGTGATCTAAAGTCTCATCTCCATCTCCATCTCCAGGTCCAGGCCAGGCCCATTTAACTCTAACTTTCCAGGTCAAGCCTTGCTCAGCTCCAACGTATTCAGCCCAAGGCCTTGGCCCTGGCTCTTCCTGATACCGCCCCCTCCCAGCTCGATGTAGCTATGCTGAAGATTCCGCCGGCGACAAGCCCCAGCCTCCGCACGAACATGACGGATGATTTTGTACACAAACAACAGATTAAAAATTTGGCTTGGGCCGGATCGTCTTCTCTCTTGTGCTCGAGCGAGCGGCGAAAACCGAATCAATCACTTGGGTGAGAAAAACCTCGACCCCTCGAGGCTCTGCGGTACCTTGACTCTTCCGAAACTGTTGTCCAGGTCCAGCAAGATCTTCAAGGCATTCCGACTGCGCAGGTACGGCAGCGGGGCCGTGGCCTCTCTAAGACCGACGCCCGGCTCCACCTTGCCTGCAGTCGCATGCTGCGCGTCGGCATCCTCGCCGTATGGCAATAACTTGCTGAGGACTTCATACGCAGCCAGAGTGAATCCGAATTGCGGCGACGAGCGAAGAATCCGAGCAGGCCCACCCTTGAAGAAGGCGCGAAATCCCTCCTGCTTCCAGATCTTGCGGGCGCAGTCTGTCAGGCCGTTGTATACCACGTCGCCCTTGCGCGCTTCCACTTGGAGCCGCGTCTTGATCACGTCGCAGGGTGTGGTGAGGTAGGCGGCGGGCATTCCAGCGATAGCACCGGCGGTCAGAAGCTGGATGATTCCGAGTTTCTTCTGCTGCGTTTCACCAAACATGTCGCGCTTCAGGTGGTTGTACGTCGGGAAATAGATGGCCGAGAAGGGGACGTCACGCAAAAGACACGCCGATGCGCCTTTGTACAATCCCAAAATACCGAGGTTGCGCACGATCCACATGGCTGATCGTTTGGGCACGGCATCAGACTGTTTGGCCAGTTCACCTTGCACTTGGAGCCGGATCTTGACGATTTCGAGAGGGTTCGTAAACACCTAAAGTAAGTGGCAAGGTTAGTGGCAGACCAGACAAACGAGCCAACGAGCACTGATGATCAACGGCAACATACCACTTGACAGGCACCAGCAGAACCACCGGCAAGGATCTCGGCACTCAAAGCGATCGCATTCGTTTGTTTGTCGGTAAAACGTGCACGCACAAGGTCGTTGACGGTCAGCTTGATAGCCTTTTCCGGAGCGACACCGACCAGTTGCGGAAGCACACCAGAATACAGGCCTCTGGCTCCCTCGTTGCGGATGACCTTGCGTGCACAGTCTATTGAATTCTCATAGAGACGTTCGCCGGGAAGCACACTTCGTTGGTTCTGCATGCGCGTCTTGACCAGATCGATGGGGTAGACCATAAAAGCACCAAATGCGCCTGCAATACTCCCCAGGCCGAAGTGGTGAGCAGACTCAAGGAGGCTATGGAGGAATTGTTGAGATTTGGACACCACGCGGTCTGCCGTGTCGTTGATAGCGCCCAGCTTTCCTGCTGCAGTTTGCCAGCTCGCGTCCAACACTTTGGCGAAGTCATCCAGACCTAACCGGCCCGAAGGCGCATCGAGACCGGCGAAGTGGAAGAGAATGTCGGCCTCCATGGGGGTGTAGAGAGAAAAGCGGGTCAATCGTGCAGCCTCGTTGAGGAAATCGGATCGGTCGATGCGTCCATCAGAAGATTTGGTCGTGGCGTTTCGAATGATTAGCTCTAGAAGGTCCATTTCCCGGATGATGTTCTGGAAAGCTCGGACATTGGCGTACGAGATCTTGGTTCCAGTGGAAATGTTGCACAGGGTCGGGAGGTTCTCCAGGAGGTGATCTGACAACTTGTGTCCGGCGGTGGCGCGGATGATACGTTCAAACTCTTCAGGCTCGATATATCCATCCTTGTCCTTGTCATAGAGGTGGAAGGCCTGGCGGATGCGCTCACCCTGCAGCCCACGCATCATCTGTGCAAACTGGGGGTATGTCATCTCATGTCTCTTGCCCTTGCCGCCAATGTACAGCGATGCCCATTCCGAGTTGAAGTCGAAAGGGATGCTGTCTCCACCTCGGTTCTGCTCGTAGATTTTCTGGAACGCATCTGACTTGACCAAGCCGGTGCCGTCGACGTCAAACAGTCTAAAGGCGATCTCGTACTCTGCGTCTGATTTGGCCAGCAGGTTCTCAAAGGCCGCCCATTCAGACATTGTGATCCTGCCCCGCTTGTGTCGATCTGCGACATTGAACAGAATGCCATACTGTTCTCTCCTGATCTTGTGCTGCGCCGTGACAAAAGAACAAAGGGTCAGAACGACGCCAGGAGATCGGTTGAGCTGCGGCGACTTACATAGTCTTCTCCCTGCGGAGCAATGGCGTCGATAAAGTCCACCTCATTCATGTAGAGTTCACCGTCATCGGCCCGTTGGGCGTGTTTGAGGAAGCTGAGTCGTGCTTCTGTTGACACACTTTCCGGTTGCGTCGTGCCGACCAGCGACTCTTTGACAGCTTCGGTGACGGTCGCCATGATTATGGGAGGGTTCTCGGCGACGATAGAGGAGCTAAGGGGAGGTAGAGAGCCGCCGAGATCACTAAGGAGTCATGCGGTCGGGTTGCAGTGCAGTCGTGGTCGTGGTCGTAGTCGCGCGAAGTGAGAAGGAGATCGACACAGGAGACTTTAAAAAAAAGTGCCGGTGTTGAAGGGCGGTGATAAGCCGTGGCGCGATACTAGCACAGTAGGTACGTACCTAGGTACCATGGATAAAGAGATCTCAGTTTCTTATGAGACAGGACCGAGGCCAGGAGAAATTTGAAGCTTAGAGCAATCTTGGAAACCGGAATGGGCAACGACTACTCGACTGCTCGACTGCTCGACTACTCGACTACTTGACTACTACTGTCCTGGCATCTTGGAGACACTCGAGATTACCGGATTGCAGTACAAAGTACAGAGAGTATAGGTGCGGCCCAGCATCCGGGTGAAGGTCGACTGCGACAGCGACTGCGAAGGAGCGGACAACAGTAATTATTATTAGTGGACACTAGACAGCCGACAGCCGTCTCAACTTTCAAGGCCTCCTTAAGCCCGCCCTGCCACGGGGTTTATGTAGGAAGCGTTCCGTTCGAAAATTTAATGCGGGCCTCTCTGAGCTGGGCAGAGTATGTAGCCGCTGTTTCACCGCGACAGGCAAGGCGCTCCAGGCACCGGCAAGAGGCCTCAGGCTTAAGGCTCAGGCTTGGAGGCATGAGCCACAGGCATCATGGTACAAGTACGGAGCACTATACTCCGAAAGTACAGGAGCTAAGGAGCTAAGTGGCTTAAGGGGCCAAGGGGCTCAGGCTTTGCTTAGATCTCAGAGCTTAGGCCCCGGGGCGTGGGATGCCGATGCCCCTTAGCCCGTTGGCCCTAGGACAAGAGCTCTCCCGCCACGCTTCGTCACTCGGGTCCATTTTCCACGAGCCGACTCCCTCAGTCGGGAGCAGGTGCCGACTTCACCTCGACAAATCTCGGCTGAAAGGAACGACGAAAACACCAGGCGGGTCTATAGATTATGCATCGCATATGCCAATAATTACTGTAGTCCTGTAGTCCTGTATCGGCAGGACAGGGGTGCGCGGATTCAGATACCTGGTCCCTGTAGCGGCAGTCCTCTGTCCTCTGACTCTGTAGTACTCCGTACTGTGCCTCAGGAGCCATCCATTGCCATTCATTTCTTGCAGGCCGGTTAAGATTACAGAGTATCCGTACTGTATAGCCATTCCCTTTCCGTTTCCAGCACCGTTTCCAGTTTCATTTCTACATCTTCCCTTGCAACTCCGTTGCGCCCTCGTGGACAGTACACATCACAGTACACGTACAGATAAAAATCCTCCAAGACGATAGAGCATCTACTATCTACCAGTAGTAGTTGCCACAGTAGTAGTACTTCGTACTCCTTCCTCCTAGTTCTCCCCAAAGAACGCCGGTCAAAGAAGCCGGCCGGAGTCATCATCTCATCAAGCAGAACATTCCCAATTCACAAGTCGACCGCGACAGCCTGACCCCTAACCCCTGATTCATCTTTCTCTCTTTCGCGTGCGCTGTACAAAGTACTAACTAGTACTGATATGCACCATCGACCTTGTAAGCTCCTTCGCTATCGGACAGAATGTGCCCTACGCCCGGGAGACTCTGATGCTGCAGCATGCCCATCTCACTGGCCCGGCGACTGTGGCCAGCGTGGCCCAGAACAATGCCGCTGTCGTCGGCATTTTCATACTCGTCCGTGGAGGTGGACGAGACATGTTCGGATTCAATCACGGCGGTCTGGCCAGAACTGGCCCGGGACCTGGTCCGAACATGGCGAGGGCGGGGAATCCCCAACCGTCGAAAGCCTTGTTGCAAGATCTGAGCCTCGCGTTAGCTAGCTCTCAAGTGTCACCGGCGCAGGTACAACCACGTCCCGAACCGCCGGCGGGAGTGGCGACTATACTGACCATCTTTTCCACTTCCTCCCATCTCTCCCCAACCTGGTCACTGATACTCCGCCAGAACTGTTCTCGGTGTCGGTTGTAACAGGTGATTACCTTGTGGATCCGCGCCTCGTCCCAATGACCCCGGGCTTTCTGTTGCAGCCGTTCGTGACGTTTCCGGCAGGCATTGCCCGTCTTGTTGGGGAAATATTGCACATGGATGTCGTCCCATGACATGTCTTGACTCTTGGCCTCGAGCAGCGCATTGTCCTCCTCCGGCGTCCAGGGAAGACTCTGTCCTGGCCGGGGGACCGGCTCGGTCCGGACTGGTTGGTGCATCGACATGGAAGGAGGAGCAGTAGCAGGAGGAAGCGGAGGGCGCACCGGGGCACCCGCCATGTAGGCCTGCATCATGGGTTGCTGGGGGTAATGTAGGTGGTGCTCGGGCCAAGCCAGCCCGCTGCCTGCTTGAGTAGTATGCGGCCACGCTGCCATGTTGGTCACCATGTTGGTCGAGCCGTGGATTTCGTAGGGCACCGGTCGTTTGCTGACACGTCGTGGTGCTGTGTGTTGCTTTGGCATTCCTTGCCGGACAAAATCCCTGGGAACCGGCTTCGGGCTGGGGCCTCCGGTCAACAGCCAGGCTGACCGACAAGCAGTTCAGACGGAGCGGTCGGGATTGGATTGGGACTGAGACTGGGACTGGGACTGGGATTCGAATTGGGATGGGATTATGATTATGGGAAGACCGGATGGGTGGAGCGAGTGTGCCAGACAAAGCAGCCGAAAGAGAACACAACGATCGAGGTGACGGCCGGGAAGGCTCAAGGACTGGACAGGATGAGAACGTTGAACACCTGGATCTGGACCTGGATGCCTTGTGCCTGACCACAGTCTTATGAAGGTCTTGCGTCCAGCCCAGCGAAATCACCCACGAAACCTCAAACACGCGGGCGTCAATTTCAGATGCCGCGGGATGCCATGCTACAGATTCGGTTTGGGGCTCATTCTGAATATACCGCAGCCTTAGGAGCCGCCCCTCTCGACTTTGCTGTGCAAGCGCAGCCTTCGCCGCCGTGGTGTCATCCGACGCCTGAGGTTGGCATCGAGGGACCATGAGCGCCGCCAGTCATTGGCGGGACTCCTGGAGCAGGCCATCTGAAACTCGAGCCTTGCGAGCCGCGGCGGGCGATACTGTGGGTCAGCCATCTAACACCAGGGAGATCCCTATATGTAGGTACAGGATGTATATTTGGCTACCCAGCCCTACCACCCTACCTGAGGTCGCCGGCCCTCCACGTCCACTCCATCCAGGAACTCGGCGGCTGTTGACGAGCCGAATTTCCAGTAGCCGCCGGACGACATGGGCTGCCATATACGGAGTACAGCCTGCTTGGGCCCTGGGCGGGGTTTCGGGCATTTTTATCCTCATCCTCTCGGTAGTGTGGCGGATTGCTGTATCCGTACTGTAACTTTGGCGGCTGCAAATGACCCAAGATTGTCTGGATGTCCGTTGTCTTTGTTGGCTGGCCTGATGGCCGTAATGTTTGATATGCCGTATGATGATGTGCTCACCACCGGCTTTGGAAGGTGACCCTTTTGCGAGGGATATGTTGCCCTCACCCGTATCCGGACATGGTTGAATCCGTTTCCTGTCCCATATGTTCCCATTGCTGCCCATCTCTTCCAGCCTCCGAACTGAACTCGGCAAGGCCAATGCACCGCTTGCAGCTGATCGTGGTTGAACCCTGGTGGACATTATTTGGCGAACATGAAACAGAAATAGCTTCGTGGCGCTTAAGTTTCCAGTTTCCCCTCGCCGGGGCTAAATATAGCGGGCGAAAGCGAGCGACTGACACAAGGACTTGCAGCTCAACCTGACGATCCATCGGTCCTTCTGCCTCTTCGTATGGTCGTTTGTACAGAGGACGGATACGGTGCAGCAGCCTCCTGGATGTTTGGTCCCATGGTCGTCGACTACTCAGATATGAAAGAAAAGATGAAATGACTTCGCATTACAGATTTCACCCGGATCTGAGAATCTTGGGGGATGGAGGATGGGGGGATGGGATCGGATTGCCTATGTATTCTAGCCATTATCAGGGAGACGAAGACCATCTTATCTCCCTGCTTCAGCTCCACATAACCGTGACCAGCCTTAAGAAAGACCCGATGACAGGGTCAATGGTGCCGTGCATCCAGTTGCTACATCCAAGAGAAGTACCATCCATTACCCGGCGAAACCTGTCTGTCCTATGTGTCGAGTCGTTCACGTCGTTCTTCGCATCAAAATAAATCGCTCTCGCATAACAGCATCAGCATCAGCATCATCCTCATCACCATCATCTCCGTTGCCATCTTCGCTCGTCGCGGGACATCTTGGTGTGAGCGCCGTAGTACTCTTGGTCCTCAATTGGCGTCACACAGTAGACAACAGGAGTCTCAACGAAAGACAACTGTCGTGCTGCCGATGGGGAGGATTTGGAGGACTTCTTCAAGATGCTTCTCGAGGAACTGGAGTTCACATATGCATATGTTGGCTGCTGCATGGTCGAGTAACCCCTCTGGTTGAGCCGGGTGTTTCGCGCAGTCGGGCTGACGGGAGATGGAGGAATGGGTGACCTCAAGGGGCTCATGGGCGACTTCAATGCCAGCGTGGGTCGTGCTGCTTGAGAAGTGCCGGTGGTCGAGATGCTCAACGACAACTTGGGTTTGGCAACTCGGGAGGCGAGCATGTTGGCGGTATTGATGCTGAAAGCTGGAAAAGTTAGATCGGTGCAGTGAGAGGGCCGAAATTGAACGTTCGAGGCGACCTGTGAATCGACTCTGGAGTCTTGCACTAGACTGGAAGACCAAGAATTTGTGGCTGGAAAGACTGGTAACGGAGGGACCTTGATATACCAAGAGATGAGGGATGTGGTCAGGTGGAGACACGTGGATGGGAAGAACAGCAGAGGGGATGCAAGCAAAAAATAGCAATTGGACCAGCCAATTGTAAGGGACTGTGAAGGTTGAGAGGGTATGAAAGTAGGAAAGCGACCAGACAATCAATGTTTGGTATGGAGAGGAGGAGGAGAAGGAGAAAGCGGTCGTCGAGGCGGTCTGAAGGGCGGCGCTATCTATATTTTCGAAACAGGAGGGAAGCTCGCTGGCTGGAGGCGGAGAATGGAGGAGAATGGACGGCTCCTGAGGCTTCGGTTCGTCCATCACCTCGATTGCTGCCCTTGTGATGGTCCAAGCGTCGCTCCCTTCACCACACCCAATCACCGTGCTTGTCGAGGCGCTCACTCTGTGATACTTGTGCATCTGTGTTTTCAACACCCAATCGAACTGTGCACATTGTTTCCAGAGCCTGCACCATCCGCACTGCATTGTGCATCATGCATGTGCCCCATGCTCTTCTGTTCAATATCACCGAGACAGCAACGCCGGGCACCTTGCAACTCCTCGCATCGAGACGGGCGAACTGTGTACGGATATGGATGCGGATACTCCGCTCTCCTTCCGGCTTTCGATGTTTCGATGTCTGCCGGCGTGTCGACGTCCGCACTATTGATTTTCTGCATCGTCAATCTAACCTTTTATGTGCTATTGCACTGTGACACGGTGTGACAGAGCAGTTCAGCGGGAGGAGAAGGCCTTGGAGGACCACAGTGCAAGCATCACCAAAACACGACCTCCAGTGACTATGTGATGAGGCCAGCAGCGCATGAGCTGGTAGTCCTATTGGCTTTGTGATATGGCCAGCAGGGCGCAGAACTCTCGCCCGAAGCAGAGCTGGCTGGTATTGTCAAATATAAGAGCCACATTCACGTGACGGGCGAGTAAGCGCAGAGTATGACCGGATCTGAGATCTCGACATATCACTTCATGTCAGAGGGTGTGCTCAGTACAGTTGTACAGAGAAGATATGTGATGCTCTAGCACGACCGGCTACTACAGGACTGTTGCGCTAGACGACCTTTGAGTAGGATGCCGGGGCAACGAAGTCCATTCACTTACCAAAAAAACACAGTGTCAGCCCAAGCCGACTGACTCACATATCTGCATGATGATCTGCCGGGTCTTGATGCCCTTGAATGCCTCTGATATCTTGAGGAAGTGCATAGCAGCCATTGCATTCACATCTCGGCTTCTTTTCGTATAGACCTCGATCGACACAATGGCGCTGATCAGTGCGTCTAGACACAGATGGGTAGTTTGTAGTCGAAATGCCTCCCCGACAGACTGCTTGAGCCAGGAAGCGGATAGAGACTGCGGCCTTTAAGATTGGAGGCATCTGTCTGCACAAACCCTGAACAGGGCACCATTTGACACCGAAGAGCAAATCCGGAGGACCTAGATAATTCGTCGATCAGAGACTTACCTTTAAACAATTTTAGAGATTTATCGCATGGTTGCACAGAAGACAGGCGGCGCATTACACGTCGACGACCTACCTGCCTACCTGCCTATTTGACAGGAGGTCCGTGCCATTCTGCACCCAAGAGGTCTGACGTGCCCTTAGCAGGATCTGGCAGGGAGAACTGAGAAGGGCGATTTAGCGAATGGTAGGCGGAACTACTGGTGTATAGATCATGGCGTATACGGCGAGGCAGTGGGTTTGTTATTTTTGGATTGCAATGTGCGTAAGGCAAGAATGTGAGTCGATGTTGACGCCGAGGTTGCGCGCGACAAGCCGGACTATCGAGACTGAAGCAGGGCGATGAATGAAAGTATGCCGACTGCCGCAAAAAGGTCATGGTGACGCAGTCCGAAATGAGACAGGAAAACGCAAGCCGATGGTGTTGTAATACAAGTCGACCACCTCGCCGTCGATTAGAAGCAACTTCGGCCCGGTAGCCACTTGCCCATTTCATGAACCGTGTTCCTGCTGCGCCGATATTTGGATCATGACCTTTCCGTGTCGAGAAACCCTTTCTGTCTCGAAATAACAAGTGACACTTTTTGGAGCCGCAGCTAGAGTAGACCATAGCGCAAATACATGGAGGGAATCGAAATCAAGCTCTCGGATGCCAGTGTTTCGCCTTTTCGAGCAGACAGGTGTGCTGAAGAGAGTCCAGTTGGGTCCAGTGGCTTTACCTGCCCGCATAGCGGTCGTCGCGACTGCTGTAGTCTCGACCACCGGCATAGTCACGAGGAGCTTCCTCACGTGCCGGTGGAGCATAGGCACGGTCATCGCTGCGGTCGTAATAGCCACCACCACCACGTCGGTCACCACGGCCGGCATAGCTATCGTCACGTCTGCTCTCGTACCGATCAATACCGCGGCCGCCGTATCCGCCGTCGTCTTTGTCACGTCTGCCACCACCGTAGCCGCGACGATCGCCGTAGTCATCACCGCCGCGAGAACCGCCTCGCTCATAGTCATCACCGCGGGAGCCGCCACGGTAGTCGTCACGACGTGGTGGGTATCCGCCGCGACGGTCGTCGTAACGATCACGGTACCCACCTCGTGGTGGACCGCGGAAATCGCCTATCCAACGTTAGTAACATTCCATCGTCGACAGCATGAGGTACTGACCACGCTTGGGAGGACCAAAATATTTTCCTGGGGTCGGGGTGCGAGGACGGGCACGGCGAGCTTTCTCGATGCTCAAAGTGCGGCCTTCAATGACTTCACCCTGCAAGCCTTCCCTAGCAGCTTCAGCTTGTTCGGTTGTCACCATTTTGACGAAGCCGAATCCACGAGACTCCTTGGTGTGAGGATCAAGCATGATAGAGCAGCTCTCGACTTCGCCGTATTTCTCGAACAGACGAGAAACGTCAGCCTCAGTGAGACGAGGATGGATTCCAGTGACGAAGAGGTTTGTGCCAGTGTTGGTTGCGCCTTCCTCGTCAACATCTTTCATACGAGTATCAGAGGGTGGTGGAGGTCTGTGGAAGAGTCAATTCAGCTGTCAAGCCATGAGCGAATTGTCTACCCACGGTCTGTCGCGTCCATTTGGCGAGCGGCTGCGGTTGCGGTCATCACGATCTCCACGGGGGGATGCTGATCTGTCACGGCGTTCGTACCCACGATCATCTATGGCGACAGAGTTAGAGATCATCGTATTAATCTTCTCAGAGGAGCATTGTACCTTCGTATCGGGCAGCCGAATCTTCGAAGTCAGCCATTGTAGGAGGCAATGACGGGTCGAAAAAGGGGTTTGCGCGTTGATTTTTGGCGCGAACGAGGATCAGGGCCTGAGGAAGCTGTTAAATAGCGATGGTACCCTGTGTTGAGTTATCAGACCACTGTAGGAGGAAAGAAAAGCCCGGTCGCAGCAACTGAGAGATGGGAGTTGTGGATGGTTTGTTTGTAAGGCGTTGAGGCTCGGATTAGGCGAAAATTAAGGACACGCTCTAGAAAAGACACTAGCGCGGATCTAGACCGGCGGATTGTTTGTGCCGCCAAGCCTCCTACGGCGACGCATAGAACCCAAAGGGTATTTCGACCGTGCCACGTGATGCTCAACTACAGGGACACTTGGAAGAGGAAGAGGCGGGAGATGCGAGATGAAGATTCCCAAGAAATTGCTTTGATGAATACATCAATATATCTGTATGACAGAGCGTAAAACTCGCTGCGGGCTATCGTTTCCCGCTCCAAGTAATCACATCGTCATGGTCACTGCCCACTACTACTTCCGCGTACGAAGGACAAGTCTACCTATACAACCCAATAACAAGTCATCTCATCTGCGAGGCCGGAAAGTTCTTGCACTCCACCCAGAAGACCTGCCGCGCTTGCCAGCCTTCTTTGGGATTCTTTTCTTGGCCGCTGAGTCAGTAGATGTACGTTCTGCCTCAAGGGCCTGGTGAGCGCCATCGGTGGCTTCAGCCATATCGTCGCCTGCCCCTAGACCCTGGAGTTCGTCCTCATCCATCTCACTCAACTCCTCGCTCATCTCTCGCAAAACTTCTGGGCCAGTCCATCGCTCTTCGAAAATAGTCGTGCCCTCGGGATCAAAAGGGGTAGCATACCAGGGGATCCCGCCTTGAGAGGATAGTATTTGAGAGTGCCCTTGCAGACTCATAGGAGGCGTGGGGGGCTCAATGCGCTGGACTTCTCCCATGACGATGTCACCATTTGTGAGATGGTCGTGTCGGAAGCCATTTGTAGAGGCAGGCGGTGTATCAACCGACAGTCCATTAACTTCCACCCGAAGCCCATCCTGCTTGAAGAGATCTGCTTTCTCAGCAACGTCCTTAATGACTTCGACCGTCTCGTGGTCAACGGGCGACTCGTTAGTTGGATGCGCAGAGTCCATCATCTCAACATCACCGTCCTCTGGGCTTGCTATCCCCGTTTCGTGCTTAGGTTCGACAGAGTCAAGGACGGGCATGCCAAATGATTCCGCCAATAGAGAGTCACGTCGAGATACAAGTGCCTCGTCCAGTTCCCTAATCTGCTGCGCGTATGGCCGCCCATTCAACTCAGCCTCTTTGCGGCCAGCGTCATCAATGAGCGGTTCGATGGCCTTCACAATACGCCGCGCGAGTGTGCGTCGATCTCGGTCTTCGGGGCTCATATCCTCGGCCCTACCACTCACGAGGGCGACCAGCTCGGAGAGATTACCTGCGTCATTGCCAAACTGTGAATTGATAACACTGACAACATCATGGGCGAAGCTCGATACTGAAGTGTGCTCCTTCCTCAGGACTCGAGTACGAAGTTTAAGCAACTCGTCTCGGAACAGACCACGATCAAGCCTGTCAAATATCAGCATCGTGTCTATTTTGGGGAGAGGGATATCAACATACTTCAGCGCTTTATCCACAATTGCCTCCAACACATGCGGAATGGGGAAGTAGACCGTGTCAACGACATCCTTCAACATCAAAGCTTCCTGCAATTTCAGTGCTTCACGTTGCTTGATCAAATCACAAAGTTGGACAATCCGCTTCATGTCATCGGCCAACCTTTCGGCGAATTCGATTCGGCGGTCTAACCTGGCACGGCCAGCTGCGCCTTGAGCCTTGTAGTCGCGTCGTGTTACCTCAAAAGAGCTGAAGGTATCCATTTGTAGTTGTAATCTCTTCAATAACGCCGCACCTCGGCGTGCTTCGCGCTTAAGAGTCCAATATTTGCAAATCTCCGAGACAAACTCCTTCTTCCGTTGAACCGTGAACCTAACCAGGGAATCTTCAATTGATTTGAGAATGACTTCCGGGATGACAGGAGCGCCCGAAGGCAGCCGCCAGATTGTTTTCTGCTTCTGTCCTTTCTTATTCGTGAGGGTTACCTTGAGATGACCTCGATCAGTGTTCGGGATGTCGTGCGTGTCATTGATCGCCAGAGCAGACGCGCGACTGTCGGCCCAGATCTGCCCACGAAAATGTTCCTTGAAGTATTTTGTCGCTTCTTCGTAGGCTCTGTCGGTATTGTGCTCGTATTTCCAGTCTGCAGGAGTGTGTCTATGGCAGTATGCGCGGAGCTGCGACGTGTCCATGAGGGTGTTCTGACCGCCTCCGGTTTTCATCCGCAGATACAAACCTGCTTGGCGTGCACACGTCAAGTGAAAGGCCTCGTAACAACGGCCATCGCTACACTGAATGCTGGCACCCATCTCCTGCTTGCAAATATAACATACAAGCTTCCATCGTCCCGGAGGTACCTTTTCGACATCTGTTATAGGCTCCATAAGGGATGGATTCCCGATGGTTACTTCGGGAATCCAAGTGGCGCAGAAGAGGTGTGCCCATTTCGAGTTGTTCGTTTGCTTGAATGCACCTCCCTCATTCGGGCAGAAAATGCAACTTGGCCGGGAATTCCCTACCAGTTGACATTTTCTACACAGCCATTGACCTTCTGGGATGTAAGGCACTCCATAACATTCTTGATGCACAGCGAGGTCACAACCATCACAGAAGACAATTGCGTTGGCGTTCTCGCAGTCACCATCGTCACATATTGCACATTTGCTGTCCGGTTCTTCCCCTGCGGGTTCGCCGTTCACAGCTGCGGCAGAGCTGGACCGTGGCCGCTGCGTCTGCGGGGCCTTAGGATTCGGCTTTGGGATCCTCTTTTCTAGCGCGTGCCATTCCTTTTCGATCTTGGTCATCGTGATTTCGAAGATTGCAGGTTTTATGGTTTGGACTCCATCCTTGATGCGTCCTCTGTTGAACGACTCCAGCCACTTGACATCTTGTTCATCCATGTCATACTCGACACGTCCGACACCGCTGCTACCAATGGCCGAATTCTCCCCGTTCGTAATAAGGTCCGGGCTCAGATCAAGATCTTCTTCGGCAGAGCCTTCCGTTTGCCTTATATAGTTACGAGCTGGTCGCAGGAATATTTCACTCTCTTGATAACCCACGTTTGCCATAGACTTGTCCACAAAGTCCACTTGTGCAAAGTCCTTTTGCTCGTAGGACACGAACGGATCCAGTATTCGGTATGAGGGTTTCGGTAGTGTTAATCGTTCCCGAGGATTGGGACCCGGCACCGGAACCAACTTTGGGGCTTCAGGCGTGAGAAGTGCGTTGACCATAGAATTATGCGTGCGGTGGGGTCTCCCAGGTCTTCTCTTGGGAGGAGTCGCGCTCCCCAAGGTGGCAGTGACTCCGTCTGTGGACATACCGCCCTCTTCAGGAGTTCCATTCATCGTAGGCTTCTTCACCAGTCCATCGATCTCTTCGGAGGGTATGACCGCAAAATCGGCCTCAAGATCCAGATCCGGATGAAACTCTTCCCAGCCTCGCTCCTCTCTTGGCTTATACCCATCGCCGTGTGCGACGGCCGCAGAAGCTGCGGCAGCGGTGCTGTACCGAGGACGAGTAGAGCCCCGGTTCCTACTCCTGGCCGAGTATCGAGGGGTGCTTGTCATTGTTCTTCGTCGATCGCGGCTTGTACGGGGGCGCGTCCGAGGAAGCGCATAGTCATTTTTTCCGCGCGGTGTACGTGTGGCCGAAGGAGTGCCTTCTTTATCAACATGTCTTCCACCTCCTCCACGACCTCCTGGTATCCACTTAGATGGTAATTGCGCTTTGCGCGAGGTTCGTATCCGCTTCGAGGGAGGCTCAACGTCTTGGAAGTCTGCGAGATCGTCGCGCTCCGAATCGTCAAACACACTGGCAGTGTTCTTGGTTTCTCTGCGTGGGCGTGTTCTTCCCTGCACGTTCCTCAGAGGGCCCATTCTACCAGTGCCTGGCCAGTGGTTGACGCGACAGTCTGTTCAAGGCTCAAGACTAGGTGGCGCAGTTAGGTTTAGGGTCAGGTGCGGGCGTCGGAGAGGCCATTCAGCCAGGTGAGATGGCGCGCAGAGCAACGGGATCTTTAGCAGAAGCCGAGATAAGCATATAGAAGCGCCGTACAGAGAAATAATGGACATCTGTCGAGAGCCTCTCCTGTTCACTTCTACGGTCGTCGTCCACTTCAAGATGGGGTTAAGCGCGACTTTGGGCGCAGGGTGGGTCTCTGAGCTTGGCACCGACCTTCGCAACTGCAGTGCATTGCATCCCAAAGATTCAGATGAGTGACAGCGCAGTTACCACGCAGTTTCCTGCCGCCACCCTCAATGAGCGAAGAGTAAGTCATTTTCCCCCTCCCCACCATTTTGGCGTGCTTAATAAACATTTCACCCTGGTCATAATTTTCCTCTGCGTTACATGCTTACAGAATGCCCGGATATAGGAATCGCAGCGGCCGCCGAGGAAATGATCCTAGAGGTGCCAGCCACCAGCGTCCGCCTGCAGGATATCGAGATGGGACACCGAACACGTCGCAATTCAGAAGAGGCGGAAAATCAGGATCACACATAGGCATGCCGACGGATTCCGTCCACAATGGTCCTGCGTCCCAAAACACACCACCTCCCGAACAGCATGTCGCGACTGCGGGATTCAACTCAGATGCAGTCGAAGCCATTCTCCAGCAAGGCTATGATGCGAAGGCGCCACTCTACAAACCAGAGACCAAAACCCAGACAGCAAAACCAGAAAGCCCCTGGGGCCTGAAACGTGAGTCCCTGTCTCCCCCTCAATGTGAGCCGCCACTAATGATGACCGAAGCTGGAGCCATGGCCAACGGCAAGGATTTCTGGCTTGACTTACGCAAACAAGTTGCTGCCCTTCAGCAGACTGGTGGCACCAGTCAGGGAGGCTGACATGAGAGATTGAATGGCACCAAAGTCTCGTTTGGTTCAGCGGCATTTACAGGGACGGAGTTTGCTTAGTTTGTCAAGATACCCTGGGTCTGGCGCATTTCCAGTATGCCCTAGCATTCTGTTCTGGCGACTACAGTATCAGTCTGTTGTGTTTAAAGATTTCTGTACCCGGGTCCGAAGCTGGTTGGGGCGACAAGCCAGTGCTGTGCTATGCCATGGCTGCTTTCGTCCATTTCTTTCCTCTCATGCCCGTCCTTGTGCCACTTCTTCGTGCCCAAATCTCAGGAGGCCGTGGGAAGCGGGAAGCGTCGACCATGCAACAACAGGGATGACACTAGTCTCTTGTCACTTTTATCCGCCGCGGCTCTGGAGCTGTGAGATCAAAGCCAGACTTTCTGGGGCTTGATCTTGTACCAGCTCTATGCCACTTATGTCCTAGATCAAACAACATTGGAACCCTGATCTCTTCTAAGCGGCGCCTACGCCAGTATCACGGTTGAATATCCGCATAGACTCTCTATTGCTCCATTGGCGTGATCACGACATCCTCGTGTAGGTGTGCCAAAATGAACAACAAACAGCCTGGGGCACATTCTAAGCGGCCAAGCCATGGTTCATTTATTCCGGTCACTTTGAGTCTCTCTGGTTCGACCGCTTCCGTACATATTCCAGGAAAAGTGGCCATTCAGGATGCACGACACGGCATCATATTCTTCGGGCGGAAGACTGATTCAGACATAGATAAAAATATGATCGGGCTGGAGCCTGACACCGTATAGCCTAAAAGTCTAGCCATACTGGCAAAGCAATGATGCAGAACAAGCGGAGAGAAGTGTTGAGAGGTTCAACAATGTCAATACCGAAGCGGGACAGTCAGTAGATAGAAGTCATGATGGATCAATTTTTCCCGGTTGGGTCTTCTGCCCCTGGTTCTATGTAGGCATCATTTCAGATGCGAGCACGCAGCACCGAGAATATGACTGCGCACTACCTCCCTGCTCAAGACATGCCCACATTGGTTCCTCCCCAGTCTCGATTGGATAGTCCGACCACGGCAAGGAAGTGCGCCTAAAGTTTCCCACATGGATATCTTCTGAAACAATTCGTTTATGCGACCAAGGTGCTTGCAGTGGCGCTCTCGTACTTCCAGTTGGGCTGCAGGACGCCGACGGTTTTGTAGTATCTGGAGAGACGGTGGATTCGGGATTCAATGAGAATGAGACGGAACTTGGAGTCCTTGTCCTTTCGGTTGCGCTCGAGGTGCTTGCGGACGGCGACAGCCTAATACCACGCATTAATATCCTGTACGGAAGCCCGGCTCCTACGGAATGAGGTTCCAATGCTCACCTTCTTGATCAAGAAGTAAAGGTCTTCTGGGATTTCGGGTGCGAGACCTATTGTCACTCTGTCAGTCTGATGGACCAATTCAGAGGCTGTGCTGTATTGTGCTATGCTGTACCCCTCTGACACGGCAAGCCGTAATGGCAGTGTACTGGGGTATGGAAAATGGAGCAACTGCTCATCTTTCTTTTTCATTCATGTCGAGGCGTAGTAGAGAGGTGAAGAGGTCTGGCGCATACCGTTGGATTTGAGGATTCTCAGAATCTTGTTACCTACACGCAACCAGTATTAGCAACCCATCTGGCATCTTGAGTGAGGTGATTTTCCGTACCAGTGACGACTCTGACTTGGGCAACTCCATGGCTGTCTCGAAGAACAACACCGATCTGGGACGGGGTTGCACCCTTTCTGGCGAGCTTGCAGATATTGTCGACGACCGTCTCGGGGGTGCTCTTGAACCACGTAGGCACAGATCGCGAATACGGGATGGCCGAAGCACTAATACCCTTTCCCTTGCTGTGAAGACGACCCATGGCGGCAGTTGTCGAGTTGTCGAATGGTCGGGAGAAATCAAATCCGTCGTCGTTGATCGCAACGATGTTAGATGTTGAGACTGCGACTCGGACGAACTTTGTGTGAGATCGCCAAGACTTGAACTCTTGGCGCGTCGGCGTTCAAGTTCAAGCAACTTTTTCCAGACCGACGCGCTCCCACCTCGACTCCAACTCCTCTCCCAACTTCACTTGAGCATGATTCCATCCGAAGGCTCAGTTCCATCTCTGGAGTCGTGACATATCATGTTGCTTGAATCGAATATCAAGAGGATGCTATACATCCCTGAAGGTGTCTGTTCATGCTGACTTGCCTTACCACAGTCACTCCCCAGATATATGTACGTATTTGTCCTGCTTGTGTTCCTCCCTCCCAAGTTTTTACATGATGACAAACAACGAAAATTTTCAATATTTCTGGTACCTCTTATGTCAGAAGAGCCGGCTGCAAAGTTGGTTTTCTTCGATGAATTTCATGGACTTCTGAATTGTCTTTTGCCTGCCCTTCGATCATTCCGTGTCTTTTTGTTTGTGACATGGGGGCTAATATATGCATAAACTCGGAGGTTAATACACTTCTGTTCATGGATAATCTAGCAAATAAGAACTCGATGGCCATGTTGAATCTCACTTCAACGCCTGTGATGGGCTGTTATTGCTACCTGTTGTCCTTGCATCCCGGGTTTCTCCTGTTCAAAACGTTCCCGTTTACCGTGCATTCGAGCATGTTTTTCCCAACAATGAGTCTGTCCACCTCAACTTGCCTTCGTTACCCAATGGTGTCAATGGTTTTCATACTGCCCAGTGCAGTCGTAAGCACAAACCCAAACGCCAGCGCTACTAAAACGACCTGAAGTGCAACATGTCCTTTGCATCATGATGTGCCTCCCATCTCTGTATCGGCATCTTTTGTCAAGTCCTTCTCGTCCTTCTCGTCCTTCTCCTCGACTTTCACGCCATTGGTGACTGTTGTATCTTGTGGAGAAGGCGCCTGTGGTGCAGAAGCTTCGGAGGCTATAGGAGGCTCCAAAGTAGACTCGGCGGACTCATGCATCGCAATCTCAGGACGCTCAGGCTCGTGTTGTTGCACTTCAGGAGGTTCTGAGTGTGCAGGTGCTGTAGGTAGTTCCTCTTGATGTATTGGGGCTTCGAATTTGTACAGGAACCGTTCGCGAATATTTGTTCGGTCTGGATTGCCTTCATATAGAGTTGATTGGTGAATGAGGCATTCTCCCAGCCATTGGAGGGGAAATTCTGCTCTAGAGAGAAAAAGAAAAACTGATCAGTCTGGAAGCTTGACACCACGGTACAATGCAATTGCCGCGGCAAGCTGTCTGAAGGGTTCATTCAATTCTCACGCACTCTACGCCTAAGCTCTCTGTGACGGCTTTCTTTAAGAAGGGGGCCACTCTTGCATTCAAGTAGTCCCGAAGCGGGACTTGCTGTCTGTTGTTGGCGGCATTTACGACCACGGAAGGAGTACTTGGGGTACCCTGCGACATGCTGACCGGCGCGTTCCTTGGCCCTGTGTTGCGGTGAAGCGAGATTTGTCCCTTGTATCAGTATGTGTACAAAAAAGCGGACGCGGAGCATAGCGTCAACACTCGTTCCGCTCCCATCTCAAAGAAGAAGGTGGGCCGGATGGATATCACGTGCAATTATAGATTCCGAATGGCGACGGCAAGGTCGAAAGTCGAGAAGCTGCTATGGTTTGATATGGCCCATGTCAGGCTACATTATTCTATTGCATCATGCTCATTTTCTCTACGAAACATCTGCAATCGGGAGCAGATGTCGAGTAATCACGCAGTGTCACAAGTCCTAGACCTCTGTTTTTTATTACAGGGATCGAGTCTGTCGACCTTGTGTTGACCTTTGGAGGTATCAATTTGTGATGGGGCCTTAGTAAAATTCAAAGACAATGAAGAGTGCGGTAGAATAAATCAATGAGAATCAAGTGGAATTTAGACCGAATGTGAATTCGTCTTGGGAGAGCAGCAGGCCATGTATCTCGTACCGGTGCCGAACATCCATAGGACTGTTGCAGTCTTGCTTCATATCATGAACGAGACAGTAATAGTAGGCGCTCTCCGTGGTCTCGGTACTGGCCAGGTTCTGTCTTCTGTAATATGGTTCACCTTCGACCACGGGCATCGAACAGAGGAATGAGCTTTATCAAAAGCGATCCGAAACGCAAGTAGTATGTGGTATCATATAGGGTCAGGACGCGCTCCTCATCGGACGGATACATGTTATTGCTGGTCATAATAGAACGAGATGCCCAAGTTTCTTCTGATAGAAAAGGATCGGATGTGTTCAACAGCGACACATGTGACAATTGACATTCAACTGCGTGTAGAACTCACACTTCATCTTCATCATGTCATGAACTCATACCAGAGATTCTTCTTGAGGGGAGCCAGACACATCCTGTCAAAGTGAGCCACGTGTTGCGATAACAGTGGCAGATCAAGAACAAGACTAGCCCCGGCGGAGAGGGTTCTGCGGAAGTAAAGAGTGGAAGCAGTGGAACACCTGCCGTACATTGGAGGTTGGACGACACCTGACCGAATTTCGATGCATCGCTGGGTCGGCTGGTACCACTAGCGCAGCATTGTGTGCGTTATGAGCGATGGCTAAAGTGAGGCGACGGTTGTCTAGCTCCCGTAGTCAAGACGGAAAAGCTTTTGTAAGGCGCAACGTGGCTCTGCAAAACTGCCCGACGTTCGTCATTGATGCGTTGGCGCGAGTTGGCGTTGGCGAAGCATGCGGCAAAGAGCGGTCATCGGCGACGACAACACCTATATAAATGGAGGGAATGGGACGGTCTCGACGGGTAGATGTGAACGAAGAGAGAAGAGGGCCGAGACGAAACCGAAACCGACCGGCAGCCGGGCCCTGGGGATCTCGTCAGTCGACACAGATAGGCAGGCTTGTATTGCCACGCAGAGTCGATACCACACGGGCTGCCACCTCTGCTCGAGACACGATGACGGCCGTTGGTGTCTTATATACAGTCAGCACGTTGGGGGTTCGAGCAAAAGTGACGAGGCTGCGACACCACGAGGATCCATTTATTTTGGGGCGGTTGATGGACGCCAGGCAACGAGGCAGTCAGTTGTGATTGAAATGCGGATGGGTGCATAGAAGGGTGAGAGAAGTAGGAACCCTGCAGGCTGCAGCCGCAGGCGCTTTGAAGCTTGGGCGGCTTCCAGGCGGTGATTCGGCAGCCAGGGCACCTGGGCCAGGCATCCCATTCGACACCTCGCGACCTGCGACGGGATGGCGCGGTGCCTCGAGGCCTGAGCATCCCTGGTAGGTCCCTGGATTGCGCCTGTGCTATCCACTCTCCTCTATCAAGATCCACGGGCGAGCAATGGCGAACCGTCTTCCGCCGTCGCGCAGACCGAAGCCGACCGTCTTGAGACTGTCCTGTATCCTGTATCGCACCATCTCAAATCTCACCAGGACTCAGAGACGAGCATTCAATCTCGCGCATGCTGCAGGGGCGCGGAGGGCCAAAAGCTTCAGACTGCGCGTCCCTACCTAGGTAATTTTGCCAGCATGAACCAACAGCACCAAGACCTGGCTGGCTAAGCCTGTTCGACGCTGGGACCGCTGCAGGAGACTGGATTCCCACCATTCACCACGTCGTCGAGCTCCATTCCAACCACTATCCAGACCTTCTCTGCGCCCGCATCCACCAACCCGCTCTAGCTCTGCATAGCTCTCGAATGTTGCAGCTGCAAACTGCTCAGAGAAATCTCCCAGACCCAGACCGTTTGCTGCTGGCCTACCTCCCACGGAACCTTCCCTCGGACAGACAGACACACAACCCTCACCCATCCTTTAGATGGCCACCACCGGCCACTCACAGCGCGCCGTTGCATGTCTTGCAGCTGCGGCCTATGCTGGCCTTCCCGGGCCCTCCTGATCATCTGCCTCTGTCGCTGGCCAGTCAGTTGCTCGTCGTGAATGGCTCCTGAGTCCTCTGCGCCTCGAAGCAGTAGGACCAGGCTTTTTTCTTGCTACTGTACACATTCGACCAGACCAAGAGAACAAACGGCTCAGCCGATTTGCCTGCAGTCCTTTCCGTCCGTGGTGCTGAGAGTTTGCGATCCCTCCAACATAATCCTTTCTGAATGCGCAGCCCGCAGGAGCCATATGCCGCCCGCTGTTGCGCCTGACGACAGTCACATGCAGTCCTTCCTTCGCGAGAGCCAGCAGCCGCATTCCTTCCACTCTTCTCCATGTCAAATCTGTTCGACACGGCATGGGCACTTTCGGAGAAAATCGTGCTCTTGACCAATATCATCCAGGACGCCGGACACGATGTCCCTTCCTTGCTACTTCAGAGCATGGCCGAGCGCAATATACAACCAAGGTGGAATGAAATCGCCTTGCCAGCAGGTACGCTCGAGAGAGAGGCCAATGCGGTTTGCGCGCAGTAGCAGCGTACATGTCTCAAATGCGTCCGTTGAGCCGTCGAGATATAGACCTGCTACTTTTGCTCGCGAAGATGGACACTGGGCTAACCTTGTGGTGTGCGTAGGCCGATCACTTAGTGCCTGCCAAAAGATCTATCATGAGATGCTTCACATGCCCCTGCAGCCGCATCGCTCTTTCTCTGCGATCGTTCCTGCTTATGCTCCTCAGCCTCTCATTCCGAGTCTAGCTCAAGTAAGAGCTGTGTCTGAGCACGAGTTGCAGCCTCCGACGCACCGCTCAATCCAGCCTCGCCCTCCCCAGGGGACGGATTCGCCGATGCCTCCTACCACGAATGGAGAAGCGTTCACCATCTTGCGCCCGTTCGCGCCCGAGCCAGGCGTTGAAAGACGGAAGAAGCGCGGTCGTCCGACAAAGGAAGAGGCTGAAGAGCGCGACAGGAGACTGGCCGCGGCTGGTCAGACGTATGAGCCAAAGAGACGATCGGCCAAGAAGGCCAGGCTTTCCGGCACACCTGGCTCGCTGTCCGAACCGCGCCCTGGAACCTCCCCAGGACTACCAACCGCCATGTCGCCGCGTGCTGAACACATTCAAGAGGCCTCAAGCGAGAAGCAACGCCCAAGACAGGCGACAAAGCAAGAGGAATCTCCTGAGCATGCCGCCGCTCTATCTCCTCTAGACGATTCTGGCAATGAAAGGAGCACCGATGCCGCTCAAAGCCCTTCTGACCGTCTGCTACTTAGATCCGGCGAACGCGCTCAAACAACGGCCACTGTATCTCGGCACATGGTGGAGGCGCAAAGTCCTAGCATTGATCAAAAAGATCCAGAGCAGAAGCACGGGGATCAACCAGCCGGCCCTTCATGCACCTAGCCCCATATCCTGCCATACCGTAGGGCTGCCTACCCGAAACCCCCATTCGTCGCCATTTTATACAACAGCACTCACCAAAAAGCAGCGCACGATATCCGAAGCCTTCTACGAGCCATGACTATAGAAAAAGGAACAATATATGTGTATACGATATCCATGGGCTTGACGCACAGACCACGGGGGGCTACATTTCTTGACGCATTTGTTTACATTCGACAACGTCCGATTCAAGTCCAGCTCCATTTTCGAAACAAGCGATCGCATACTGGCCCGATGAAAAGCCGCAAACCGCATAAGCAAACTCACTCTACCATCTCTTTTGATGTATTTCTAGAATTAAGGAACGAGATGGCGATCCTGCTGGTCGGGACCAGTCTGTCGAGTTCTAGCAACAGGAGCAGGCCTGGAAGGTATATTCTGTCTTTGACGATTTGACCGGAGGAACAAAAGAAACAATAATGGTTAATAAGGTATATTTTTGGCGGCCAAACAGCAGGACAGGAAAAGGAAGGACGTGATGACAACGACCAAGCCTTGACATTTCGCTTCGAGATAATAGATGGGACACTGGATTACATACATATCAGACTTTCGGTTCTTTTCTATATAGGAGCCGACTTTGGGTTCTATTGATGGGTGACTCCTGGGAGCCTCTTCTTGAAAATGGGTTGGTTTTCACAGTATTCAATTTCAATCATGATTGTGTCAAACTTGGGCATTCCCAGCATTGCTCCTCTAACCAGAAGGCTGGTTTAGGCATACTATACCATATAGCATGCGCTCCCCCTGCTTTCTGCCCACTGCGATAGAGGACATGGGACATTTTAACCTTGGACAGATTGGAGGTGTTCTTCGTCTATGAAGGGGCACTGCCGCCTTCTTTCCACAGAGTCATCAAGCCTGGCATCAGCTACAAAGTCATCAAGCCTGGCATCAGCTACAAAGTCATCAAGCCTGACATCAAGCTTGACATCAAGCCTGAAGCTACACGGGTCCGTCACCCCTGCAACGTTTGAATCGCCGACCTGGCTGTCGAAGCTTGAATAGTGCTGTCGTCCAACTACCACGGGAAGCGGGAAGGGGGAAGGTCGCTATCAAGAATTCGTATCCCTGCCCATGTATCCGTACAAGACTATCCATACAAGAACCAGCCAACTGCCGCAGTCTCTCCCGGTCTTTCCCTGCAGGCCGCACGCGCATGATGTGTCCCCATCAATGGTGGAGGGTGGAGGGTGGAGGATGGAGGATGGAGGGAGAGTTGGCAGAGGCTCGTGACGACCATGGAACAAAGTCACTGCTGCTCTGGTCTGGTCTCTGGTCTCTGATCTCTGGTCTCGGCTCTTCCGTCGTAGTATACCGTGTAGTATATAGGTAGGTAGCCTTGGACAGACAGACGGTGAGCAGGGCGAGGGACCACTTCGCTTTCGGAATCCTGATATCAGTATAATATAACATCATATAAGGGGGAAAACCCCTCTCCTAAAACAAAAGCAAATACAATCAAATAAAGCAGCTCACAAGTCATGTCTATCTCAAGACCTCCGAGAGACCGAGACTGCTACGATGAATTGATCCTGTAAATCATCCAATGTATTTCGCGTCTTCTCCTTCCCCACCCCTTTTTTGCGCTTTTTTCGTTTCGTCAATTTAAAGGAAGAGAAGGAGAGGGGAGAGGGAGAGGGAGAGGCGCATCTCGTCTCGTCTCGTCATGATTGCTTACTTGCCACTACATCGCATCATATCACGTAATTTATAATAGTAGGATCAGGATAGGATGGGAGATTCGTATATTCGTACATATATAGAAGAGGAGAGAATAGATGAGATTAGAATAAATAATACTATGGAAACATGTCTCTCACCCCCCTCCCCCTAGTATGTCTATGTCTATGTATGTCTATGTCTATGTATGTCTATGTCTATGTATGTCTATGTCTATGTATGTCTATGTCTATGTATGTCTATGTCT